CCCTAACCCTAACCCTAACCCTAACCTGACCCCCGGCACTCCACCCACGCGTCGGCGCCGAGTGCACTGTGCAGACTCTGGATGAGGGCTAGCGGAAGGCGAAGGAGCGGGGACCTCGCGAAGAGGCGGATGTTTTTCTGCTTTCACAGCTGTAGATCCGGCTGCAAGACAGTTTTCCACGGCACCTGCTCGTCGTGAGAGGTCAACCCTGCGGCTCGAGCTATCCCTTGTACGAAAACGCCGTGCGCGACTTCCGTCGAGAGGTCGAGAGCTTGAGATACCGAAGGGGCGACGTTTGAGAAGAGATAGTGGCAACCCCGCTCACACTTCGGTATACAGCTGATGATGAAGAACGCGTGACTTGCAGCGACGTAGAGCAACAACATGAGAAGTGCAAGAGGTGACGAACGGAACAGGAAGCGGATCGAGTCAAGCGGACCGCGAGCTTTACGAGAGACCGAGCAACGCATGCGCCTTGATCAGCTCGTCGCACTCGGCGCCGGGATAGTCGTGCTCCTCGCCGCGCGACAGGTCGACGAGCTTGATCTTGCCCGTCTCGTGGTCGTAGGGCACGTTCTAGGGCTTGACGTCGCAGTGCTTGATGCCGACGGAGTGCAGCTTCTCGAGGCAAGCCATCACGTCGGTGCTGCGAGAGGTCACGAGTGAGCACCGGTCGAGATGATCCAAAGGAAGATGCGCACCGCTGCGCCAACGTCAACGCGCTCCACTCCTCGAAGCAGCGACCGTGCCGTTGAAGGATCAGGACCACGACGAGGCTGTTCTCCCAGCCGCCGATGTACGTCCCGACGAAGCGCGGGAGAACATTGACGAGCAGATGCCCGTACTTCTCGTACAAGATCCCCTCGTTCGCGATGCAACGGTTTTCGTACGCATCCTCGTTTGCCGACACCTTGAAGACGATCTTGACGTCGCACTTGCGTTCGGCGAGGCGGCCAAAGTGAACGTACGAGTGCTGGCCCGCCTCGCTCGGTGACGGCTCGACGATGACGGAGAGTGGCGGAATCGGGAGACGCATTGGAGGCGCAAGATCGAGCGTGTACGAGCCTGCGATGAGCTCGCGCAGCTCGTCGATGTCAAGGCGGCGGAAGGGAGGCTGGCGGACGGGCCCGCCGGGCGAGGAAACCGCGACTCCGATTCGGGAGAGACTTGCGACGGCGGCGAGAGCGTCGCTGCATCCTGCATCTTTAGCAGTGGAAGATTCGGGTGCGCGCTGAACGGTGGAAGGCGCGTCCTCGAGTGAGAGGTCGTCGACATCCGCTTCTTCGCGAGACACGGTCACGGTCCGACAAGATGGACCCGCCGCTGCGTCGAGGTCCTTCTGCAAGATCTCGGCCTGTACGGAGGTAGCGATCTGAAGATCTTCGGTGAGAGGCGTGCGAGGCGGGTACGCGAGGGGCGGCGAGGACGGGGCGTGAAAGCTGGCCTCGTTGAGAGCTTTATCGCAAGCTTCACCGTCGATGCGGTTGCCGGTCTCGAAGTCGCAGCGCCGAGAAGTACCCTGCGGAGGCGGCGGGGGTGCCGTCCTCGAGTCGATCATGCCCGCAGGAAGCTGGACGCGCGAAGCAAGGTCGACAGGCGCAAGGCTGCTCAGGTGCTGGAGAGCGTCGGCCCAAGTCGAGCCGGGATAGTCGGAGAGGATGCGCTGGCGAGAAGCGTCGACGAGGGCACGGATGTCGTCTTCGGTGCAGTCGTCGTCGAGCATCCAGAACGAGATGAGGAGATGGATGATGCCTTGCAGACGCTGCGACCGGCGGAAGAAGTGGTCAGTTGGAGCGCACAGACGCGGTTCGATCCCCAACTCACACGAGTCTCGTCCATGACTGCAAACGACACCGGCAGTCCGATTTCCACCGACTCCTTGACCGCGTAGAGCAACAAGTTCATCGAGACCGGAACCAGTAGGGGCGGAAAGACAGGATAGTTCGAGTAGAGGACCCCACCGGGCTCGTCGCGTGGCTCGACCGTCTTGCGGCGAGGAGAGTCGAGGTCGAGCCCCTCGAGCTTGAAGATTGTCGGAACGTCTCGCCTCTGGACGAGCGGGTCCGTGATGTCGATCGTCCCGAAGAGGCGGAAGACAGCGCCCATGCGCTCGAGGGTCTCGTAGAAGTCTTGGAAGCCGGGTCGGACTGGCGGAGGAGCGAACGGAGAAGGGGATTCACCGGAGTTGTCCGGAGGGTCTCGTTTCTGCGGCACGACGACTGCTGCGGCGCGCGCGCCTTCGAGCGTCGCAAGCCGGGCCTCCTGGTACTTGATCTCGTTCATGAGGCGGACGAGGACAAGGTTGGCATCGGGGATGAGGCGAAGCCGGCCGGCGTGAAATGCGGCGTGGTAGTGATTCTCCACTGCGGTGCAGACCAGCGTCAGCTGCAGCACCGTTTGATGTCGAGGGGATAGCCCACTGTTGATCCGGTTCGCGTCGCAGTTGATGTCCGCAAACGTCGGGACGACCTTGGCGTCGATCAGCCACTTGACCTGCGCGAAGGAGACGACTTGGCTCGTGAACTCGAGCGTCAGAGGGGAGAGCGCACCGCTCTCTGTCCTCTGAAACCAGTAACGTGACGCGCATCGCCCTCCTTCCCCTCGGTCAGGCGAGCGAACCTCAGAGGGCTGACGAGATGTGCCGATTGAAGCGCCACGCTCCTGTAGAACCCCGTGACTGCACTCCTCTCCACCGCCCCGATGATACCCCTTGCTTCGACTTCGAAGTGCGCATACATGAGATGCGAACTCGACGCCCAGTCCTCCTCCTGGTCGTCGAAAGTCTCCCTCTTGACCCACTTCGACTGCGCCTCAACATAGGACCAAGGGTCGCGGTACCCCTTGTGCGAGTACTCGAGCTCCATGGAAGACCTGACTGCCGCCGAACGGTCCGATTGCGGCTGCAGAGTGCCCGACGAGACAGCCCCTAAGCTTGATGGCATGGCGGATGTGGTGGGTCCGGCTCGGGGCACTCGGGACGTAGCAGGGTCGCTTCAAACGGCAGGTGCACTCTCGTGCAGGAATCGAGCGAGCGAGAACGGACTGGGCGAGAGAGGCGGAGAGGAGAGTTCGCGTCGAGGGAAACGCCTTGGGACAGCGGGCGCGGGTCAAAGCATGAAGAGGGGGTTCGTACAGTCGCAGCGATCAGTCCTAGCAGGCAGTCCGGCGGGAACAGCTGTGAGCGAGGTGCTCGTCGAAGGCCAACCCGCTGACGACAACCTCTCGCTCCTCCCACACCGCTCCCTGGCTCGTTTGCTGGCTAGACCCGCTTGCTAGACTCGGAAAAGGCACACTCCCACGACGACGAACGCGCCACCGCTTTCCCTGCCTCGCCTCGTCCCCTCCATCCCTCTCCACCGCCTCATCAGCGTCGACTTCGCTCACACGCCGCAGATCACCCGCGAACCACCTCAACCACTCTCGCAGACATGCAGGTCGACTCGCACAGCCGGTCGGATCCGCAGATGTACCTAACCCAGGCGCTGACGAGTCCGCAACTACCGGACGAACTCAAGCCGTTCTACCAGGCGTTTGAACGCTTCTGGTCCAACAGGTGCGTGACGACGCTGCTTACGACTCTGAACGAAGGGCGTGTCTGGGCTGCACGACCTGGCGATGCGTTGCGGGCGAGCTGGCCGGGACGGGGTCATCATCGGCGAGAGGCTGAGGAGGGCTTTCAGACGGATGCGAGGAGTCTTTGAAGGGTGCCACGCTGCGCAACAGCTCGTCACGACGTACTGGTCAACTCAGCGGCCGCCATTCCTTGGACCACACTGACCTCCTCCTCGTCCCCGCGCACACAGGCTCTGGTTCCAGCTCACCCGCACGATCGAGTCCTTCTTCGCCGTTCCCTCCTCCGCACCGTACCGAATCGACCTCTACGAGTCCTTCATCAAGGACTTTGCTTTGAAGCTCGACCCGCTCAAGCATGCGAGCATCGCAGTTGCCGTTGCGCGGACATACAATGGTGCGTGCGGGCGCACAACGGCCTCTCCCAAATTGGCGAGCTGACGGCTCGTGTATCGCGACGCCTATCGTACGCAGACGGCACCGCAGCAGTTTCCTTCCTCGACACCCTCCTCCCGACTTTCGACACTCCCGCAACCCGCGAACCTTTCGTCCTCGTCTCGATGGAGCGAGGTCACTTCCTCCTCCTTCTCGGCCAACCCGAAGCGGCAAAGGAGGCGATGGACCAGTGTCAGAAGGTGCTCGACCAGCTCGACTCGGTCGACTTGGCGGTGCATGCGAGCTTCTACCGCGTCAGCGGCGACTATTGGAAGGTGCGTTCGCGAGCGAGACGCTTCCGCTTGAAGCGAGCCAACTCAACTGGCTCCATCGATCTAACTCTAACGCGGTCGCTCGCAGGCGAAAGCCGAGTTTGCCGACTACTACCGCAACTCGCTCCTCTACCTCGCCTGCATCGACATCGACCGGGATCTGACGCAGGACGAGCGGGCGGAGCGGGCGCGGGATCTTGGGATCGCGGCGTTGCTGGGCGAGAGTTTGTACAACTTTGGCGAGCTGGTGCGTCGCACCGGATCCGCTTCAGTCATCTGATGTCTTGATAGAATGGCTGATCTTGCGCGATGTCTCTTTGGCGCACAGCTCCTCCACCCGGTGCTCGACTCGCTCAAGGGGACGCCGAACGAGTACATCCGGAGCCTGCTCTTTGCATTCAACAAAGGCGACATTGACAAGTTCCAGTCGCTCATCCCGGAGCTCGAGAAGGAGGTGCGCACGGCACCTACACCTCGCACGCCCGCTCTTGCGCTGACCCACTCTCGCCCTACAGCCCTACCTCCTGCAAAACCTCAACACGCTCCGACAAAAGATCTGCGTGCTCGCGCTGATCGAGGCTGTCTTTAAGCGACCGATTCAGGACCGCGTCGCGCTGCCGTTCTCGATCATCGCCAAGGAGGCGCAGGTGCCGGTCGACGAGGTCGAGCACTTGGTCATGAAGGCTCTCATGTGCGTTGCGCCGGCTTCTCGCTCTGGTCGGTTCTCTCGGCTCTCGTCAGAGACGGTGCTGACTGAAACTGGGAGTCTCCGCTACGCAGGCTCAACCTGATCCGCGGCACGCTCGACGCCTGCTCGTCCGTCGCGTCCATCACGTGGGTCCAGCCTCGCGTGCTCGACAAGACGCAGATTGGCGGGCTCAAGGACCGGCTCGGAGACTGGGCGGACAAGGTGCAGGCGCAGGGGGCGTTCGTTAGGGGCGTCGCGCCGGAGTTGTTTGCGTAGCGGTCTGCGAGGGGAGGGGATGGAACGCCTTTTGAAGTCGCGCTGAACGAAGCTGATGCCGCTTCGTCCTAGCGAGTCTCGCAAGCTGCACGAGTCGTCCAGGAAGAGAGAGGAAGGGATTGAAGGTCGCCCCTGTTCGAGCTCGCCGTTTGCCCAAGTCGCGCGCTCGTCTCTTTCCCTCGTTCCCCTCACTCGCTCGCACTTCCACGCTTTGAGGACTCGCGCTGTTCTCTCCACTGTCTTACAGACCTGCTCTGACCGTTACGACCGCCCGCACGCCGCGCCGACCCGCTCAGCTCGCCCGCGAACCTTTTCATCTTATCGACTCGCTTCGACCCAGATCGCTAGTACAGGAGCGTCCGAGTCGCACACAGGCTGCTGCAGGCCCACAGGAGGACATAGTGCTCGAGCGAAGGCGCCTACGTCCCGTTCGGTGCGTTCTCCCTCCTCACTTCCTCCTCAGCTCGCCCGCCTCGAAGGACGAGACTCGGTCCTTCAAGGGATGACAAAAACCACCACAACAAGATAGATAGGGACATCGGATGCCGTGTGCGGTGATGCCGACTACCAAACAATTCGCTAAATAGTAGCTGATTCGAAGGATCGAGGGCTTTCTTTGAGGCGGCGTGCGGGCAGAACAGACGGACCGGGTGCAGGACAGCGAGACTGACTTGTCTTCGACCTCCTTGCACAGGTCAGACTTGCGTACGGCAAGTCGAGTAACGTGTCAGCTGGCGTCTCCTCGAAATGCTGTTCTACTTGGCGTTTCCTTCGATTTCTTGGCGCGCTCTGTCTTCCATGCCGCACGTCACAATGTTGTCGCAATGCATCACACCGTCCAAACGATCCTTCCTTTCGCGTCGAGACAGCGAGATGAGAGATTGGATTCGGCTGCTCGCTTGCTTCGCGCTGTCCCCGCTTCTCCCTCCTCTGCTCGTCACGGAAGCAGTTTGAGAGAGTCGGCGCCCAGCTGGAACGCCTGCTCGCGACCAGGACGCTCACCGTCGCCTGCTGCACGTGCGGCCAAGTCCCGGGTCGATCGCCTTTGCAATTGCCTTCTTCTCGCTTTCTCTCCCTCGACCGCTTCGCAGGACTCGCTGCAACCGCCACTACGACGCTAGGTACCGCCACAATGCCCTCGACACCCGCGGCGGGCGCGCGCGACGACGGTTCAACCCACCTCGACCACTCCCCACCTCTCGACCGTCGCTCCATCCCACTCGCCGCACGGCTCGTCGAGACCGTCCGCGAGTACTGGGATCTCGGTTTTACAGTGTTTGGAGGGCCAGGCGTGCATGTGGTCATTCTCAGACGGAGGTTGGTGCCCAAGTGGGTGGACGAGACGACTTTCACAGACCGTGTGTACTCGCTTCTTCCTCGGGAGCTTCGGACGAGGAGGACAGATGTAGCTGACCATAGTCTTCCGGGCAGTATTCTCCCTCGGCAACGCCCTGCCCGGCCCCGGCTCGACCCAACTCGCCTTCTCGCTCGCCGTCGTCCGCAACGGCACGCTCGCGGGTTTCCTCGCCTTCCTGATCTGGTCCATCCCAGGTGCAGTAGGAATGGCCGGACTCGGCGCGGGCGTGCGCAAGTTCCCCGAGCGACTCCCGCCTATCGTCCTCGCCCTCTTGACAGGCTTGAACGCTTCGGCCGTTGGGTTGATCGCCCTCGCGGCGTACCAGCTCTCCAAGACCGCGATTACCGACCCAGTCACTCGCCTACTCGTCCTCCTTTCGGCGTCCTTCGGAATCTGCTATCACGCGCCATGGATGTACCCCGTCCTCGTCTTTGCAGGCGGGTTCGTCACGCTCCTCTTCGACTTTCGCCGGCAGATCCTCGGCCGACTTCCGACCGCGCTCAACCCGTATGCCATCCGAGCGCGCCGAAAAGCAGCTGCAGCGCCGCCTGAACCGCCGCAGGATCCGAATTACGATGTCGAGCTCGAGTCGCTGGGGGAGCAGCGGAGGAGCTCGACGGCTGAGGACGGTGCGCAGAGAGCAACCGAGGACGACGACAAGCCGCGCGGCGCAGAAGATCAAGCTGCGGACACGGTGCGCGCAACGCTCCGCCAGCGCAACGGCCCGTCCGTCCAGCCCCAGCCCTCCGCAACTCCCGCCTCGTCCGTCGTCGACGCACCCTCAACCGAGCGCAGCACGCCAATCATGGTCTTGAACCGCAAGATCGCCTTTGCGCTTGGAGCAGGATTCATCGTCTACCTCGTTACGATCATCGTGGTGCGGTCGCAACTCAACAACCCGCCTCGCGCGCTCGACTTCTTTACGAATATGGTCATCGGCGGGACGATCATGTAAGCCGGGTCCGAGATCTTCTCACTGTGGACGACCAGCTGACCACTTCGGACCGTCTCTCCTGCGCGTTGTTCTCGATTTTTCCGGCAGCTTCGGCGGCGGACCGGTCGTCATTCCTCTCCTGCGACAATACACGGTCCAGCCCGGCTGGGTCGAGTCGCGCGACTTCCTGCTCGGCTTTGCAATCCTCCAGGCGTTCCCGGGCCCGAACTTCAACTTTGCCGTCTACCTTGGCGTCCTCTCCCTCCCGCACAATCCAGGTGCGTTGCAGCGGCATGTCTTGAGGAGCTTTCAGAAGTCGCTGACGGCACAAATTCTCCCGCGCAGTCCTCGGCGCCTTCCTCGGTTGGGTGGGCATCTTCTCCCCCGGCATCATCCTCAAGCTCGCGCTCCTCCCGCTGTATCACACCTGGCGCAAGCACGCGGTCGCTATCTCGGTCTTGCGCGGACTGAACGCTGCGGCGGTCGGGCTCGTCTACACGGCCGTCTGGCAGCTCTTCCTCGGTGCGCTGCGACTGCTTCATTACCCTCGACTCTGAGCTCACGGTACGTGCGCGCAGTCGGCTACATCTACACGCCCGTCTCCGGCAACATTCCCACCCAAGCCTCCGCCAGCGGTCCGTTGACCTCCGATCCGTTCTGGGGCGTCGTCGCAAGCTTCGCATTCGTCGCGACGCAGTGGTACAAGTCTCCGCCGGCTGTGACGATTGTCGGAGGGGCGTTGGCGGGGCTGGCGTGGTTTGGGGTTGTCGGGGCGAGGGGGGTGGAGAGGCAGCAGTTTTTCGGGTGAAGGTGAGTTGGCGCTGACCTTTCTGATCACGGTGCTCCTCTCGCCCCTCGTCGATGCGATACTGACTTTGTCTGGCGTACATTTGTGTCGAAGCGGCGTGGGCTCGTCGGACAGGACGGTGACAAGAACGGTTGACCCTAACCTCCTCCTCCCTCGCCCATCTCCCCACGACCTTTCTCAGCGTGTACGTAAATCTGCAACGTCGCCTTGGGTTATTCTGCGGGCCTATGCCACAAGAGAAGCAGTTCCTCCTCGCCTGCGAAGCGAATCGACCTGCATGTCCCGCTCGAAATCGGCTCTTCCTCTCGCATCTCCCTTGCTTCGCCCTCTGTCCATCGAGCGTTCTGCTGTACTTCCTGCTACTTTGCTCACTGTCAGGTTCACCCTGTCTGCTACACCGCCTCGTTGCCCTTGTCCCGCTCGTCGCCTCGGTCTCTTCACTCTCCCTCTCTCTCGCCAGCTTCCTCAACCTCGCTTACACTCTAGCTACGATGGGACTCGCCTCGAAACTCTCCGCTGCAGGGATGCACACGCCCGGCTCCGCCGCCTCAGGCCCTCCCCCTCCCTCACAGCAATTTGGCCACCCTCCCCCTCCCGCGCAGCAGAGCCCGTACGGCCAGCAGCAGCAGTACGGACAGCAGGGACCGCCCCCGGCTTACTCGCAGGGTGGTGAGCGAGCCTTCTTGGGTCTTTGACGCCTTGCGAGACGGTGCTGAGCGAGATGGGCGATGAGGCGATGTGGGGAGGAGGAGGGCGGGTTCTCCGAGATGGGCGGCGCGGGAGCACGGTGCGACGACCGGCATGGGTTCGTGAGGCTGTATGAGGAGACGGACGGATCGAGCGAACACCACCGCTGCCTTGCGCCATCCAACTCGCCCCGAACTTCATGACGAACACTTGGCGACTCGCTCATTCCCTCGACCTCCTCCGATCTCGTTTGCTGACCCAATACCGCCATTTGTATTGGACAGGCTACGCCCAACCGCCCGGCCAAGGCGGAAAGTCGCAGTACGCCCCGCCGTCCGGCGCTCCTCCTCCTCTTCCTCAAGGTCGTCCGGGCGGAGGTGCGTTCGAGCGGTTGCGCTCTTCTCGCGTTCTCACTCGAACGGTATGAGCACGAGACTGACAGCCCCTTCGTGTGCAGGTTCCTCCTCCTACGCCCCTCCGCCTGGCCCGCCTCCCGCTCTTCAGCCTGGGTATCCCCAGCAACAGCAGCAACACGGCTACGGCCAGCCCCCTCAGCAACAACAGTACGGTCAGCAGCAGCAGTACGGCGGCGGAGGAGGATACGGTCAGCCGCGTCAGCAGCAGTACGGCGCGCCTGTGGGAGCGCCTCCTCCGTCGGGCGGAGGAAGCGTCACGTTTGAGAGCATCATGCGGTTGCTCCAGTTCACGGTGCAGGACCAGGTGAGCAACGTTTTCTCTGTTTCGTGGTGACGTCCGTCGCGAGAGCTTGGTCGCAAGGCCGACGTCCCGACGCCCACCTCTCCCTTCTTCTCCCGAACACCTAGACTGACCCTCTACGTCGCTTGTACTCTCGCAGAAATTCCAAGCCTTCTACCCCTCACCCCAATCGCTCGAACCCGTCGCGCACCGCATCGTCCAGAGCGGCATGATCCAGCACCTCGCGCAAGCGTGGCGCCTCCCGCTCGAGATTGCTGTCGACCTCGCCAAGCTTGCGCTATGCGATGTGATCTTGTACATCGACGACTCGGGATCGATGGGTGAGCCGGCCTTTCGCATGCTGCTGTCGTGCAGGCCTTTGACGTTCATCAGCGCTGACTGCTCCGCTGCCTGCACCTCCTGCATGACCGACGCTCACAGCCTTCGAGGAAGGCGGCTCGCGCATCGACGACGCCAAGCTCATCATCTCTCGCGTCGCGCAAGCCTGCTCGGCGTTCGACGACGACGGCATCCAAGTGCGGTTCATGAACTCTCGGATCGAGGGCAACAACATCCGCACAGAGCAAGAAGCCGTCGCGCTCGTCAACCAGATCAAGTTCTCGGGTTTGACGCCGCTCGGAACGGCACTCGACTCGAAGGTCCTCCAGCCGCTCGTTCTCGGTCCCGCTCGCGCAGGCCAGCTTCACAAGCCCGTCCTTGTGATTGCCGTCACGGATGGCGCGCCAGGCGGAGAGGACCGCCACACGATCGTGCGCGTGCTTGTCCATGCGAGCAGGTTCTTGCAGCAGACGAGGTACGGCGCCGATGCGCTGTCGGTCCAACTGGCTCAGGTGCGTGCGGGCGGAGCTATCTCTCTGTGAGGACAGCTCATTGCTCACAATGTCTCCGCCATAGATTGGCAACGACATGAAGGCCCGCGCCTTTCTCGAGGAGATCGACTCGCACCCGGAAGTCGGCGGTCTCGTCGACTGCACCTCGTGCGCCGGCCTCTTCCCTGTTGGATCTCAATCCGCACTGAAGCCCTTGCGTACCGCAGGAACTACGAGAACGAGGCGGACGACTTGGCGAAGCAAGGTTCGTCTGCCTCTCGCCATCTCCCGCTTCTCCACTGACTTCGCTCCGACCGGACAGGCGTCGAGCTTACGCCGGAGCTTTGGCTGATCAAGCTGCTTTTGGGCGGTATCGACTCTAGGTGAGTTCGGCATCGCACGAGCACCCAGAAACGAAGTTGACCTGTCTTCTCTCGCGCAGCTACGACAAGACGTGCGTTCCACCGATGCTCTCTCGCCTTCACAGAGAAGCCGGAGCGATCACTAACGCCTCACTTCTTCCCGCAGCGACGAGAAGTGAACGTCCTCGACTTTTTCTCGCCTGAACGCGAAAGCGGACTCTCGCCCCTTGACCACTCTCCAGCCTTACCCGCGAAGTGCTTAATCAACGACCACCATCACCGAATGCTGTCCATACCTGTACTGCCCGTAATCAAGCCCATCTTGCCGATCCGAACTCCTTCCGAACGAAACGCGGAAGTGCTGCTGTTAACCTTCGACCGTTCGCTCTCGCATCCCGCACAGCGCTTTGCTCGTCCGCTACCTACTCTCTTAGCCCGTCTGCACGACCGCGATACTCTCGAGCCATCCCTGCACCTCTGTCCTTTCCCTCTCCTCCTCGACGTCACCTCTTCGCTTCTTCACTCGTCCACAAGCTCGGATAGCTCGCATGTCCTCTTCCACCCCTTCCCGCTCTCCAAACAACTCGACAGACACGCCCAACACCCTCGCGAACACCCACGACCCCTCTTCGACCCTCATCAACAGTGCGCCCTTCGAGCCGTCCTCCAGCGCGACAACACCCTCGAGGAAGGATAGGAAGGGCAAGGGTCGTGAGAAGGAGGGCTTCGGGTGCGTCTGCTTGTCTGTCACGTCTATCGGAGCCGTGGACAGGGAGAGGCGGGCTTCGAGGGCGAGCAGTGGCTGTGCTGAACGTGTGGGATTGCGGGAGGCGTTTGGACAGGATGGCTGGGCACAATGTGGATGATAGAACTGGTTACAGCTCGGGGGAATGCTCAGCTAGCGAAAGGTGGAAGATCACAGCGACTCACACCTCCCCCTCGCCCGCAGATCCTCCCCAATCGCCTCCCTGCCGCTCGAACTGCTCGCGCACGTCTTCGCACACCTCCCTCCGTACGCTTTGGGGACGTGCCAACTCGTCTGTCGGGCGTGGCATGATGTTGTTGTCGACGAGGCGAGCTGGCGAGTGCGTTTCTCCCTCCTTGTCCCGGCTGAAGTGTGCCCGCTGATGCACTCTGGGCCGAACAGACTGCCTTTGAGACGTACTATGGTGTGACTCCGGACTCGCTCGGCAGGCGGACAGAGCCGTCTTCGTGGCGGTCAGAATACATCTCGAGGGTCTCACTTCTCCGGTGCGTTTGATCACGTACGCTCGGATTCACCCACACTCACAGCATTTCGCAGACAATGGCACCGCGCCCGAACGCCCACCATCATTCACAACCCCTCGCTTGGCGCCCTCTCGCACGTCCACATCAGCCTTCCTTCCGCGTCTTCGCCCATGCCCGGCACTTCGACTCCTCCCGCCTCGCCTCGCACTGCCGACACCACCTCCCTCACCTCGGCCACCCTCCTCTCCCTCTCACTCGACATAGGTGCAGCTGTCCACTCATCGCCCTTCACCGGCAAAGTCTCGAAACGCCCGCTCTTCGCCTCGCCAGTCGACCACCTCGGCCGCCCTCTCGGTCTCCCCATCGTCTCAGCGACCTCCGTCGGTGTCTCCATCGACGGCACCAAGATCGTCTGGGGCATGCGAGACGGCAGCCTCCGCTTCGTCAACTCGTCGCCGACTGGCGGGCGTGGAACAGCAGGCGGGACGATCGAAGCTGGCGAAGTGCGGTCCTTGCCGGACGCGCATCGCGAGGGCTCGGCTATCCAGGCAACTGCGTTCAGCGGCGCTGGCGGGACCGGCGGAGGACGGATGATGGGCGGCATCAAGCAACGGACGGATGTGCTCGTGACGGCGGGAGCGGACGGTGTCGTTGCAATCTGGAGCTTGACGATCCCTGCAAGTGTGGCGGGAGCAGCAGGAGTACGGGATCGTCCGCCTGTCGCGGTCAAGGCATGGCAGGGAAGGTGGGACGTCGCGCTCGATGCGGTACCGGCTACTGCGACCGGCACGGCGGCTGAGGCTGCACCGCGACGGAGGGTCAAGGCGACGTCCATCGCCTTCGACTCGGGCTGGGTCGGGCGGTATCACGGTCGACCAGCGAGCATTGCTGTCGGGCGGAGCGACGGAAAGACGGTCGTCTGGCCCGCCGTCTACATCGACGAGGAGAAGCCGACTACGGCTACCGAAGCGGACGCGCAGGTTTTGCCGGCGGGACAGGGCGGAAAGATCGATTACCTCGTCTTGGATCCGCCGTCGAATCCCTCGGCTTCTCTGTCCCTCCTCGTACACCAAGCCGACTCGCCCGCCTTCTCCCGCTTCGTCTTCTCTCCGTCTAGTCCGCCCATTCGCACGACCTTCGGCCATCCTCAGCCGGACCACCTCTCCGCACTCACAGCCTTTGCCGTCGACTTTGATGAAGCGGCGACCTCGACCGCGTCTGTCCCCTCGACACCGGCAGAAGGAAGGATCTCCTTCCCTTCGCGACCTCGTCTCTTTACGCCATCGGCAAGCTCGTCCAGTCTCGCATTCCCCTCCCTCTCTCGCTCGACTTCGGCGTCCTCGGTCTTCCCGATCTCGACAGGCGCAGATGCCGCATCGGCCGGCTCTTTCGGACAGCGAAAGTACGTTGCGGCGGGTGACAAGGACGGCCGCGTGTTCTTGTGGAACTGGGAGACGAAGCAGAGCGAGGAGGAACAGGAGCGGGGCGATCTCGTCGCGCCGTCTGTGCAGGTCCAGGGGCTCGAGATTGATGGTGGCGGAAGCGCGAGCAAGGTGACGGCGCTCGAACTGACTGACGCAGGCGTCTTTGTCGGAGGGTGCGTCCGCGTTTCTCGTCGACTTTGAACCAGATCTAACTCTCTTGTACGCAGCCTCGACGGCACCCTCCGCTTCTACTCGACCCTCGGCACCGCCCACCTCCTCCAGCCGCCCATCCGCTCCTTCCGCGACCGGACTGCGCCCCGGCATCCGTCCCGAATGCTCGCACAGGGTTTGATCGCCGACGACGAGGAGAACCGCTGGCTAGTCTCTCACGTCCGAGCCAGTCGCGAGGCGGTTGTCGCTGCGATTGGCGGGCGGATCTTGGCTTGGCGGACGAGCAGCGACGTCAAGAAGAAAGGTATCAAGGCGGCGGGAGGAAAATTGACGGCGCGGCAGGAGCGGTTCAAAGGTAAGTCCGCCTGGACCATGCTCTCAGGAGCTTTGCACTGACACCTCTCCTCGGCAGCCAACATGGAGCTGCAGCACCAGGTCCGCGAGTCGATTAACGCCCTCTCTGCCGAATCCGCCGCACGGCTCGAAAGGCGCAGAGAGGAGGAGCGAATGTCGCACGACCTGGGTCTCCCGCCGACCCTCGACAACATGACGGAGGAGGAGGCGGTCGCCTACGCCATGCTCTTGTCGATGGACGAGCAGGAGGCCAAGCTGTTCGAAAACTTGGAGGAGGAGCCGGACTGGGAGCAGGTCCCGGACGAGTTGCTCGACTCGGACGGGCTCGTGCTCGACGAGGACTACGAGCTGTTACAGGCATCAACGTCGGCTGTACATGACGAGGCGGAACACGACGATGACCGACTCTCGCAGGCGACCAGTCGAGGAGGCCGCCGGCCCTCACAGGCGCCCTCACCCGCCAGCTCCCTCTCCGTGCCGTCATCACCCTTCCTTGGCTCTTCGCTCTCGCATCGCTCGTCATCGTCGCCCTCGTCTCGCGGCGTCTCGTACAACTGGAAACCGGTCTCGCCCTCGCTCCGCGCCCTCGGCAGCCCACCCTCCTCCTTCAACCCGCACGCAAAGATACACATCAGCCCGCGACTCGGGCCGACGTACGGTTCGACAGGTGCCGCCTTCACGAACGACCCTATCCCCGACATGAGCCCGGAACTCTGGCCGGTCGCCTCGTCTCCCGCCTCTCCTCCTGGCGCCTCGTTCGGTGGACGGAGAACCTCAACCGGCGCAGCTTCCCCTCTCTCGCCTGCCACGACGCTCTCACCTTCAATGGCCGCGGTCGCAGCGCCGAGCGGCACGCCTGTCCGTCGCGGCTGGTCCGAAGTCGCTCGCTCAGCCGCCTCGACTCCCGGTTCCGCCTCCCCGTCTCCAGCTTCCCGTCTTTCGACTTCGCCCAGCGCCGCGACCTCGTGGCCCTCTCCGCCGTCGACGTCGTCCCTACTCGCGGCCCAACTCCGGCAGAGCGAGATCTCGGCCAAGGCGGACGAGGCTCTGCGACGACAGCAGCAGGAGGAAGAGGACTTGCGGTACGCGCTCGAGCTGAGCATGGTCGAGGAGGCGAGTAGGCTGGAGATCTGAGTTATGGCAACATGCGGAACGCCGCGGCGGGTTCACTCGCTCCTGTCACATCCTCTCGGCGACGCTCTTTCGCTCTTCGGCATCACTACTTTCCTGACAGATGCACACTGCGACGCTCCAAGCTTGCGGATGTCGATGAGGCCTCGACTCGGCACGATGCGCCTTCATCGCCGGACGATGCCTGAGCGCGACGCAGGCTCCTTCATCCTTCCGCTCCTACTACCGACCTCTCACGACTACGAGCGCTTGCTGACGACTCCTGACGACCTCTGACGACCCTCACGACCCCTCAACGACCGTAACGACCTTCTCCCCCTCCGGCTTCTTCCCATTCGGCTTTGCTCCGTCTCGATGAAGCTCCACTTCGCTCCGATTGCGATCTTTCTGGCGTTTGCGGCCACGGCTGCTGCTCTGCCTGCACCGACGGGCGTCGCGTTCCTCGCGAAAAGGCAGTACAAGCTCGGCAATATCCCCTACTTCCCTCAGGAGATTCCCTCCTGCGTCGGTGAGTCTCTCTTCTCCCTCCTCCGATGCAACCGCGCTAACGCTATCATTGAAAACAGCGTGCGAGCCGGAGTGGACGAGTATCTCGAGTTGCGCCCGCGCGGCGGCGGCTTTCAAGGTGCGTTCGGACGAGCTCGCCCAACTTAGCCATCCCAGACGCTGACTCGACGTCATGCAGGACTGGAAGCAAGTGCGTGAGTCGCATAATTGAGGAGTCGCGCAGACTGATGAGGGCTTCCTCCCGCAGATGCTCTGTGCGTTGCTACCGCTTCTTTACCGTCGAGACGCCCGCTGACTCTCGTTCGCTTTCGACGACCCAGTCAACCCCGTCTCGTTCGTCGACGCCATCAAGTGCGCATGTACCGACACTTTCTCCTCCGCCTGTGCGTTTTGGCTGCCATCCCGTGCCTCATGCGCAAACGAGGAGCTGCGAGTATAGTCTGCCTTCTCCTGATCACTTCTCCTCCTCGCAGACCCGCAATGCGTCGACTGCTTCGTCCAGACGAACCAGTGCGAGGAGTATCTCGGCGTCCCAAGCCTCGAGGCCAACTCGTCGAGCATGTCCGTCCCTTTCCCCTCGCTTTCTCCGTGGCTTTGACATCCGGCGCAGACGACTACTACGAAAGCGGGCTGACACGCTCTCGCAAACGCAGCTTCGACGGTATGCGCAACGTCTGCGGCTTTGGCTCTGCGCTCCTCGGCGGCGTCGCAACGTCTTAGGCGGCGAACAACATCTCCTACACCTACAACGGCGCGCTCAATGCTTCTTCTCCTCAGTCCCCGCTGCTTGGCTGACAAGTTTGGCTTGCAGGCACCCCGAATCAGGGCTATCCGACCGCAACTTCGACGGGAGTCGGCGGGATGGATTATGGCAGCGCGGAGGGAGTTAAGAGCGGTGCTGCGCGTCTCAAGAATGGACTTCTCGGCGCGGCATTATCAGTTGTTGTCTGCATGGCCGGCGTAATGCTGCTTTGAACGTCCTCAAACGGTGACTCTCCCCCGTCGTTCCTCGCCGTACTGTCTTCCCCTCTCTTTGGGTTCTCTCAGTCCTGTATTGCGAGACAGATACATCGCGTCGAGAGTAGACGGCGTCTCACGAGGTAAACGCGAAGGCGAAAACGATGAAACGGGCGCAAAGCGACTCTTTTGATAGCAAGCACGGCAACAAAGCAGAACAGACGCGACCCCACTCGCCTTCCACCTACACATCCAATCCGTGCATCGTTCCTCCGTTCGCCTGTCCGGCCGCCTCTGGCTCGTTGCGGTCGCCACTCGCCTTCCCAGCCTTCAAGCGAGTCGCCGCGGCAGCCTTCGAGCTGGTGAAGCCGAGGCGAGTCGAGCGAGCACGAGTGGGTGCGGAAGACTTCGTCGATGCGGTAGTCGAGCGACGAGAGCGCTTGGCGGCGGGTTCGGCGTCGCCCTCGTCCTCCTCCTTCGGCTCCGCCTTGACCTTCCTCCCGCGACCCTTCTTCGGCTTAACGTGCTCCTCGGCCGACTCATCGCGCGGCATCCCCTCCTCGTCCTCCATCTTGACCGCCTCGCCCTTCCTCGCACCCAACTCGGCGACCCTCTCCTCCGCCGCGTCCGGCAACGGCTCAAACTCGATCTTCTCTGCGCCTTCGGCGTGCGCGAAACCGACTGTTTGGCCCGCCTCGTCCTTGACCGGCACCTCCTCCGCCTCCTCCGTCTTCTTCCCCTTCGCCCCTCCGCCTCCGCCTTTGTATTTCCCCTTGACCCGCTTCACGAGATGATCAATCGGACACGTCTCGACGAAATCCATCGTCGTAACGCCATTCGCAGCGCATCGGACACACCCACGTCCATGTCGGACGAGAAGCGAGTGAAGCGGGTACTTGAGCTGGGAGGGGAGGAGGTGGTCGAGGTGGTAGAAGGCTTGGTCGCGGGAGGGAGGAGCGGCGGTGGAGGTTTGGCGGGTGGGCTTCGAGGGAGAGGAGGAGTCCGAGGAGGAGAGGGTGTACACGGAGCCGTTCGGAGGGAGCCAGCCGAGCGAGAGTGAGAGGCGGTGGACGTGGCTGCGGGTGGAACATCTCGTGAGCTACGGTGACATGAGAGCAGAGAGACGGGCACGCACGTGTCCACGGCGAACGAGTCCCTCCCGAGGCAGAAAAGCAGCACACAGCTCGCCGTCTTGATGCCGACCGAATCAAAGCTGATCAACTCGTTGAGCGCCTCCTCGTCGCTCTTCCCATGCAAGTAATCGAGGCTCAACTCGCCCTCGCCCGGCTTGAGGCCGAGCTCGCCGACGTTTCGAGCTTCGAGGCGGTCGAGGATACCCATGATCGCCTTGGACTTGTTGCCCGCGAGACCGCCGCAACGGATCGTCTCTTGCAGCTTGGCTTGGCCGCCGACGAGGACGGCGCGGTAATTAGCGCGGCCGTAGATCTGGTCCATCTGGACCTGCGTGGAGGGGAGCGATGGTCAGCAGGAGGAAGCGGCTGAAACGCTCGACCCGGTCACACCTTTGCCGCAGTACTGTTCTTGCTCGTCGTGTTCTGCGAGAGAATCGTCCTGCACGACGCACAGAACCCGTCAGCCCAGCCGATCTCGAGCGAAAGAGTCAAGTCCGTCCCCGCCGCACCTCACAAGCGCATCCAACACACTCGGCACCTGCCCGCACCCCGCCGGCGCATCCTCCTTGTCAACCAGCACGTTTGGCCTCGTCGGCATTCCATGCACGCTAGCGAGCAAGTCGCACACCTCCTGCGCTTCTTGCGGAGTCGGGTGCTGCCAATGCGGGAAAGGCGTCTGAGCTGCGCGGGACGATGCGTGGAGAGAGAGTTTCTTGAGTGCCGAGGCGGGAAGGGTGGGCTTGGGCTTGTCTTCGTCGGCGGTGGGAGTCGACGAGGGAGGGGGAGTGGCGGAAGACGAGCGCTTGATTGTGGCGGTCGAGGAGCGCGCTCGTTTCGCTGGCGACATCCTTGCGACGTTTGCGAGCTGTCTGAGTGAGCGAGTGAGCAACAGCGTGAGTGCGGGAAGTGCGAGAGCGAGAGAAGCGGAAGTCGATGTCGGCGAGCGGGGCCAGTCGCGATGAGACACCGCTCGACGACGTCGGCGACAAAATTCGGGAATCGCTTCAGCGGGCTGCGAGTGCGAGGACGAGGGTGAGCCAGCGGCGTCAAGAAAAAGCTGATTCAACAATCGCCGAGAAGAGCGAAGCAAAAGAAGCGAAGCGACGGTCTTCGACCTGAGAAGGTCAAGGTCGACGTTGCGAAGCGGGTTTGCAAGCGAATTCTGGGTGTGTACAACGACAGGCGGGAGTTGGAAGAGTCGCGGAAAGGGGCTGGATCAAGCGGCGTCGACAGCGGCGAGGCGGGAGAGGAGGTCGGCTGCGAGCGCGAGACGAGCGCGGATGTCAGCCTTCGTCTCATCGGGCGAGCGTCTTCGACTTCCGCCACGCAGTCGACCGCGCTCGTCACGACGGTAATCGCGTCCGACAGACGAGGGAAAGCCTCGCGACGCACCATTCTCGTCCCTCCTGTCGCTGACCTCCTTGTTCAACTCCTTGACCTTGCCCGCCAGTCGCTCGATAACGAACTTGTTCTGCTTCAACTCGGCCCTCAGCTTGTCCATCTCTGCCGTGCCGTTCCCCGCCGTCGTGCTCGGCGACGGCGTCGGAGCCGGCGTCGATGCGCGAAGCTTGACCTCTTCCTCCTCCGCCTTCTTCCGCCTCTCCGTTTCGGCCCTCAAGCGTCCTTCCAGCTCCTTCTTCTCCCTCTCAACCACCTCCAGCCTCCCCTCCAGAATCAACCGATCCGCCTCGGCCATCTCCCTCTCCCTCTGCTCGCTCCCTCCTTTCGCCGGACTAGTCGAGGCGAGGTGTGCGCGCGCTTCGGCGAGCTCGGCGAGGGTCGAGTCGAGTTGCGTTTGGAGAGAGGCGCGGGCCGAATTGGATTTGTCGAGGTCTTCGAGGAGGAGGGCCTGCAAGCCTCGCAATCAGTGCGCATCTCATCAGTACCCGCTTGGCTTTCACGACAAGAAGGCGCGGGGGGAACGACGCACGACTCGACGACTCGGTTTCGCGTCCTCCCTGCGCCGTTTCTCCCTCTCAACCGCCTCATCCCGCTCTTTCTCCAACTCCCTGACCCTCGTCCTCTGTGCGTCCGCCTCGCGGCTCGCTTCCACAGCCCGCTCGAGCGCGTCAGCGAGCTCGTTCCCGGAAGCGACTTGCTGCGACGATTCGAGTGGGTCAATCGCGCTGGCGGAAAGCAGAGGGGGAGGGGAGAAAATCGGACCTGCGTCGCTAAGGCTTCGAGCCTGTCGAGGTTGGACTGCTGCTGCTCGACGGTCTTCTTCAACTCGCGGTTCTGTACGATGCGCGCGAGAGCTCGCGTAAGTCCCTGTCGGCTGCTCAAAAACGAGCGATCGGACGCACCTCCTGCACCACTTCCCTCCTCCTCCCCTCTTCCTCCCTCCTCTTTCCGCTCTCCTCTCTCTCCCTCTCCCGTTCCTTCAGAAGCGCCCCCCTCCACCCCTCCACAAGACACTCATGCACCCTCGCCCACTCTCCTCCCCCTCCTCCCTCGCGGGCTTTCTCAACCATCGTCAGGTACGCCGCCATCTTTAGCAGAAGAGGAGGAGAAGTGAGGGGCAGGGAGGGGGGAGTGAGGAGGGTTGAGAGGAGGTAGATGAGGGAGGAGGGGAGGGAGGGTGGGAGGTGAGAGGCGGGATGGGGGAGTATCTGGACTCGAGGAGGGTGTCAGCCCCGAGCGCGTGGGTGACGAAGAAGGAGCAGAGAGAGAGAGGAAGACAAACACACCTTCTCCTCCCAAACCTCGAGCAACCTCCGCTCCACTCTCTCCGTATCCTCCCACTCCTCCCTACTGACCCCAACGACTCCCAACGCATGTTCAACCACCGCATCCACCGACGCTCCCATCGGCGCCATGAGCGGGCTCGGGTGAAGAGAGGAGATTGGATAAGCGGAGGAAGGGAGGGAGGGGATGTATCCTGGGTAAGGGGCGGGTGAGGGGTAGAGATGGAAGGGGACTGTGGGAGGAGCGGGCGGGGGAGCGGTGTGTGCGACGGAGGGGATGGGGAACGTTTCTGGCCGAGGGGAGGGTTGTCAGACGACTGGTTCGTCCTGCGCAGACCGGTTCCCCTGACCGCCTTCCATCCCTTTACCTTCGCCTCGCTCCTTCCCCTCGTTTGTCGCGATCGTATCCACCTCGCGCGCACGCTGGAAACTGCAGCCGTCGCCTTCGGTTCGAACGTCCTCGCGAGCGGCGATGGACGACGAACCGGCACCTGAGGCTGACTCGTCGGCGCGGATGGAGCGGCGGATGCTGAGAGCGCCGCAAGCGTCGGACGTGTAGGGAGCGAAGCTGGTGCGGGCGGGAGCGTCGAGGGGGTCGTCCCAGTCGGAGGAGGAGGAGGGGGAGGAGGGGGAGGCGGCGATTGCTGTCCCGTACTCGTCCGCACCGCCGTATTCGCGCGAGCCGACTCGAGTCTCTCGCGGAATGCCTTTGCGCGGTCGAATGCGGTCGTTGCGGCGACTGGATCGGCGGGAGACGAGGATGTTGGTGCGGGAGACGAGGAGGACGAGGAGAGGGATGAGCCGGTGCGGTAGGTCGGCGGTGGGGGCATGGCACTTGGGCGAGTCAATGCGAGAGTCTGAGCAGTCTTTTGAGCTGAATCAAGCGAGTTGCGAGCGATGAGAGTGCGAGGACGAGGTGAACGAGGCCGGTGCGCTCGCCTCGCCTCGTCGGGTGGACCCGTTCAAGTCAGTACCTACGATGCAAGACGATACAAGTGTGATGCAGCTGTCTATGGATGCAACGAAGGCTTCTACCGCGCACACTCTCGTCCTCCTGCTCGTTCCAGTCTGTATCGAAACTTTTGGCCAAGTCCTTCGCTCGCTGACTCGCTTTCCTCGCTCCTCGTCTTCATCCAGCTCTTACGCGTGCTTGCCGAGTGACACTGCTGACACGCAGACCCTCGGCACCGTCGCACTGCCCGCCCGGCGACCTCGCTGCTGACGCGCCCGTGTTTACGACGCACCTCGCTCGCTCATCGGACCACTCTCAGCACCTCGCTCCCTCGCCCTCTCCCTCTCGCTGTACGCTGAAGTCGACTGCACAGCACCCTTACACGCACGCAAACCCACTCCATTCGCAGCCCGCAGCTCGCAGCGACGACCACCTCACTCGCTCGCTCGTCTCCCGCTCGCGCCGGTTCCCACGGAGTCCTCGGACGCGGGCTGTACGCACCCGGTACGCCACCCGCGCGGTCTGAACTAGCTTTCTTGCACTCACCTCTTTGCGCTCGAACAGCCCCGACGCCCTCTCGAGCCAGTTGACCCTCCATCGAACCGATGACATCCTCAATACCCGCACGACCAACCTCATCCCATTCTTCGTCTCAACCTCCCCTCTCCGCTCCACACCAACCACAAACACCCCACTCTCCCGCCGCGGCCCCCCCACCACCGCCAGACCTATTCGTCCTCGTCCGTCCACCCCCAGGCTCGTCCGCGCACCCCTTGAACCTCCAAGTCCAGCTCCTCGTTCCCTCGACCGCTCATCGTCCCTCAGGAGCCGGTGGAGTGAGCGCAACGAGTTTGGACAAAGTCGCCGGAGCGAGCGTGAGTAGGGATGGGGACGTCGGGTCCGTCGAGGGGGCGGGAGGAGGCTGGAGAGCGAGTGGGAGTTTCGAGAGGGCGAGGAGTTCGTCCCGAGGCAGGGCATCGCCGGGGAGTGCGCGGGTCTCTCGCTCGCCGAGTCTGAGCTCACTCGCGTCTGGGCGGAGCGGGTACAGCGTGTATTCGGGCGAGAGCGGGGTGACTGGGACCAGTTCCGCAACGGGCACGGGCACGGGGACGGGGAGCGGGAGGAGGAAAGTCACGCCGTTGTTGAACCTGGCGTTTCATTCGGTCTTGCCGACGGTCGTCACGGATGCAGGTGCGTTTGCGCTCACAGACGCTTTCTCTCTCTTCCCTTTTCCCACGCAGGAGAATGCTCACACTAGTTTGCGGTCTGCAGGAACGGACCAACGAGTCGCGAAGTTCGCCAAACGCGGCGTCGAGTTCACCGGACTAGCCATCTTTGACCCGGTCGACCTCGCACTCGCCAACTCTCCCTCTGCCTCTACTTCCTCTGGCGTCGCTTCTCCGCCCGCGTCGAGACTTAGTCCGACTCCTTCACGCGCGACAAACGGCGCGACAAGTGGAGCGGGGGGAGGAGGTTTATTGGGCAAGTTTAAGCGGTTTTCGTTCAACCCCGCCCCATCCGCCTCTCCCTCCTCTCCTTCTCCATCCGCACCCGACTCGCGCTCCTCAAAACTCTTCTCCTCGCTCTCCGCCGCTCCTGCCCCCTCATCACCCTCCAAACCAGCCCCCGACTCTGCCCCCTCCGGCCCATCTCCACACACGCTCCCCCTCCTCCGAACCGCCTCACCACCCCATCCCTCCGCCCCTCCGCCCCCCGAGAATCGCGAGAAAGGCTATGCGTTCGTCTTGCGCAAGTGGCTGCGTGCGGATTTGGAGGGCGCACCGAGGGGCGTGAGAGTCGAGTGGAGTCGGCGACGAATGAAGGAGTTGAAGGGTGCGAGTAGGCGCGGGTCGGAAGTTGAGCATGGGGCGGAGGAGGGAGAGGAGGAGGAGGAGGAGGAAGACCCTGATACGCCGTGGGTTTGCACGCTCGTGTACCCTCTTTCGGGGGCGCATGCGAGTCCGAACCCGAGCTCTAACTCTGGGGCGGGAGAGAGGAGCGGGGGGAGTAGTCCTGCGACGTCTGTTCGTCGAGGGGGAGGGGTGGAGGACAGTCCGCCTCTTTCGAGTGCGGGACAGACTGGATTCGCTCTCTCGCCCACCACCACCACCTCCTCCTCAGCGCCAACAACACGAAGACTCCACCTCGCCACCCTCCGTCCTGCACCTTACCATCCCAAACTCGTCTCGACCCTGCTCCTCCCTCCGCTCCTCCCGTCCATCCCACTCGGGACTTTCCACCCTTCGCGCGGCCTCCAAGGCGGCGTCCTCGGACCGGAAGAACTGCGGGACTTGGTGATGGTTTCCGCCATGTGGGTCGCCGTGCGCGAAGGGTTGGGCGGACTCGAGGGCGTGAAAGTCGAGAGTGGGATTGCGGGGATGGGAGAGGGAGTGGAGCAGGTTGTGGCGGGGTTGAAGGAGAAGGGGCAGGGGGTGAAGAAGGTCGTGTCGATTGGGTCGTCGGCGGGGGTGAGAGAGGCGGGAGGGCAGAGGGAGAGGAAGGGAGGGATTGGGTTGGGCATTAGGGAGAGGTTGTTTCGGTAGGGGAGGGGAGGACGAGGAGTACTTTATACCGTCGTCGTGTTTTGCTATACCCCTTGCGCAACTCGTTTCCCCTTCATCCTCCTCCTCATCGTCGCTCGTCGTCGCGCTCTCGCTTCGCCCGCCGCTTTCCTCCCCGGCTCCAACGTGACGTCCACGCATACACCCGCTGCGTCACCACCCTCTCATCCGTTGGCCCGCCAAGTCCCTCGAAACGCGCTAACCTCGACGAGGTTCAACGTCCAACGTCTGTCTCCACCTCGCTCGCTCGCTCGTCTGGCTTGCTTGGTCTCTTGCTTGACAGACACAGTCTGAGGAGAAGATGACTTCTCAGTACGCGCTGCTGCCTACGAAGGAGCCCATCCCCTCATCGCCGTCCTCGACCTCTTCAACCGACCCCGCACACCCCTCTCCCTCATCCACCAAGCACCTCAGCGACTCCTACTCGCCTCCAACGCGCCCCTCCACGCCCTCGACGCGCCACGCGATCCTCCGTGCGCTCTTGACGACTCTCGCATGCTGTGTCGCCGGATTCGTAGTCGGAGGAACCGGGTTGGTCCTCCTCGCGCCTGACGTAGCAGGTCGGGCATGGAGCGGGTTGTCCTGCCACGGAGCGGAGAGCAGTGACAGGGTAGGCGGGCTTTGGAAGCGCCAAGCGGCGGAGGGGGGAGGGGCGGGTGCGGAGTACAGCACGACTACGTACGAGGGTGGGAAGGGCGCGACGAGTACTTTCGTCAAGACTACGAGGCCGATCGTTAATCCTGGTGCGTGGCGAGTTGTCCCTTTGACGCGTTGAAGGCGGTTTGAGGGCGCTCGACGCGAAGTCGTTCGCTCCTCGTCAGGATGGACGGTCCTGACAACCTCTTTTCTCGCTGATGCAGGCGGCTACACCATCGGCACCCTGACGGGCTTTGTGCCGGTCTCGACGACCACGCTTCCCGCGTCCCCATCCACCTCTTCCTCGTCCGACTCTTCTTCCGCCTCGTCCGCTTCCATGACGAATGAGACCACCACCTCCTCTATCCCAGCGCCGACCTCCACAGCGGATTCAACCAGCGAGACATCAGAGACCGTCAGCGAGCCGGCCTTCACCCGCTCGAACCCGTTCGTGCACCCAATCTCCACTGCGCCCTTCGCCTCCTCCATCTCCCCCGTGTCAGTCGCCCCAGAGCGCCGTCTCTTCAAGCGCCAATCCCCCTCCGACTCGTCTCTCACCGCAACGGCGACGGGAAAGGAAGAGTTCCGCACGAGTATTGATGCCCGACCTGGGAGGGAGACGACTGTTACGCTTGTGAAGACTACGAGGCCGATCGTGCGTTCCCTCTCCCTTTGCTCCAGTTGCTCAAGCTGTGCTTGCGGCGTCGAGCCAGTCAAAACCTGGATTCGAGTGGCGCTGATGGTACGAGAAAATGTCACTAACTGTTTGGGACTCGTTGCGCGCACAGGTGAACGCCGGAGGATACACGATTGGCACGCTCGACGGTGCATGGGTCGACGTCGCGAAGCAGACGGACCGTCCCTCCGCCTCCTCTCCTCCTCCTTCCTTTGCCTCTTCCTCGGCATCCTCTTCGCTCTCCGACTCTCCTCCTTCATCGTCGACGGCATCGGCTACGATGGCGCCGGACAAACGCGCGCATGAGGAGTTGAGGAGGAGGAATGTCGTCCATCTCGCGGCGGAGTGAAGGGAAGGTCCCGAGGAAGGGAGGAAGACGCTGGACGTCTCCCCTTTGAACCCTCGCCGTTCCGCGCCTCCTACGTATGTGCCCGGGGACGTACAGACACTCTTGTTCTGACGCTGTACATACGCACTCGTCGTTGCGGTCCCTGGAGGACTTTCGCTGTAACCCGTTCTCTCTGTGCATACTCTCGCTTCCTCCGGCTTCCCTTCGAGCCCCTCTCCTGTGAGATCTGCGTCCCCTTGCAACAGTATGAGCGAGCCCTTTCAAGCAGAGTGAAGTTGTCTCGTCCTCGTGCCATTCCACCGGGTCTCGACTCTCTTCGCAGTCAACTCGCTCGCGCTCTCCCTCTCTCTTGCAAAGACTACAACTGGCTATCGCTCAATACTCGCACGAGCTAACGTCAACCCGATCGACGACTGCGACAGGCGAACACGCCTCGCCTTTGCCCCCGGTTCTCGTCTCGTTCTCCGGACCCTCACCACAACCTCGTTCTCTCTCTTCCCGCGCATCCGAGACCGGCGACGCACGACTCGTGAGTCCCACACATCAGGAGATACGAGCTGTCGAGGTATGTTCGCGCTTTGAGCTGAGATGGGACGAACGGGAAACGGGTGGGGAGGAAGCGAGGGAGGGTCGGACGGGCGATGGAGCGGGGTTGATGGGAGCGTTGGGGTCGTCGGGAGGGACAGGGAGGTGCTGGGAGGCTGGCTGGGTGAACAGGGCGCGGATCAGGCGAGGCTGAGAGGAGCGACATCGCTTCTTGCTGATGGGACGCACGAGGAGGACAAGCTCAGCGGACCAGCGCAGCGGGGCTCGGTACTCACGCTGAAACCGTTTGTACACTCCTTGCAGACCACCCAAGCCGCACACGACCTAGCGCACACCCGAACTCGGCCTCTCTCGCCTCGGCATTTCTCGCGCTCCCCTCCTCATCCTCTCCCTGACCTCGCACCACCTCGCCTCCCTTGAACTCTTTCCTTTCGACTCGACTGGAACGACAAAGAGAGCGCGCCGTGACAAGCCAGCCGCCGCACAATGTCGGCCTCGATCCGAGGCGGCTTTCCCCTCTCCTCGTCGACGAACAACCGGCGACGAAGACCGTCGGCTGCGGGCTTGTCGCTCTCGTCGCCTGATGTACCACAGCTACACTCGATGCCTACGCGACACGAGTCCCCGCAGACGCATCCGCCCACTGGATCGCCGTACATCCATCACCACCACCGCGAACCCTCTGGCGGTCCTCCTCTCCAACCCTTGACGCCGCTACACAACCCCGCCACCGCCTCACACACCTCCTCGCACTCGTCCAGCGGCGGCACAACCTCCCCTCACAACCCCTCCGCCTCGTCCCTCTCGCTGACATCCATCTCCTCAACCTCGACAACCCACACAACCACAACCGGCATCTCACGCGCCTCTTCCACGCGCTCGACTTCCTCCGTGCAAGCCGTGCCTATGCGGAAACCCCAGCGCGCGCCGGCTGTACCGCGGATCGTGACGAGGGGTATGAATGCGTTGGGAGCGTATGGGGTTGGGCCGGCTAGTGCGGCGCAGAGTCCGACGAGGGGGAGGGGAGAGGGTGCGCCAATGGGGATGGGGATGACGAGCGTGGTTGGAGGGGCAGACGTGAAGGGCAAGGGGAGGTTGGTGGATATGGAGGAGGGAGGAGAGTCGAGTGAGGCGGGGAGCGGGAGCGGCGGGGGAGGAGGGGGAAAGAGACCGAGTATGTTGCAGCGGAGTAGCTGGCGACGGAGAGGGAAAGGCTCGAATGCGGGTGGAGGAGACGGATCACTCCCTTCTCCGCTTCCGTCGCCCGTTCACGAGGGAGGATCCATCCCGAACTCGCCGGTGGGAGGGAACAGCGACGTCGAACTACCGCCTTTTCGACCGCGCGCAGGAGGGGCGCGGACGGACTCGACGGGATCAGGATCGGTTTCGCGCGGTCGAGCCGCAGATGGGGAGGACACGGGTGCATCAGCGGCGGCGAGCTGGACGCGCCCGAAGTACGACCGCGCCGACTCGAGCAAGAAGGACGACTTGCCTCGGCTGAGGCGGTCGCAGGAGGAGTCGACTGCGGCGAGTCTGGCGCAGGACCCCGGGCGGGATGGGTCGCTCAGTCCGTCGCGGGCTGAGGCGAACGGCTCGCCTGACGGTCGACCACCGCCTCCAAATGCCCACGAACGCCAGACCAGCTCATCAAGCACCGCCATGCCCGGCTCGCCTGCCTCCCCTACAACAGGCCGGCGCCCCGACTGGGCTGCAGCAGGCGAAGAACGACGAGGCCGTCCGTTGACGGTCGAGGAACGCCAAGGGTGCATCGGGATGACGCCGAATGCGATGGGTGTCGTAGGGAATCGGAGAAGCACGGAGGACTTTGAGTTCGGGGAGGTGCTGGGTGAGGGGAGTTACAGTACTGTGCGTCCCGCCCTCTCTCTCTCTTCTCCCGCCTACGCTCACCAGTGTTGGCGCAGGTAACGCACGTAACGACCGTCCACCCGCCCTACCGGCAATACGCCCTCAAAGTGCTCGACAAGGAGCACATCAAGCGCGAGCGCAAGACTAAGTATGTCCTCATCGAGCGGGACACGCTCAAGGCGCTGGATGGACACCCGGGGATCGTCAAGCTTTGGTGGACGTTTCAGGACGAGTGGAGTTTGTGTGAGTTCGATGCTCCTGCCGTGTTGTGCTGGCGCGATGGCGTTGCATCGGAGAAGGCATGCCAGCGTGCTGCAAGCGCTGGAGGCTCGACCTGACTCGAGACGCTTTGCAGATTACGTCCTCGAGTTTGCGGAAAATGGCGAGCTGCTCAAGTGGATCAAGAAGGTGAGTTTCCCCTCTTCCCCTTCGCTCGTTCCATTTGCTTACTCACTTCGCTCCGCAGTACGGCTCGTTCGACCTCCGCTCGGCACGATATTACCTCGCGCAGATTTTGAGCGCGGTCGGCTTCATGCACGACAAGGGCGTCATCCACCGCGACCTCAAGCCCGAGAAGTGAGTCTCGCTCGCCATCCCTTGTCCGTCAAATCTGACCCGCTCTTCGCGCGCAGTATCCTCCTCGATCGCAACATGCGCGTCAAGGTCACCGATTTCGGGACGGCCAAGCTGCTGAAGAAGGAGGAGATGGCGGATGGGCATCCGCTCGATGGTGAGTGTCGCGAAAACGCCCTCAGCTCGAGCTGCTTTATGTGCGGTGGGCTGATCGAAGTTCCTCGCCCTCGCAGATCCGATGGGACGCCCACGCACGCGCTCGTTCGTCGGCACGCCCGAATACGTCAGCCCCGAGATCCTCAGCGAAGGGCGCGAATCGAGCTTCAGCTCCGACTTCTGGGCGCTCGGATGCGTCCTCTTCCAGATGCTCGCTGGTCGACCACCGTTCCAGGCGCGAACCGAGTACCTCATGTTTCAGAAGATCATCAACCTCCAGTACGAGTTCCCGCTTGGCTTTCCCGCCGATGCGAAGGACCTCGTCGAAAAGCTGCTGGTGCGTGTGCTCGCCAAAGTCGTATGTTCTCTAGTTCACAGCGTTTGCGCAGGTCGTTGACCCGAAGGCGCGACTCGGAGGCGATCCGGCGAACGGCAACGGCATTGAGCAAGTCAAGAATCACCCGTTCTTCACTTCGCACATTGCGCCCTCGTCGTCTCCTCCCGTCTCGCCCACTCGTACTGCCGACTCTCCTTCGCCGGTCGAAGCGCCCGGCGCCAAGTCGGCTGCGTCGTCAGTATCGACAGGCGGCCAGCGGACTTCCGGCGAGGAGGAAAAGTCGACGCCCGCTTCTTCCGTTCACGAGCCATTCTCCGAGCTCTTGTCCAACCCCGCGGCGCAGAAGACACCCGTCGACGCGTTGACTGGTGCGACCGCCGACCTTGCGCTCAGCACGCCGCAACAGACCCCGCCCATGACTTCGACGCCGCAGCCCAAGCTCGCCACGCCCGAAGACTCCTTCGTCGCTCATACTCCTCATCCTCTTGACGCGCCCATCGACTGGTCGACAATCTGGGTCGTCGAGCCTCCGCCGATCAAGACCGGCTTGACGCCTCCCGCTCCGACCATCCGCGGCGAGTTTGTGCTTCTCGGCGGGAACGAGGGCGCAGACTCGTCGCAGGCGCCGTCGACGACGGGCACAGGCCTCACTGGCGGACGGTCGTACGCAGAGTCGGGTGTTCAGCGCGACGAGGATGCCGAGTCGGACTTTGGTGAGCGCGGGTCGGTCAGCGAGGAGGACGACGGCGACGAGGTCGGCAGCAGCCCGACGAGCGCCACTGGTGGCGAGAGGCCAGCATCGGGCGCCGGCATCGGCAAATGGGCCGGCGTGCTCCTCCCGTCCGAGACGATTCTCATGCTCTCGCCCGTCCTCCAGAAACCGTCCTCTTCCGCCGCAGCCGCCCGGACGGCCATCCTCTCTCGCAGCTCGCGCATCAAGCTCCCTCGCAACCCTCTCACCCTCATCTCGTCCTCCGCCTCCGCCCCGCCCTCGACCCAGCCCTCGCCGCAGAATGGCACGATCCCGCTCCCTTCTCCCTCTTCTGGTGGCTCCGCTTCTTCCGTCAACCCGCTCGGCGCAGCGGCCGTCGCAGCAGCCAACTCTCCTCCGACGACACCTCCCGGCTCGAAGCCCCGCACGCTCATCCTGACCGACTACCCTCGCCTGCTCTGCATCAAGGAGACGCCCGAGCGCATCACCGTCAAGAGCGAGGTCTTTCTCGGTAGTGCCTTGCGGGGCGGCATCAAGAAGGAATGCGCGAGCGCGTTCGTCGCCGTCGAGCCGAGCAGCAAAGACAGCCGGGGCTTTACCGTCAAGACTGTACGCCCGCTTTCGTCTCGGTTGTCCAGACTGCTCGCTGACCCTCCTTTCGACGCAGTCCGCCCGCAACTACAAGTACGAGGAGCCGTACGGCCAAGCCTCGCGCTGGATCCACGAGCTCCGCGAGGCGCACCAGACCGGCCTCCTTGTACCCTCGACCCAGCGGTAGATTCCGCACACCATACACAGACACTACATTCTCCTTTCTCCACGTCGCACACGGCCTTTTCAAGCATCCCTTTCGCATACCCAACGTTGTAGCAGCGCCCGCCGCATATCGTCCTCGTCCTCGCTCGCAATCCAGCAACCTCGGCTTTCCTGGACTGTCGAAGTCGGAGACATCGCTCGCGCTGTCGCAGGGTCACGACAGCTTCAGCAAAGAATGAGGTCAAGCAGCGCAAGCGCGAAGTTCGTTCAACCTCGGCCAGCAACGTCCCGCAGCTCGAGATGACGCAGTTCCTTGCTTGCTGTTGGTGCTCTGCTCCTACTCTGCTCTCTTGTCTTCCTGCACACCGTACCAATGCCCGCCAAGACGAAGCGGGACGACGGTGAGTGACTTCCGTCTCCTCAACGATGAAGCGCGACAACTCTCTCACATCGCCATCGTAGGACTCGTGCAACTGCCCGGCAGACGCCATGCGTACCGTTTCACCCTGTGCACAGAACGCCGGACCGATCTCAAGCCCAGCCAGGTTGCCAAACATACGGCTTGCGAGCGACATTGCGTCCGTCTCAGGTCCCGGCAACACCGCGAGACAATTGAGGCGATCCTGGCACAGAAACGAGCAGCTGCTCGAGAACCGGTGGAGGAACCTGTACAGCAGGACCGGAAGGCGGTCTCAGGCGTCGGGGAGCAAGGGACGTCCAAGCAAGAGGTCAAGTTTGACCCCGACCTCGACGACGGGCAGCCAATCCAGGTCGCTCCCGAGCGAATCTGGGAGCCGACGAAGCGGGCTCGTCCGTTGGCTCGTCAATCGTCGAGCAAGCGGAAGTTCAAGCCGGGTTGGGAGGACGGCAGCGACCTCGCGGAAAGGAGGCGCACTTGGCATGAACCGTTTGCGATTCCGTAGCGGAATCGATACTTCCTGTACTGAAGCAGTGTGAAGGGACTGAGCGCTCCGGTGTGAGAACGGGACCTGCTTCTCCGATGCTTCTCCTCCTCGTCCTGCACCTCGCCAGTCCTTCGCTTCGCTGCTGATACTGATGATCGTATTCCGCTACTCATGAGTCACTACATACAGGATGGGCACAAAGGTGAGGTCGACCGAGAGGCAAAGGAGAAGTTGGGCGGGCGTTCAGACAGAGTGGACGTTTTCGACGCGCGACTCTCCGCCCTTGAGGTCCTTGTCGTCGACTTCACCCATGCTTGGAGTGCGGCCGGCGCTGTGTCAGTCGAGGGTCAGCGCTTAAGCGAGGCAAAAGGGAGGAAAGCCGGAAACTCACGACGACTCGATGTCGGCAACGTTCTTGATGCCCTTGGCAGGCGGGACGCGCCACGCCGTAAAGGTGTTCGTGCCGTCGAAGATCTCCTCCATCTCCTCGAGGGTGCGGCCCTTCGTCTCGGGGTACATGAAGAACTGGATTGCGCGGTGTACGGTCAGCGGAGTTTGCGTGAGGGATGGGAAGGAAGGCGACGAACGAAGTGGAGGAAGGAGCAGATGTTGAAGGTGCCGTAGAGGAAGTAGACGCGGTCTGCGAGTCGGAAGATATGGTGAGGTCAGCTTCGAGTCAAAGGTGGTTTCGACTTCACGTCGGCTTGAGACAGTTCAGGGAAGATCGCAACGTACACTGGATGTTGCGGAAAGCCGGAGGCGTCGTCATCGAGAGAATGAAGTTGAAGCTGCGCGAGAGAAGGGTGTCAGCAAGAAATCATGGGGGCGGACGCGGAGGAAGGACCGGCTCACATCCAGTTCGACGCGGTAGCGAACGAGACAGCCTTGCCGCGCACGCGCGTCGGGAATATCTCGGAAGCGTAGGTCCACGAGCAGGGCTGTAGAGCGAAAAGAGCAGGGTCAGCGGTCGAAGCAGAGAGGAGAAAGGAGAAAGCGAAGTCGGAGGAGAGGAAACGCGACGCACTCCGAGCGTGGCGGAGAAGCTGCAAACGAAGAGGTACGAGAAGACTGGCAAGAGGGGAGAGTTAACGAAGCTTCACAGACGTAGAAGCGAAGGCGACGAACCGATGATGGCGTAACTTCCGCTCTTGTGGCCGGTGACGACCCAAGTCGTAGTTGCCGCAGCTTCCGCGCCCTCGAGCTTGTGCCCGAGCGTCTTCTGGAGGGCGCCGACGATCATGAGGCAGGTGGCCATGGCGGCGGATCCGCCGACGAGGAGAGGGCGGCGACCGATCTTGTCGAGCCAGATAACGGCGGGGACGGTGCAGACGAGGGCTATTGCAAGAAACCGTATGAGCTCGTTCCGTGATTGAACGCGACTGTAGTGGGAGAGTCGGTGGGAGACTCACCGAGGGCGTACTGGACCGACGAGGCGATGAGCTCGGCGCGGCGTCCCTGCAAGCCCGCGCCTTGGAAGACGTAGACGACGTCTGGTCGCGGAAGACCCGTCAGCGCCGAACAGACGGCGAAAGGAAGCGCGCAGCGCACAGTACATCATGACATTCTGCCAAGAGGAGGGCAAAGTCAGCCCAACGTCGCCTCGAAGCTCCGCGTCGACCGCTCTGGCTCACCATTCCACTCAACTGCGACCACATCTGGTCTGCGCAGCCAAGGAAGACACGGAGGCGGACATCGGGCTTGAGAAGGTCCAGGTAGGACTTCGCTCCTTGCTGGTTGTCGAAGGCGATCTGGCGCTTGATCTCGCTGAACTCGAGCTGAACGAGAGGGTCTTCGGTGTCGCCGGCAGCGTGGACGTCAGCGAGGACTGCGAGGAGAGAGAGTTAGCGAGACTCGGGGCGAAGGACGGTTGGCACGCACTCTGGAGGGCTTCGTCGTCGCGGCCGTGGTCCATGAGCCAGCGCGGCGACTCGGGGAAGATGAACATGAGCGAGCCGAGGATGGCGCCGGGAATGAGCTGGAGAGCCCAGGGGATGCGGAAGGACTTGTCGCTCTCGAGGTAACTGTGGGCGAAGACGTCAGTGGTGTGCGAGTCTAGAGAAGAAGAGACGAGCGCGAACGAGAAACCCAGCTGCACGAAATACCTATGAACGATAGGAGTTAGCGCTGTCGAAAGCATGGAAGAAGAGCATGGTCCCCTCGAAGCGGTCCCGCTTCTTCTTCCGCTTCAAAGCCGTCTTCTGAAGGGACGTAGGACGTACTGCACCGCAATCCCTAGAATTATCGAAAGCTGTTGGACGCTCACAATGCGACCGCGAAGCTGTGGCTTGGTGATCTCCGCTTGGTCTGCGAGGAAGTCCGGAAGGGGGTCAGCGAGGAGAACCGCCACGACAACCGCGTCTTCTCCTACGACTTCGATACGCGCAGATGAGAGAAAGAGCCTGCAGATTGTGACGATAGCAGAGGCGAGTCCGACGGCGAGACCGGCGACGACGCGACCGCCCATGAGGGCGCCGACGTTCTTCGAGGTCGACTGGACGATAGCGCCGATGACCCATGACCAACCGCTTATGATCTGTCATGGAGGAGAGGTGAGTATGCGACCGAAAGCTGGCAAGCAAAGGAAGGACGCACGATGCACCACTTGCGGCCGATCAAGTCGCAGAGGTACGAGTTGAACAAGGCGCCGAAGAAGGATCCGAGGGGCATGACGGCGTTGATCTACGACGCAGGAGAGTCAGTCAAGGTTGCCAGAAGAGAGAGAGATCGAGGAGAGCTCACCAAACCTTGGAGAGTACTGTCGGGGTGGTTGAAGGTCTCGAGATAATACGGGTTCGAGAGCTGGGCGCTCATCGACGAAATGTCCAGTCCGAAGATGAGGCCTCCCAGCGTCGGGAGCGAACCAACGAGATATTGGTTGCGAGTAAATTTGGTAAGTAGCGAGCGCTTGGGGCCAACCATGGTGAGGGACGGCCTGGCGGCGGAGGTTGCCGAGTTGCGGTACGTGAGGGCTGAGAGACGAGCTAGCGGAGAGTCCGCGGAGGAAGAGCACGCGAGTTGGGCGTCGAGGAAGTGGGAGAGTGTGCGAAGGTGGTGTCGAGGACAAAGGTGGTCGTCGACGACTGCCGCTTCAGCAGCTTGGCGAAGTGAATGGCAGAGTCTCGCAAGAGCAGCAAGCAAGGAAGAAAGAGCCCAGCAGCCAGGTCGAGGAGAACGCCCGCCGGAATCAGTTCAGCCATCGAGGCGTTGCCCCTCCTCTCCCTGTATCCCCCGCGCGCGGTCAGACGGGCCCCCTGCCGCCGCCAACACACGTGAGTTGCGTGTCACCCAGATTCGTTTTGCTCGGAGAGCGCCGCCCAAATTCGTTGCTAGCGCGAATCCAGGCAAGGGTGCGAGTCGGAGTGGAGGACGCCGGCAAAGCAGCGGCTCCTTCGCACGGCTTGCGAGCAGTTGCAGGGCCCGCCCAAGCACCGTCTGATGTCTCCCGAGCTCTTCCGTCAGCCCTGCGAGACGTGAGAGCGGCGTGATGCAGCGAAAGGAGCGCGTCATCAGGCGGACTTCGCTCCGCCGCCGCATTGTCGCCGGCGGACGTGCTGCTTCTTTTGTTTCCGGTTAACTAACTCGCTCTCTCCTAAAATGAGGATTGCCGGCGGACGTTGCTCTTGGCGACGGCATCCTCGGTCCCGCCACCGGCTTTCGCAACGAGATGAGCGCATCCACTCCGTTCTAACGTGACTTACGCTGATCGATCCAGACCTAGAGCTCAGATCCGCACAGAAAAGAAGCGAGCCGGGAGAGCGTTTGAGGCGAGCCGAGCCGAACAGAGGAAAGTCGGTTGAACTCCGTCCTGCGAGGAGGAGGAGCAAGTCGGAGGAAGCGGGTGCGCCCGAACGAGCGTGCGGAGACTTCGTGGACATGTCGAGCATCTTATGGTGTGGTCGCGGCGGGGAGAGAGGCCGGAGCAGGTGGAGCGCAGCGTCTCGAGCGCTGGTCAAGTCCCGGTCAAAGGCGGTTCTGCGAAGAGCTGCAAAGCGTGTCCGCCACCGTCATTGGAACTCATCAGTCGTCGAGGAGAGAGCAAGGCAGCGCTCAGCCTTCGGCGGTCCAGTGCTCGAGAAACGACCTGCATTTCCCACCCCAACCTCCTCTTCCGCCAGTAAACGCCTCATCCCTCCCTCGCCGCCTCCCACCCCTCGCGCTCCTCCTCACACTCACACACCGCAAACGCGAGGGTGACCCAGAAACTCGGTTCGAGGGTTGAGGCGTCGATGAGCGAGGGGGAGAGGGAGAGTGAGCCGGAGAGTCGGGGGTGGAGAAAGCTGCCCCAGACGAGTGGTCAGCGCAGCTTGCAGAGAAAAAGGAGAGCAGGACGCACGAAGTAGGCTGCTCGACGAAGCGCAGGACCACTCGCTCCGCCTCTTCCACCTCGTCCAGCCCCTCTCCCTCCTCCACCTCGCTCGCCTTCTCCGCACCGTCCTGCCTCGCAACCGAGCTCCACCACACACACTCAAATCCTCGCGGCTCGTCCTCCCAAACCAAGCTCTTGACTCGTCTAAACAGCGCGCTCACTCCGCCTGCTCGCGGTCGTGCAAGAGGCCGAACGCGAAAAGTCGACATCACCCGCTGTCTGACCGGCCGTTCCACTGGATCTTCCGGCTCAGGATTGGCCGACATGGAGGAGTGCGGATCCACCGGGCTAGCAGAGACAGACGAAGGTCGTTTGCGATGTCGAGTCGGAGACGTGGAAGTCGCGCTCGTCGCACGAGCTGTGGGGAAGGAAAGCTCGACGGTAGGTGACATGTCAAGTCGGGTTTCGTCGCGAGTTTGTTGGGCGTCGAAGGAGGAGGACGAAGAGGCGGAAGAGGGGAAGGAGAGGGTGTCGGTGCGGAAGTCGAGTTCGATGCCGCTTCGTTCGGGTCGAGTACGCTTCGAGCGCTTGACGGCTCGGAGCTCGATCAGGCGGGCGTCATCTGGATGAGGAAGCGGAGGCTTGTCGGATTCAGAGGAGGAGGGAGGGAGGGAAACACGGCGGAGACGGAGGTACCAGCCTCGAGTTGGGCGGTGGACGCTCCAGCGTGGGTTGTGTAGCGAGTCCTGTACGCGCAAAGACTCGTCAGCATATCGTGCGGTGAGTGTACGAGAGGAAACATTGAGCGGAACGAACGAAGACGGTTGAGACGATCACGTCGCCGACAAGTTCGCGGGTCTGCGCGACAAGTCGGTATGCGCTGAGCTCGCATACTCCCTCTTGGTCTGGAGGAAACGCGCAAGCAGCAGGACAACCGTCCCAAAACGCACGTTCGTCCAGATAGTCCTCCCGCTCGCCTCATCGGACACGCTGACGACCTGCCGTCCCTCGAGCGCTTCGTTCCTGCGAAGTATACTGTGTCAGCTACGAGGCTCGACGGGATGCAGCAGGCAAGCGAGAGGAGTTGGCACAGCCCCCTCCTTATCCGCGAGCAGCGAGCTGGAGACGTACTCTTCGAGTTTGTACGTCCGCATACAGGCTATCGACATGTCCTGCGGAAGCATCGGCGTCTGTCGTGCGATGAGAGGCGAGAACGGGAGGGTTCGTTGATGAGGGGCGAGGTGGGGTGGGAGTCGAGTGTCGAAAGCTCGGGGCGGTCTGACAGCGCACGAGAAGCGTACTCAGCCTCAAGCAAGCTTTCACGAGCGTGTCAGAGCCAAGTGCGAGGGATGAGGTGAGCGGTTGAAGTGAGAGGATCGCGGCGTGCGGAAGCAATGAACGAGCACAGCACGATAGCGGTGGAGTGGCATCGAGAGACTTGCATTTGGAAGTTGACTGCTCGTCGATGCAATAAGTACGACAACAACGTGAAAGGGACGATGCGACGGAAAGGGAGGCGAAGATGCGAGGTTTGAGCGGGCAGATTGGGCGAGAGGCGGGCTTGGAAGACGTCGCAAGGTAGAGAGTGTGTGGTAGGTTCTTGCGGGTGACGCGGAGACGATTGAATCGAAGTGCCGGCAGCAGGGACGGGGAAGGAGGGAGTCGAGGTGAAGTCGAGGCATCGAATGTGCACGACATCCTCGCTGATCGAGGGTTGCGACACTGCGTCTGTCAAGCTCTGTCATTGGGACCATCTGAAGAGAGCAGCGCGACTGCAGACGCACCTAGTCACCGCGCAACAGGACGAAAGCACCATCTGGAGCAGAGCAACCGCCGCCTCACGCCGCGACAAGGCCCTTTTTGACGTCTGACGCCCACTCCTGCACTCGCTGGACACGCTTGTCCTTCCCAGCGACGCCCTTGGCCGCGACGTCCGCCTCCTCCTCAGCCCTCTTCAACAAGCGATCCATCTCGCCCGTCCATTCCTCCGCCAGCCGCACAGCCGTGTTCCTATCGAGGTCGTCCCTGCTCAACTCCCCCTTCCTCAGCCTGTCCAGCACGTCGGCCGCCTCGAGCGCCCGTCGAGGTGCATACGCCTCCTCCGCCGGCGGGTCCGGCCTGAACTCCTCGCCCTCCAACACGCCCGTCGACGCAAGCAAGACACCGATGTCGTTCATCAGCGCAGGGACAGACAGAGTCGGCGCTGGTTTGCCTGGGCGTCCGCCGAGCGGTGTGCCGGGCCGTGACAACGGAGGGGTCGGGAGGACGGCGGTGAGAGGGGGAGTAGGGGCGTCACGAGTGGCTGTGGCTGGCTTTGGAGCGCTCGAGCGGGGTGGTGGTGGAGCTGCTGGTGCCATCTTGCGTGTGCTGGGTCGTGGTGGACGACCGACGACCTCCTCCTCCTCGTTGACGAGTGTGCTCTCCTCTTCGGATTGGCACACGCAGCAGTGCTCGCTTTACACGCGCCCATGCTACGGAATGCACGCGCTGGGATTGGACAGGCGATCGAAGTTGGCGAACTTCAAATTTGGGCGCATCTGCTCGCTCGCTGCGAAGGGCGAAATCCGCTCGACGACGACGACGCTCAGAAAAAGCCTGCTCTCGCTCTCTCTCTCCTTCTCGCTCCAACCCATGGTCAACGCCTCAACCGCACAAGACGCACACGCTCTCTCGCTGCAGAACCGCAGGCCCCTCTCGCGCATCTCGCCCGCCCTCCCGCTCTCCTCCTCGCCTCCCGCACCCCTGCGGTTCCTCCAGCCGTGATCGACTCGCTCCCACCGTCACCTAATGGGCTAAGTCTACTCGCTTGAAGCACAGTGCGTCGCCTAGCACATCTCACGAAACGCGGGACTGACCTCGTCCCTCGCGCAGATGTTCCGCCGTTTCATTACTATCCTCGCCTCGCCCGGCTCCCGCCCTGCGCTCGTCGTCTCTGCGCCGTCGGTCCTCCCAGCTGGAGACATCGCGGCGGAGAAGGCGATCCCGCGCGACGACTCGAGTCTCGACCTGCTCAAGTCGGACGAAAAGGTCGCCGCGTCGCACGACGACCTCGCGACCTCGCCAACCGACTCGTCCGTCAAAGTCGTCGACGGGATCGTCGCCCCTCGGAGCCGCCTCGACCGCTACCTCGACACGATCGTCCACTGGTCCGGCTCGCTCCCCTTCTTCCTCTTCATCTCGTCGGGCCTCGTCGCCTGGGCAGTCCTCGGCGTCGCGGGCTACGGGCACAACACGAACTGGAACGTCTTGATCTCGGACATCCAGGCCGTGTTGACCTACATCCTCGACTCGTTCCTCGTCAGGCAGCAACTCGCGGCGCACGACAGCGTGCTGGTCGTCACGGCTGTCCTTCGTTCGCGCGGGCAGTCGATCGAGGCCATGCTGCGCGAGTTGGCGAGTCAGAACGCCGTCGTCGTCGAAGAAGAAGGCTCGTACACGCCCGCCGGTCCGCCGCGCGAGGAGACGGTCACGATCGATGTCTCGCTTCCCGAGGACAGCTGGGTCGGGCGCTGCGCCAAGCGACTCTCCGACATCGCAGGCCACCTCGTCACGCTCGTCCTCTTCTGGATCGGCATCGCCGTCTGGCTCGCCTTTGGCCCGTCGCAAAAGTGGTCGAACCAGTGGCAGCTCTACATGAACAGCTCGTCGTCGGCGCTCATGCTCTTCGTCTTTGCGTTCCTGTGCTGCGTCCGCGAACGCCACGGAGACCACGTCGCGGCGTGCCTCGACAAGATCCGCGAGACGGACGAGGAGCTCGAGCGGGTTTTGCGGCGCCTGACGGGCGACTCTCGACCTCACTCGACCGTCGTCGTGCCGGCTCCTCGCATCAGCCGCCTCCAGCGCGCGATCAACTACTACGCCGAGTTCATTGGCTCGCTTGTCGGCGTCGCGTTCCTCCTCATAGTCGTCGTCGCCTGGGCCGCCGCCGGACCGGCCTTCAAGTTCAACGCGACGTGGTGGTTGCTGATCGGGACGTACGCCGGGCTGGTCGGCATGAACGACGGGTTCGTGATGAGGCACATGTCGGCGCAGTTCCAGGCTCGCGAGGGCGCGGAACTCGCTCGACTCGCCGAGACCGACCTCGCGTGCCAGGCGCTCGTGCCGCCCACCGCTACGCTCGACTCGTCGTCCTCCGCCGACCCGCCCAAGCGCAGCACGCTCTCCCGCCTCCTCGCCACCGTCGACCGCCTCACCCTCCGCGCGAGTCTCCGAGTGGGCTGGCTCTGCTCTCACGAGTACGCAGTCCTGCTCGGCGTCGTCGTCATCGCCGGCCTCGTCGTCGCCGCCTCAGCGCTCAAATGGTCGCTGACAGGCCAACTGCTCTGCAACGTCCCGCCGTCGATCATCGAGTCATTCATGATGCTCATGGTCATCCAGGGTCACAACGAGAACGACGCCAAGACGAGGTGTGACTTGAGCGTCGTGTTTGAGCGCAGGGCCGTGTTGCTCGCGTGGACTCGCCATGTCGAGCGGTACGGAGTTGGGACAAGCGTCGGCTTCCGCCCGGTCCTCGTTGGCAAGTCCGAGCCTGTGGTCAACGTCAAGGCGGAGGCGGACAAGCTCGACGTCTAGGACGTCCGCACGGACGACCTTCGCAAACCCTTACCCCCTCTCCTCTTCACCCGCCATGACTCGCCGTAGACTTGCCCCGTAGACGAAATCGCACCAGCTCGACGCTCCTCGCTAACTCCGTTCCTCGCTCGGCGTGAAAAGAACGCGGGTCGGTGTACTGCAGTCATCCAGCCTGTCCTGCTCACATCCGCTGACGACGCATGCACACGACCCGCTTGGTGCCCCAGCACGCTCGTTCGGTGAGTCTTGTAATGCTGAATACAACTCGAATACAAAGTGAGCGGATATGCGGGGAACTTAGCGGTGACGCGGCTCGAAAACGGGTCCAAGGTCAGCCTCGGCGCGACCGCTCTTCGCTCTCTTTCTCCTTCTCTCTTCACAGCTTGACAAGGTGCGCACGAGGGAATGCTCAGCTTAACACGCACAGCACACACCCGCTCACGCACGCTGTCCAACTCGCCCGCAGCCTGCTCGTTCCCCCACTGCTCACCCTTCGCAACCCGACCCCGAACCCTTTTCACCCGCCCACCAGCTCAATCCAGTGCGTGCAGCCTTCTCACTCGCTCGCACGAATACCCAGCTGATGCAGAGAGAGATTGCAGAACAACCAGCCATGTCGACCACCAAGATCGTCTCGCAGGAGCCCGCGCCGGCCGACTTCTTCGCCCAGCCCAACCCCAAGGGCTTCACCATCGACTTTGAGAAGAAGGCGAGTCTACACTCCAGTTCTGGCAGCGGGAGCGATATGGCTGACGATGTCGCGCGATCCCGCAGGTCTACGTCGTTACCGGCGGAAACGTTCGTTTGGCTTTCCCGCTCTCTCTTTCGCTCGTTCTGCGGACTGACAGGCTCGTACGCAGCGTGGTCTCGGCGTCGGCATCACCGAGGCGCTCGCGCAGGCGAACGCGACGGTCGCCATCATCTACAACTCGGCCAAGGACGCCGACGAAGTCGCCTCGCGCCTCTCGAAGAAGTGGAGCCAGACGATCAAGGCGTACCAGTGCAACGTCTCGGATGCAGACAAGGTCAAGTCGACGTTTGCGCAGGTCGAGAAGGACCTCGGCGAGATCCAGGGCGTCGTCGCAAACTCGGGTATCTCGGTCGTCAAGCCTGCGCTCGAGTTGACTGCCGACGACTTCAACAAGGTCTTTGGTGTCAACGTCCTCGGTGTCTTCAACACGGCTCAGGCCGCCGCTGCGTGCGTCGCCCCGTCCCTCGTCTCCTTTCTGGCGGAACCTGACTGGACTCGCCGCGCGCAGCCTCTGGATTCCCCGCAAGCAGGCTGGTTCCATCGTTGTAATCTCGTCGATGAGCGACACGATCATCAACTCGCCCATCACCCAGGTGCGTTGCTCCTCTCCGGCCATGCGTTCGGAACAGTCTCGAGGCTTCAGCGTCTCTTTAACTGCGCCCACGCTACATAGGCTTACCAGCGAGCACGCACTAACACCCGCATACCCTGCAGGTCTTCTACAACTCGTCCAAGGGCGCCGTCTCGAACCTCACGCGCGGCCTCGCCGCCGAATGGGCTCCTCACAAGATCCGCGTCAACAACGTCTGCCCCGGATTCATCGAGACGGACCAGACCATGCACATGGATGCCAACTTGCGCTCGAACCAGTGCAAGGAGGTGCGTTGGCCCTTTCGCTCGAGGAGGACATTTGGAGCGGTAGGCTGACGGTGTTGTTTTTCGTTCTCCCGCTTCGCAGGTCCCTCTCGGCCGCTTCTCGAAGCCCTACGAGCAGGCCGGCCAAGTGGTCTTCTTCCTCTCGAACCTCAGCTCCTGTACGTCTCACCCCACAGCTACCCCCGTCATCCAGCCCAATTGACGCGCCCATCTTTGCGATGAACAGACCAGACTGGCTCGTCGGCTTACGTCGACGGCGGCTACCTTTGCTGGTAAACGGAGGGATTGTCGAGGCGGGTTTTGGTCGGGGATCTAGCATACCCTTCGGCGGGAAAAGGGCGATGGAGAAGCGTACATACCTGTAAAAAGCCACAATTGGGTTTTCTATCGACTTCTCTTCGGTCTCGAGTGGGCACACGCGAGTAAGCGATCGGGAGGTGTGATGATACACGAGCCTCGTTGCGAACGGTCTACACGCTCCCCTCTCCGACGTCCTCATCCTCGTCCCCATCCATCCTCCGCCGCCCACTCCTAACCCACTCACTATACGCCCTCTCGCTCCCCGACTCCTTGACAACCCACGCGCACACACCCGCACCCACCAAACTCGCCAACCCGCCGAACCTCAGAACCCAAACCACACTCTCCCCTTCCCCTCCTCCCGCTCCTGCTTCAGAAGAAGGCGAGTGAGCCGTGAGACGGAAGATGAGAGCCGAGACGAGCGCGACGAAGAATTGAGGGACGACGATCGAGAGGTTGTGCAGGCCGAGGATCGTGCCGCCTGCTGGTTGCTTGCGGCGAGGTTGGGGGTCGTCTGTCGGGTGAGAGAGGAGGGGCGTGCGCGAGTCGGGCTGGTGAGAGGGGTGAGAGGGAGAAGAGGGAGTGCGGTGAGGGGAGGAAGAGGGCAGGCCGTGGTAAGAAGGATGGCGGAGGGTCGTGGCGCGGAACGGAGGGCGGTCGCGTAGACGCGGCGGCGCGCGAGGAGAGGCCTGAGTTGGAGACGAGGGCGGAGGAGTAGAGGCGGTGGAGGACGAAGGAGAGGGAGGAGGCGAGTCTTCCAATTCGCGGATGCATTCCATGACGAGCGCGAAGGGGACCTGTGCATACGAGCCGACGCGTTTCCGTCAGTCGCTGAATGAACACCACAAAGACAGCGCAGAGAGACGACGCTCGCTTGGACGCACCCAACAGTTGATAGCCCACGGCACGCCCGCCAGCGCCACAACCGCCATTGCGCCCTTCGTTCCCTTCACAAAGAACGTCCCTTCCATGACCACTGCAAACCAAACAAGCCCAGCGACCCAGCACCCGCGCGGGCTGAGGTTTGAGAGGGCGATTCGAGCCCAGCGAGGGAGGCGCGAGGGGAGAGAGGGGTAGGTCGTGCAGAGGGAGGTGAGGAAGGGGAGGAGGGTGCCCGTCAGGAGGGAGACGAGCGCATAGAGGAGGAGGGCGAGCGAGCCTAGCCGGGTTGCCGAGTCGGACGAGGGAGGTGGAGTCGAGGGCGGGAGTGAGGCGTAGAGTGTCTCGGAGACGTAGGTGGTGCTGACAGGCGGCATGGGAAGGTCGTGTTAGTAGGCGACACTGGCTTGAGGACTGGCCAGCGCACCTGTAGAACAAGAAGGGGAACCATCCAGTCCACGCGAAGAATTGGACTGTGCGGAGCACGACACACGCCAACCGCGTCAGCTCAGCGAGGAAAGGTAAGACGACTGAGTTTGTCCGGTCAAACGCACCGTAGCACACCCTCCTGACCGGCATCGGCAGCTCCCTCACATTATCCCTCACGTCCCTGACAACGTCCACCACCTTGCTCCACACTCCCTCCTTCCCGTTCTCCTCCTCTCCCTTCCGCTCCTTCTCCTCCGAGCACCAACAAGTCACGCCCACCGTCCCCGCAAGCACAACCAAACTGATCGCGCTGAGTTTGCGGAACTGGCCGTCCCCGAGCCACGAGAGGAGTGGCGAGTGGCCGAGGTCGAGATAGCCGAAGAGGTAGCCGAGGATGTTGCCGATATGGGTGTGGCGGCCGAGCCAGGCGGTTGAGAGGGATTGGAGCGAGAGGGGGGAGAGGTCGAGTGCGAGGGCCTGTGCGGAGAAGCGCTCAAAACGTATTCAGCGATCTCCTCGCGAAAGGCAGGCGGAGCTGAAACGTTGAGAGAGCGCGACGCACCCGCAACGAAGCCTGCAGCCCATTCAAGCTGAAATCGAGGACGTAGAACCCCAACACCCCCGCCGCAATGGCGACCAACCTCTCCCTCTCCTTCCGCTGCGGGTCCCAGTCGCCTACACCGCCAAAAATCGATGACGAGCAGAGTAGAGAGGCAAGTTCGCGCGCGTAGGCGATGACGATGGTCGAGAGGATGATGAGGAGGGTCGAGAGGACGATGTAGAAGCGCCGGCGGAAGCCGCCGGGGGAGGAGTCGGAGAGGGCGCCTGTTGCATGGGTATCAGTCAGACGATGTCGTCTCAAAAGCAGGCTGTGCGAGTACAGCGCTACTCTCGCAAGGAACGCAAGGGGGGAATGCATGGCTCACCGACGACTGGCTGGACGATCAGCCCGCTCAGCGGTCCCGCCATCCACACCAAACTAGTCGCCTCCTTCGACAAGCCCAGACCAAGAAGGTAAGGCGTGCCGTAGCTGCGCGAGCGGGTCCCGTGTTAACGCTGATCGCGAGGTCGAGTAGGGGGATAGGGACGACACGCACGCCATCTCTACTGTCCAGGCTAATTGCGCTCCCAGTATGCCCACTGTGAGCGTATTGAGCCGCCAAGTCGTCCACTCGCCCTCCTCGGACTCGTCCTTCCCGACGCTGTCTTTCCCGTCTGGATCCCGCTCGTCTCGCCCATCCCCACCCCCTGCACCCCGTCCTAGCGCTCGGAAGCTCCGTCGCCGGTTCGACCGCGTCCCAGGCGAGCCACTCGGGTGGGGAGGCGGAGAGGAGGGCGAGAGGTCTGCGAAGGACTGGTAGGTCGTGTGGGGCTGGCCTGGCGGAGTGGAAGGGGCTGGCGGAGTGCGAGGCGACGGTGGCATAGTTGGCACGTTCGTAACAGTCCGTCTCAAAGCCTTGGAGTGCGTGTAGTCGGTCGAGACGAGCGAGAGCGATGAGGTAATGAGGAGGGGACGAGATGAGGCGGGACAAAGTTTGGTGGGTCGGCGTGGGTCGTACAATGCCAGTGAGCCTGTCAGCAGCCTGTCTGAGCCGATAGAAGCCAGCGAGCGAGGTGAAGACCGCCAACCCTCCTCATCAGTTCCAGCGGGTCACGTGTTGGCTCCTCTCCTTTCGACTTGTCCCGCTCAAACTCTCGCTGTGACTCGTTGAGACGACAGAACGACTCTCGCGACTCGCCTGAAGCCAACGATGCCCGGCACCTGGACCCGCACGGCCGCGCGGGACCGCTCAACCGCCCTCGCCGCTTCCTCACAAACACCCGCCTCTCACGCTCGCACAACGACCCAGCGAGGCCCAGCAACCCGCGAAGACGATCAGCAGATTTCGCAAATCTTGGCCGAGATGTCGCAGCACCCGCAGGGGGCACAGTCGGCGACTCCTCCTCCGCAACAGCCTCAGGCGTCGACTTCGACGGCCCTGGAGGGGATCCCGGTTGGATCGCCTCAGACGACGACGACTACCGGATCAAGCTCTATCGACCCGCTGCTCAACCCTCTGCCCCTGCCTGTCCCCCCTCCCCTCCCGCCCCTTACCACGGCCGCCTCGATTTCCGACGCGAAGGGCAAGGGGAAGGCTACTGCAGCGAGCGCGGGAGGAGCGTCTGCAGGAGCGGGAGCCGGCGCGAAGAGTAGAGGAAGGGGGAAAAGCGACGAGCGGTTGCAGATGAAGGAGGAGGACTGGGAGCGGAGCAGGAAGGACAATCATGTGCGTCCACCGCGTTCGCCTGCTCAAGTCTCGTCCATACACGGTGCTGATGCGCTTCTTTCGTTCTCGCTGGACGCCCGCAGAAAGAAGTCGAGCGCAAGCGACGCGAAACGATCAATCAAGGCATCACGAACCTCGCCGCCCTCCTCCCCTCAGAACTCCTCACGCAATCCGCCTCTCCCTCCGACACATCCGCCTCTACCTCCAAATCCACCTCCAAGCCTCCCAAAGAAACCACCAACAAATCGACGATCCTCAGCCTCACGCAGTCCTACATCCTCCAACTCAAGGCGTCCGAGCAGCGGATCATCGAGAAGTGGACGCTGGAGAAGTTGTTGATGGAGCAGAGGGTGAGGGAGGTTGAGGGTGAGAGGGAGGGGTGGAGGAAGAGGGCGGAACTGGCCGAGGCGGAGGTGAAGCGGTTGAGGGGCGAGCCGAGCGGGGAGAGCAGTGAAGCTGGGAGGGACAAGAAGCGCGCGAGGGTCGAGGATGGAGAGAGTGCGCAAGGGAAGGCGCAGGAGAACGGCGCGACGGAGGGCGCGTGAGTCGGTCTAGGAGGACGTCGCTTGTCATGGTTGGGAACGCCGCTTGTAGTCTGTCTCGCTTCGTCCGTCTTTGTCGTACTATCCTCGCAATCCACGCTTTCCCTCGTCACTCGAGCGCAAATACAGATGTCCCGATGCAAGCACAAATAGACGAGACCCGTCTAACCCTGACAGCCCTCAATCTATACCTCCTCCTTCTCGTCCTCCTCCCGCACGCCCTTCTTCTCCCGATGCCCAACCTTCCCAATCCCGTAGAGACACGTCGCGCTAATAAGCGTCGCGAGGAACGCAAAGCCTGAGCAGGTGTAGAATGCGGCGTTGAGGCCCTTGTGGATCGCTTCGAGGGGAGTGTTGCGCTGCGAACCAGTTTCTCGTGAGCAGGGGGAGCGAGAAGGCGACGAGGAGAGGACGCACGGCGTTTGGGTCGTAAACCATCCCCAAGTCGCGAGTCGCGCGGGCGGTGACCTTGTCCTGGACGATCGTGTTGATAGCCAGCCCGATACCCGTTCCAATCTCTGCTCGTCTCGACTCGTCAACTCTTGAGGCGAAGAAGAAGAGAGGGGAGGGGACGCACGAGTCGACATGTTGAAGAGACTGCCCGCGAGGGCTTGGTGTCCGTGCCCAGCAACGTGCGAGACGTACAAGATGCCGCACGCAAAGATGAAGTCGGCACCTGTGAGATCGCAAGAAGGCGCCAAAGCCAGTCAGCTCGACTCTACAACGGCGAGCCAAAGGCCAACAGCGGAGAAGCGCGACGCACCGAAGACGCTCAGGATCATTGCCGGGAACTGCCACTGCCAGTACGTATCGTCATAGTTCTGCACCGCGAACAAAAGCGGCGCAAGACCGGTGCCGAGGCAGCCGATTGTGATGAGGATGTGCGCCGGCACGCGAGAGGCGAGGAGGGCGACGATGAGCTGCGTCCGGATGGATCAGCGATGGCAGGACGAGCGTAAGAAGAGGGGCAGGACGGACATTGAGGATAAGGCCGGTGATGCTGGAGGGAAGGAAGCGGACGGTCGCGAGGACCGGCTCGAGACGCATGTAGTCCTGCGGAGCGGTCGAAGGTCAGTCGCGGGTCCGCTTCTCATGAGAGAATAACCAAGCGCACCTGGAAGGTGAGAGAGCAGAAGAACATGTAGCTCGCGCTGCATGCCGCAACAACGGTCAGCGACCTGAACCTTCGCATCCCGAGTCGTCAACTCACAAGCAGCTCCAACCTAGCGCTCCGATGAGCTGCACGATCGCAAACCTGCCCTTGAACCAGATCGACGTGCGCATGAGAGGCGGATGGGGCGTGCGGAACTCGAGGTGGCGCTCGTAGTACCAGAAGACGACGAAGAGGATGATCGAGACGGCGAGGAGAGTGGGGATGTAGGGCGTGCGCCACTGCGAGCCAAGGCGGGTCAGGTTGGCCCGACTCACAACCGGAAAAGGGTCGAGACGCACCCCGTTCGGCGCGCCCTCTCCGTCCGCCAGTGCAAACGTCAACAACGTCACGGCGCTCGTAATGAGAGCACCGCCGATCCAATCGACCGTCAAGCTCTTGTCTTTCGCGTGATCGGGCGGGACGAGGAAGAGCGCCGCGATGCCAATCAGAGCGCCGATACCCGTCGAGACGAAGAAGACGGCGCGCCAGGTGATGGCGGCGTACTCCGTCAGGCTGTGCAATGCAGTGCGTCAACGCCATAGATCAGCACATGAGATCGAGGGCGATTGGACGCACACTCCGCCGATAACAGCACCGAGACTGCCGCCCATTGGCGCACCAGCCGAGAAGAGCGCAAATGCTGTCGTCTTCCGCTGTCCAGGGGGGAACGACGAGCCGAGGATGCCGAGCGCAGAAGGCTGTGTTGACAGGGCCGTCAGTAGAGTACTCGCTCATCAAGCGAGAGACGGCACGCACGATCGCAGCACCGAGTGCTGCGCCTTGCATCGCTCGGAAGAAGTCGATCGAGACTTCGTTCTGGGCGAAGCCGCATGCGATCGACCAGATGACGAACCAGATCATGCCGCCGATGAATACCCTGCGGGAGGAGAGAGCAAGGGGGTCAGGGAGGGACGACGAGCTGAGGGGACGGGTCGACCTCACTTCTTGTGACCATACTGTGCGCGTTGTCGTTTCCAGTCAGCCGTTGATTACGAAAGGAGTGCGTAGCAGCGAGCTGCAGGACGCACAATATCCGCTAACCGCCCGAACAGCAGAAGCAATCCTCCGAACGCGACCGAGTACGAGGAGATCAGCCACTGGAGGTTCGTCGTCTGGATATTCAGGTCCGCGCCGAGAGTCGGAAGGGCGAGCTGGACGGACTGGACTTGCATGATCTGCGGGCGAGAGAAGAGAGGTGAGCGGGTTCCTCGCGACCCAGCGTCAAGCGGAATGGACGCACGTTCAGCATCATACACATCGTCATGGTGAGGACCAGCAGGACCTGCCGAGTCGTGCTCATCTCGGGCCAGGCATGTTCCGCCTCTCCCTCCATCTCTGGCGGTCCCGCTCCCTTTGTCTCGGCGGATTCGGCGGACAGCGGCGCTTGTGCCATCTCTGGCCCCTCTACGGGTACTTCCGTGTCCAGCGAGCCCTTCAATCCCTGTTCTCGCCCTCCTCCTCTTTCGCCGCGCAACTCGGCCGGTCGGTCGGGTGCAGCAAAGGTGCCAGACGTGCTGGTGCTGTCGCTCCCGGACGCGGTTGCCATTGTCTCCCTATCGACGAAGAACCCGCTTGCGGCGCGACGAGCGAGTTTGGCGAGCCGGCAGCGGAGTGAGGGTTCCGGGCGAGGAGGCGAGGCGGAGGGAGGGGGGCACCGATGTCGGGTCCTTCGCGCGTGCAAGACCGCCTGAGGGTATCAAGCACCTCTATCGTCCAGCAAGCGTGAGAAGCGGTGAGCCAGTGAAGTCGAGGAGCGCAAGGAGAAGCTGCGCATCTTGACATCTGGCAACCTCGCCGTCACCTGCTGACCTGGCTTTCGAGTGAGTTCGGCGCTCTGGTGGACTTGCTCAAGGAGCATCGCCGTCCTTTCAGACCGCCTCGACGCCGCCTGCTTGGAGGATTCGTCTTCATCAGTTAACGACTCTGAACGGCGTCAAGTCAGCGACGAAAGCCTGTCGGGGCTTGTGGGCAGGCGTATGCATTTCTGAGCCTTGAAAGTGAGTCTACACGAGCCCTCGTATTCCCAGCCCTGCGGCGAGACTGGGTTTGGCACCCTCGTCCCGAACTGCCTTTCCCTCCTCACGAAGAGCGGCTGAGAGGATGGGCAAAGGCAATGCAGACTGACTTGCGTGACTCCCACAGAGCACCCATGAGCTCGCCCACCGACCAGCACGACTTTACAACCACACCCCCCTCGACCTCGATGCCCGGCATCTCGCTCGGTCTGACCCGCATCCACCGCCTGCTGTACCTTCTGCGCTCTCCTCACCTTGCAACACCCGTCGTTCACATCGCCGGTACGAACGGCAAAGGCTCCGTCTCGGCGTACCTATCGTCTATCCTCTCGCACAGCAAACTCGCTGTCGGACGATTCAACAGCCCGCATCTTGTCGACGAGTGGGACTGCATACAACTACATGGAGGGCCAGTCGATGAGGGACTGTTCTTGGAGGCGAAGAAGGAAGTTGAGCGGGTCAGTGAGCGTGAAGGAGTCGGTGCGACCAGCTTCGAGGTCCTAACAGCGACTGCGTTCTCGCTATTCGCGCGGGCAAGGCCGCCATTGGACGTTGCAGTGGTTGAAGTCGGTATGGGCGGGAGCGAAGACGCGACGAACGTCGTGCCGGCGGAAAAGACGCTCTTGTCGGTCGTCACGGCAGTCGAGCTGGATCACCAGAAGTTCCTTGGAGACACGGTCGGCGAGATTGCGACGGTCAAGGCTGGCATCACGCGGGAAGGCGGAGACGTCGTGTTGAGCGTGCAGGCGCACCAGGAGGCGACTGAAGCGGTGAAGCGAGTCGCGGCGGAACGAGGTGCGCGGGTGTGGCAGGCTGGGGAGGCAGTTATTGTTGCAGATGGCGAGGCAGGCGCATCTCGGGAAGCGGTATCCTTGACCTTCCCTCCACCACCGTTCGCCGCCATCCCGCTCAAAGCGACTTCCGTCGTTCCGCCTCTCGAGTCGCCTTCACCGGCTACATCCGCGTCTGTCACTGCCCGACTACCCTTACCCGGCTCCTACCAGCTCCAGAATTCTGCTACCGCCGTCCTCGCCGCCCAGCTCCTCCGCACCCACCCGCGCACGCTCTCCCTCCTGCCGTCTCTCTCGCATATCACCGACGACTCGATCCGCACGGGCGTCGAAGCGACTCGATGGCCCGGCCGACTAAGCTGGGAGACCTACAACACCTCTTCAGGCCACCAAGTCCCTCTGCTGCTCGACGGCGCACACAACCCTTCTTCGGCCGCCCTCCTCGCTTCGTACCTCGCCTCACTTCCTCCAGCTCTCCGACCCTCGACACTCGTCTTTGCGCTCTCGGCACCGCGCGATCCGGCAGACGTCGTCAGGCCTCTCTTGCGGGCGCTCGCGGCGCACGAACGCAGATTGCGAGTCGTCTGCTGCGGCTTCTCTACGCCCATCGGCATGGAGTGGGTGCGGTCAACACCGGCTTCCGAGCTCGCTGCGGCAGTCAAGCGGATAGCAGCGGTTCAGGTTGAGGAGGCGCCTGACGCGGAGGCGGCACTACGGCTAGTGGAGGATCGGGTGCCCGGTGAGGGGTCGGTCGTCGTTGCGGGCAGTCTGTATCTCGTCGCGGACGCGATGCGGACGTTGCGGCGAAGACAGCAGGCCGGGGAGAATTCGTAGAGGGTTTGCCGGCGGAAGCGGCGCGCTCGAGCCTGTCATGCTTCTATCTCAAACATGTCCAAGGCATTCTTCCTGCCCCTCATCGTTCAGAGAAGCCAAGTCGGTCGGAGACTGATGAAGTTGGAGGATCGGGTGCAGAGCAAGAGTGACGCAGCGGAAGCCAAGGGAGATGGCGGGCCTGCACCCAAAGCACATATTAGACACTCTGCGCAGCTTCAGCGAATCCTTTGGCGAGATCGAGCGTGCTGTCCAAGGGAGACCTCCTCATCGAGCGAACCTTCGCTGTCGTCCGCACGCTGCGTACTCACTGGCTGAGTCGCACGCCATCTTGACGAGACCAACATGACCACCCGAGTGGACCTACGCCTCCCACCACTCAAATTCCTCATCACCGGCGCCCTCTCCCTCGTCCTCCTGATCCACCTCGTCACCCTCCACACGAGCGACACCTACGCCCGACATGCCTCCATAGAGTCGCTTAGATCGAAGTTGGGACTGAGCTCGGATGGCATGCCGGTCGTTTGGAGAGGGGGTCAGGCGAGTCGGGTTGGTGGTGGAGCTGCGAAGACGGGAGGAGTGCAAGAGTGGGAGGGCGACGGCGCTTCGGTGAGTTTCGTCAGGAGGCGCTGTATTGTCGAGCTTCAACAGACAGGAAGCGGCGGAGGCGCTGGAGAAGCTGACCTCGTCGTGGGATTCCTCCTCCCGCTGCGCAGACGAACGCAACTCGCGCAAACGCCGCCTTTGTCCTTCTCGCCCGTAATAGCGACGTTTGGGATGTCCTCACATCCGTGAAAGCGATCGAAGGTGCGTTGGCTTCGCCTCTGCCGATCTTGACCTTCGAAGCTGGACTTGCTCGGGCTGACCTCTTTCTTCGACCGCAGACCGCTTCAACCGCCGCCACAACTACCCCTACGTCTTCCTGAACGACGAGCCCTTCTCTGACGAGTTCAAGCGGCACACATCTGGCGTCGCATCCGGCCCCTGCACCTACGGCCGAGTCCCGAAGGAACACTGGCTCGAGCCCGAATGGATCGACGAAGAGCGGGCTGCGGAGGCGAGGAAGAAGATGGAGGAGCAGCATGTGATCTATGGCGGGAACAAGATTTATCGCAGGATGTGCAGGTTCTTCTCGGGCTTTGTACATAAGCATCCGCTTCTGAAGGACTACGACTACTACTGGCGGCTCGAGTGGGTCGCTCGCCTCCCTCGTACTGCTACACGGGCTGACGCTTTATTCCGTGCAGCCCGAATGTCAAATTCTGTGCGTTGCGCCTCTCCTTCTCGCCGACCTTTCGCCAATCCTGTCGCGCCTTGCTCCTCCGTTCCCGCACTTCGGTGCTGACTCAGCTATCGCGCAGACTGCGACTTCGAGAACGACCCCTTCTGGCTGATGCAGGAGAAGAAGAAGAAGTACGGCTGGGTCGTGTGCGTCGGCGTTTCACCTTTTCGCTGGCCTCGCTTCGACTGATCACGCCTCATGCGCAGCTCGCTGTACGAGTACAAGGAGACGATTGAGACGCTTTGGCAGACTACGAAAGGTGCGGCGCTCTTCTGGCTGGCAGAGACGGAGCTCGCGTCACTTCCTTCTTGAACGAGTCTCCTCACTCATCGTTCCGGCCGTTGTACAGAGTTCATCAACAAGAATCCACACTACCTCGCCAAGCCGAACAACATGAAATGGATCAGCAACGATGACGGCGAGACCTACAACCGCTGCCACTTCTGGTCCGTTTTGCTTGCCCTTCTTTCTCCCTCTTCCCCCTCCCTCTTCCTGCACTTGCTGACCCCTTCGAGAACAGGTCCAACTTCGAGATTGCCGACCTCAACTGGCTTCGAAGCGAGGCTTACGAAAAGTATTTCGAGCACTTGGATCGGGCGGGAGGGTTCTCGTACGAGCGGTGGGGAGGTGCGTCCCGCTGACTTCCCTAGCCGAGTATCAGATCGTTGAGTCTCGAATTGCCCCGGGCAGACGCGCCCGTGCATTCGATAGCGGCGGCGCTGTTCCTCAAGCCTGAGGAGGTGCACTACTTCAACGAGTGCGTTCCGTTCTCCCCTCGCATGCTTCCCGTGGCTAGGCGTTCCCTCCTCTGCTCGCATGCTTCCGGTGTCGACCCCCGAAACTAAGGAATTGACGAGATTCGACGTTCGCTCACAGCGTCGGCTATCGCCACGAGCCGTTCCAGCACTGTCCCAAGGATCAGCCTAGGCTCTGTAGCTGTAATCCCAACGACGCAAACAATTTCGAGGACCACTGGTGCGTCTCGCTCAGTCTCCTCTCCGCTTCTCGCTCAGCGTTGAGCGCAACTGACGGTGATTCCGTCCTCCCCCTCCTCCCTCTTCGTTCTCTCGCTTCGTACTCGCTTGCTTCTCGTGCGCAGGTACTCGTGCACACCGCGGTGGAAGGAGCTGAACCCGGACTGGAAGACGCAGTGAACGGGAAGTGAAGGAGGACCATGTTGGACGTCCATGTATCTCGATACCCCGCTCGCTCGTTTCTCGCACGATACCCTCCCCGTTCTCGCAAGCACAGACACTATTGCACTCGTCCGGACCGTGCATCGCGAGAGGTTGACTGACCACTCCTTCACCGCGCCTTCTTCCCTTGACCATTGACGACTCGCTCACATCGCTCTCGCCGCCGCTTTACCGTCTCACACACATTCTACCCAGTCTCTCAATGGCAGCAAAGGTGCGCGCCTCCCTCCCACTCGAAGCGCGAGCGCACACCATACGTAAATAGCCACTCACCTCCCCGGCTCGCGCGCAGGAGTTCTTCCAGCCCCAGGGGTACGGCGGACAGCAGGGTGGACCGCCGCAGGGTGGCGAGCGTGGATGGGGACACGGGCCGCAGCAGCCTCAGTACGGAGGCGGAGGGTACGGTGGACCTCCTCAGGGTGGAGTGAGTACCAACGCTCGCGATGTTCGGGAAGTCCTGCGGCGCTGACTGTGATGTTGTCGCACCCAGTACTACCCTCCCCAAGCTCCGCCGCAGGCGTACGGCGGCTACGGTCAACAGCAGTACCCTCAGCAAATGCCTCCGCAGCAAGTGCGTCTTCGCTCGCTTGACGACCGTGCATGCGAATGAAACTGACTCTGAGATGGTACAGGTCTACGTCCAGCAGCCGCAGAAGAACAGCGGGCCGGGAGCGGGAGCAGGATGCTGTGCTTGCTTGGTGCGTCCTCGTTCCTTCGATCCGTCCGTATGAGCCTGTACTGACTCCTTCGTGACCTTTTGTAGGCCGGTGCATGCTTGTGCTGCTGCGCTGAAGAGGCGTGCTGCGACATGCTCATGTAACCGGGCCCTTCGCCTCCTCAAGAAACGGACTCTCGCCTCGCCCGATACTCCTTCTCCTCGAGACTCTCCTACGACAGACTATTTACGATATCCCGCCTCCTACCACCTTGACCCGTCGCCTAGCCTTCTAGCCTCGTCCTAGTTCTCCGCCTCTCGCTCGGGAGCGCTTTGCCCTGTTATTCGATTCAGATTCCGCTTCACCTCGCGCTGTTCGACGTGCATCGAGCTGAGAGACCAGCTCAATAGCAAGCGAGCGACCAGCGCCCGCTTCAAGTCCGTCTACAACTCATCCCTCGCAGTCTCCACCCTCTTCTCAGCCTCCTCGCGCTTCATCTCCTCCAACCGTTCCTGCACCCACCTCCTCCCGCTCTCTCCAACCCTCCGCCTCTCCCTCTCCCTCAACACCGCACTACACCCACCCCTCGCCTCCTCCCCAACACTACCCTGCAACGCCCTCGTTTCGAGGGAGAACAAAGCGTTCGCGAGGTGGTGTTTCGAGAGTTGCGGGCGCCAGTGTGCTGGGTCGGAGGGGAGGTTGAATAGCTCGTTCAGGGATTTGAAGAACGAGGGAAGGGGAGAAGAGCGGAGGATGTGGATGCGGGATTTGAAGGTGAGGTGTTGAGGTTCGACAGGCGGAGGGAGACGCGAAGAAGGGACGAGCGCGTCGAGGACGGCGTCGGCCCATCGCCGAGCTCGTTGGTCGATCACGACGGCGCGCTGGAAGACGTGCATGTACTCCTCTGACATCCCTCGCATCGAGGGAGGAAGGATCTCGTCTTCCTCCTTCTGGCTATAGCCGAAGCGCGAGTCGCGAGGACGAAGCAGGTCAAGTGTCGCGGTAAGCTGCGAACGGAGGTGGTGGGCGGCCATTATCTGCACGGGCTCAGGCAAGTCCGCTCCAGCGTCCTCGTCGTTCTTGTCGCCGTACTTCGCCGCGATGTTCTCCCACTCCCTCGCGACGTTCCCCAACACCCCGCCCTTCGACGAATCGTACATCGCGTCCCACTGCGTCCTCAAAGCCTGGCGGAACGTCTCCCCTCCGTTTCCCATCGGCTGGTCGAGCATTGCCCTCCGCTTCTCCGCCGCCTCCTCTCCCTCCGCAGCTGTACCGTCCTTCTGCGCAGTCGCAACACCCATGATCGATTCGACCCACTCCTCAAACTCCCTGTCCTTCTTCTCCCTCTCCACCCTCTCCTCCTCCAGCAGCCGCTGCTCCTCGCGCTCCAGAATCGCATTCGTGAAAGACGTCTCCGAGACATAGAGGAACCTCGTCGGCCGGCGAGAATTGACGGCTTCGAGATCGGAGAGGACGGCGGAGAGGTAAGTCGTCCTTCGTTCCCTCTCTCCCTCGACGCTGTCGGCTTCTTCGCCGAGAGGAGGAGGGGGAAGGTACTCCAACACGTCCAGCCACCCTTTCGCGACTTCTTCCATCCCCCGCTCCATCTTCCCCCTCAACACCTCACTGGCCTCTTCCCATTCGCGCACTTCGTGAGCAGGAAAAGGCGGCGCGTCGGGTTGTTGGACTGGGAGTGCGAGGGCCGAGTCGAGGAGTGTTGAGAGGGTTAGAGGGTACGAGATGGATTCGAGGTGGAGAAGGTGGGAGGGATTCATGGAGGAGTTTGAGGAGGACGAGGAGGGGGAGGATCGAAGGGCGCTGCGAGCCGGCGCATCCAGTTGTGATCAGCTTGTACGACGTGCCAGGTTACTTTGGGAGATTGTGGGACGCACGCATTGACGAACTCTCCCGCTTTATCCGCCGCGAAACCTTCAAGCAAGAGCCCCGTCCTGACCACCGTCCCAAGCAGCCCGACAAGCACCGCAGCTTTCGGGAACGGCGTTCTCAGCACTAATCCCACCCGCAAACCAATCAGCCTACTCATCTCGAGAGAAGGAGGCAACCGAACGCACGAGATAGAACCGTCCCTAGCACGCTCCCCGGCGTTCCGTAAGACCGCTGGAGGAGCAAGAGTGGTGCTCCGAAGACGTTCTGGATGATGGAGGCGACGAGCGCGAAGGCCAGGGCTGTCCAGGTTGGCATGGGAAGTGTTCGTTCGGTGTGCGATGAAGGTGGGGAGAGAGAAAGGGAGAGGCGAGAGAGACGTGCGGACGGCGGTGACTGTCGCAGAGCAACTGATCAGGTGCAAGCCGAGCGAGAGCAGCACGAGACGAAGCCAGACAGCGAAACGTAGCGGACGAGGAGGAAGAGCGAACGGGACCAGTTTGGGGACAGCGTGGTGCACGACAGCGATCTCTTCTCGCGGACCGACGAAGCATCCGGTGCGGTGCACATCCCGCTCTCACGAAAGGAGCCCGTCAGGCCGCAAACGAGAAAGCAGACTGTCCATTCTCCCCATCCACCTCGCACGAGAGCGCGTCTACGATCCCGCCCAACCGTGTGTCCGTGATGCGCCTACACCCTCCGTCGGTCCGACATGACGCGGACGATGCAGCCGATGCCGGCTACTTCGGTAAGCTGTGCGGGGGCGGCGGCGACAGAAGAGCAGAGAAGAGACAGGGAGTCTTGTCAGTGCGCTGTCTGACCAGGCATGACAGGTCTAGCCGGACTACTTCCCCACTGGCAGTGAGGAAAACAGCCGGCAGGTGTTGCCTGTTGTCCAGGCGGCTGATGCGATGTTTGCTAGCGAACGAAAGGACGCCGCAACGCACCTTTTCGTGCCACCCGAGGACAACGTTCCCACTCGTGTCCCCCAGGTTCTCCATCGCCTTGTACAAGTACTTCATGAGCGTGACCTGCGCGACAAGTGAGAGTCAGCAACAAACGCTCGCCTTTCAGCTTTACCCACGGCTTTAGCTCGATCGGGTATAGCAACAGGCAGAGGAGCGCGCCCGCACCTGTTCTGAGGGGTCGAGTTGCTGCACCAGCGTGGGGATGTCGGTTGATCGGGTCGAGTTGAGGATCGAGAGGACGGTCGCGAGGGCGGTTGCCTGCCGAGTGGAGCGTCAGCGTCTCAAAGGGATCCTTCGCCAAGGGGGCAGCGACTATGGTCCAGTCTGCGCCGAACAAGCCCGCCAGCGAGTTCCCCAGTTGTCGAACACCTGGAAGAAGCGCCAAACGTACCTTTGCCTGCTTCGTCTCTGGCACGCTGTCCTCCCCGTACGGCCACTCTCCCTCCCTGAGCACCTCCTTCAGTGCACTCCCCACATCGCCCCTCTGCAACAGTCCCCTGACAGTCCTGTCCTTCTCCTGAGCGCCCGCGAGCGCCTGTGCGGGTCCGCGCGGGTCGGGGTGGTACAGCGACGAGGGGTCGACGCGGTCTTCGTCGTATTGGTCGATGTCGATTCGGCGGAAGTTTGTCCCCGACAGGGCGGCGGTCGAGGCGGACATGGCTGAGCGAGATGAGGAGGACGAGTGACCGAGTAGTGGGGGTTGTTCAGCGGTGGCAGCGAGCGGGAGGCGGTCTGGCTAGCGTGGAAGGCTTTAAGAGGCTCAGAAAAAGCGTCTGGCGGGGGAGCGACCCTCGAACAGCGAGGAGTAATGAAGCGACGAGGATGAAGCGGCACTGGTGACGATTGTAATCCAGTCAATACAACCAGTTATATTCAACCCATTACACCGCTCCAAGTAGCTCCAGAGCTATCGTACTGGCGTGGGTGCTAATAAAACGATACCCTGCGAGTCCAGCCGTACCCTCGCTGGACCCGCATGAGCAAAGTAGCGCCGACGGTCTTCTCATCGCCAACTTCCTCGACTCCGCGACTTGCGCTCGTTTTCACCCGCGTTCACCGGCTGAACAGAGGGCGTGCGTGCCAGTCAGCTCCGATGGCGCACTGCAACCCAGCCCGCGCACTGCGGGTCGCGCTCGCTGCGTGAGTTTCCCCCTCGCTCTCCATCTCTCGCCGACTTTCTGCGAACGCGTACAACTCGCTCACACTCGCTTGATGGACCCGCGACAGCCCAGCACGGCAACATACCCCGCTCAACACGCTCGCACGACAAGCAGCGCGGTCCCCAGCTCTTCTCTTCGCCTCGTCCTCGACCTCCTCCCTCTTCGCCCGTCCTCGATCGCTCCCTCCCTTCCACCGCACCTTCGCTAGCTCTACGCCCGCCCGCGCATCAGTATTCAGCAGTCTCTGGGGTGGAGAGGTGAAGAAGGCGGAGCCGTTGCCGAACGCGGCGGGTGAGGCGACTTCAGCAGCAGTGTCGGAGGAAGCGAGTCTCGCGGCGACTGCTCCTCCGCCTGAACCTGTCGCGTCATCCCAACCGGTAGTCGACAGTGTCTCCGTCCCCGCCAACGACTTCGCGACTCTGCTGAACCCGACCGGACCCATGGCCGACCCGACTCTCACCTCGAACTACTACGACGGCATCGCGACCGGCACGCTCGACCTCGCCTCTCTCGCCGGCTCGTGGGGACCGCACCCGATCATGCGCCTCCAATCCATGTTCCTCCACCTTCACGAGTCGTTCCCTCTCCTCGGTCACCCAGGCCTCCAGTGGGCCGTCCTTATCCCCGTCGTCACCCTCGGCCTCCGCTTCCTCCTCTTCCCCTTCCTCGTCCGCTCGCAACGCAACACGGCAAAGATGGCGATCATCCAGCCCCAGCTCCTCAAGGGCATGGAGAAGCTCAAGGCGGCCAAGGCAGCGGGCGACCTCCAGCAGATGCAGATTGCGCAGTTCGAGACGCAGTCCCTCATGCGCGAACACGGCGTCAACCCCATCGCCAACTTCATCTTCCCGCTCTGCCAGGCGGCAGTCTTCATGTGCATGTTCTTCGGGATCCGGGGGCTCGCCAACTCGGGTCTCTTGAGCTTGACGACTGAGGGCTTCGGCTGGGTGCCGGATCTCACCAAGTCGGACCCGTACTACATCCTGCCCGTCACGAGTACCGCCTTGACGCTCCTTACGCTCGAGGTGCGTTCGTTCGGCTTCCCTGCGCCTAGTTTCACCTGTGCTGACAGACACCTTTCTGCAGACGGGCATCGACGGCTCGACGACGGTTCAGACGACCATGACGCGCAACATGAAGACGATCTTCCGCGCCCTCATGGTTGTCTCGCTCCCCGTCATCGCCTACTTCCCTGCCGTGAGTTTGCCCGAATCTCTTGCCTAAATCACTTCCTGACCCGTCCATGTGCGCGCAGGCTCTTCTCCTCTACTGGACGACCAACAACTTCATCTCCCTCACCCAGACCACTCTCCTCAAGCTCCCCGCCGTCCGTACCGCGCTGGGCATCCCCATCCCCCCTCCGAAGCCCCAACCCGGCGACAAGAACTACGTCAAGGAGCCCTCTTTCGCCGAGGCGTTCAAGACGTTCGGCTCGTCAATCAAGGAGAAGGTGAACGAGACAGCAGCCGAGGCGCAGAAGGCGACTGAGATGCAGGCGCGGTTCAAGCGCGCGCAGGAGCAGCGCAATCAGGCTCCCGCGTCCCCGGTCGCTGCAGCGGGCGGCCGCAAGCCGCTTGCGAAGCCGCTGTCGGAGTCGACGCAGACGATCGCGGCGGATTTGGCGGCGGACGTTGTGCGCAAGGCCGCTGCGCCTTCCGCTCCCAAGCTCCCCAAGGAGCCGCTGGTCAAGGCCGAGCCGGTCGTCAAGGCTGAGACGAAGGCTGTCCCGTCGAGCGTGCGCGACTTTGAGAGGGAGAAGCGGAGGAGGATCGCCGCGTCGAGGGCGGCGAGGGTTGTGAAGACTGAGTGAGCGGATAGAACAACCGGCGGAGCAGACTTGTACGAGCCACCACTCGGGTTGTAACCTTAGCTTTCGCGAATTCCTTTTGCGTGCCTCGTTGGAGAGAGACTTGGGTATGCACAGGTTCGCAAGGTCTGCCCTACACTGCCGCATCATCGAGGCCCATCCCGCCGAGCTGCAGCATGAGCTTGACTGCGTCAAGCGCCAGAGCTTCACATCAGCACAACGTCTCAAGTAAGACGTCCGAGCGGAAAATGCGTCTGCGCAAACTCACGATTCTCGTCGTTCTTCTGCTTGACCTGCTTCGTGAGCTCCTGGACTTGCTTGGACAGGCGTTGGATGACAAAGTCTTTCTTGTCGGACGAGATGGACGAGACGAGCGAAGGAGCGGGCGAGGCTGCGGCACCGGGGAAACTCAGTATAAGGAGAGGAGGGACGGGAGAACTGCGTACGGGGCGGGCGGGTCTTCGCGTCTGGCGAGGAGCAAGAGCCGAAACGTCGAGTGTCCCGAAGCATCAGCATGATTCGGGAGACAGGCTCGTCCTTTCCGTGCTCGCTCACCTTGGACCTCCTTCTTCAGCCGTTCAACCTCGTCCTTCAGCTCATCGCGCTCCTTCTCGACCTTCTCTTTCGCCGCATACCCCTCCTTGATTTCGACCTTGAACTCAGCCATCTCGCTCTTGACCTGTCCCAACTCTTTCCTCAGACTTTTCGCTTCGCCTTCCGCCTTGTCCGCCTTGCTCTTCGCCGCCGACGTCGCAGAAGTCGCCTTCTCGACTTGAAGCTGCGACTGACGGAGACGGTCCCTCGTGCGATCGTGTGCGAGACGTTCGTCGGAGAGTTGCGTAAGGGCGATGTCGTCGCAGCGGATGTCCACGTCGGAGGGGACGACAGCGCCAGGCGGGAGGGGAAGGCGAATGTCGGTGAGATGGAGCTGCGCTTCGGAAAGGTAAAGGAGACGCAGAGTGCGGGCGAGAGTGTTTAGTGTCGAGGGAGTTTGGACGGCTTGGAGCGAAGGGACGCGCGAGCAGACTATAACGAGGAGGGCGGCGAGGCGAGACGACGTGTCTTTTCCGCCGCGATCCGATGCGCGCTGCGAGCGGTGGAAGAGGTGGATCAGCGACGAAAGGCTGAAGGAACCGAAGGCGAGACGGACTTCTCCCGCCATGATCTTGTCCGCCTGGACCCTGACAGCCTGATCGCTGAGCCTCGGATCCATTCCCAGATGCTTGTACGCTCCCTCGATACCCTCGAACGCATCAAAGTTGAACAGGCGGGACTCGGTCTTGCCGTGCGAGAAGTCGGGGTTGCGCAAAGAGGGAGGCGGGCCGGCTTCATCCGTCAACGGCGGCATGCTCGCGTCCGAGTCGTCTCCGTCGTCCGCTTTCGCGCCTCCAGTGCTCGATTTGGGCGTCGCGTCCACGACCTCTTCGAGAGGTGGCATCTCATCGTCGTCCTCCTGCGTGCCAGCCGCCGCAGCAGGCGCCTTGGCCGGCTCGGCAGCCTTCTTCGCAGCCTGTTTCTTGTTCTTCTTTGACGCGCCGTACGCCATTACGCGCCGTGTGAGCGAGCTGGGGAGGAAGAAGAGGGCGAGGGTGTGTGGGAGGACGAGAAGCGCCTTGAGCCACCTGGGGACAAGAGGCGCGAGTGCGTGTGCGAGGGCAGAAACTATGGCTCGTAGCAGAGCCAGCGGGAGCGCCTGAGCCAGAGCGAGCGGTCGATGGCAGGGTGAGAGAGCAAGAGTGCGAGGAGGGGTGCGTCGACCACCTCCTCCCGCCTGAGCGACGTTCCAGGCTTGCTGGTGGACCCCACAGGGTCCCGAAAAGGCCAGTGCGTCGAAGATGATCCGCGGACTCGAGCGGACCATCGACCTTCCCAACTTGCTCTCCTCGCTGAACGTACAAAGCGACGCCGGCGCTCGTTCTTCAAGCTGCATTACCCGCCATCAAGATAAGATAGAGAGATGGACAAGCGGGGATTAGTAGAACGCCGACATGCGCTTCGCCCGCTTCTTCTCCGCCTGCTCGAGTTGGTACAGCTCGGCCGGTGTCGGTTGCGAGAGCCACTCCTTGAGCCTGCGAGCGCACGGTAGGTCAGCTACTAGTCAGCAGCCGTGCGCGAGCACCGGACGCACTTCTCGGGATCCTTGATGAGCAGCGCGGCATCGACCAGCTCGCCCCTCCACTTCTGCCAGCTCGTTGGCGGCGCAGACTTGTACCGCGCGAGGATGATGTCGTCGAGCTGTGTTGGCGTGAGCGGAACGATTGACGAGTCGTCTGGCGAGACCCAGCGGCTGCGCGCGAGACGAGTGAGCGGCGTTTCTTGCGCGAAAGGGAGGAAGCGCAACGTACTGGTCGCCGCCCGTCGGCACGCTTTTGACGAGGTATGCGCCCGGTGTGCGCTTGCCCTGCGTGTTCGCAGGCGGAGTGCGGTGGTCGAGGACCTGGGGGAACCAATCGTCAGTTCAATCGAAGCCCCATACGTGGAGCGAGTCGTGGGGCGAGTCGTTACGCACCACCGACGGCCAGAAGTTGTAGTTCGGGAACTTTGCCATCACCGCCTGACCAATCTTGAAGCGGTCCGGGTCGTTCAACAAGCGCTCGTCCTCCTCGGCCTGCTCCTGCTCCGTCAACCCACTTCCCGCAAGCGATCCTCGCTTCCTCCCTGGTCTGCCCGAGCCCGCTCCCCCGTTCGCACCCTTCGCCTTCTTCGCCTTCTTGCGCGCCACCTGCTCCTCGTAATCGCTGCCGAGCTCGTCAAGCTCCTCGACGTCCAGCTCCGCATCGTCAAAGTCGTCGTCTTCGTCCGACGGGTCGTCGAATCCGCTGAAAGTCCTTCGCCGCTTCTTCTTTTCCTCTCCTGCGCCGTTTTCCAGGTAACTCCCCCATTCCTCCTCCCACGAATCGTATTCCCCGCCAACCTCCTCCCCCTCATCCTGCAACCGAAGCGGCGCCCTCCTCTTCCTTTGCGGCCTCTCGCTCCCTGCTCGACCGCCGTTCGGGGCCGCCCTACGCGCACCAGCAGGCATGTATCCGTCATCGTCCTCGTCACCCTTCGCCTTCCCCTTCTTCGTCCCAATCCCGCCCGTCGAAGCGCGCTGCTTCCGGATCTTGGGCTTGACATCGACTGCAGCCGCGCCCGACGCCGAACCAGGCGCGGATGGAGGCGGAGGAGGTGCGAAACCAGCTGAGGGAGGACCGGTAGGGAGGACGGGGGGAGTCTCGAAGATTGGGGCGGGAGTGCTGTGCGATGAGCCGGGTGCTGGAGCGGGACTCTCTCGCGCAGAGGAGGTGGCGATAGGGACGGCGGGGACGGCTGGGGCGACGGGAGCAGGGGCGATGGGCGGGGCTGCTGCCGCAGGCGCTGGAGCGGGCGCAACGGCTGCTGAAGTCGACGCGGGCGAGGCGCTCGAAAGTGCAGACATGGCGGACGCGAAGGCTGCCGCCTTTGACTGAGAAGGACCTGCCGACGATTGGGCGAACGGTGCGGGTCGAGCAGCCGGAACTTGCGATGCGAACGGCTGAGGAGAAGGGTTTGAAGCTGGGAGTGCTGGTGCGGCAGCTGACGATGTCGAGGCAGCTGGAGTTGGCCAGAAAGTAGGACGCGACGGCGCTGCGGCAGGCACAGGGTGCGGCTGCGCCACGGAGGCGGCAAGGCTGGAGAATGGGCGAGTCAGTGGGCAAGCGTAGCAGGAGATGCATTGTCGACGCACCGCATCTTCTTCTCTTCCTGCTGCTTCGCGATCGATCCTGGCGCGGGAGGCGGCGCGAAACCGAAGGCGAGAGGAGCGGAAGGCGGTAGTTGTGCGGGCGCAGTCGAGATGGGAGCCGAAGGGGCAGAGTGAAAGCCGAAGGGAGCTGGAGGAGCAGGTGCTTTCGACGGGAGAGGGTTCGTCGGTTGAGCGGGACTGCACGGCCGTTCAATGTCAGCTCTGTACCGCTGAGTGCTCGAAGAGACTCTCGAACGCACCTGATGTCGGACGAGCCGTCCCAGAGGAACGCTGACCGAACGGCGTACAGCCAGGAGATCGCCTCGGCAGCACCGTACCACGCTTGACGCCCTGCTGACTTCTCCTTACCGCCTGCACCAGCGAAGGCCTCCCTTTCGAGCTCGATACATCCCTCAGCCAACTTGGCCGGCCCAATCCGCTCCATCGCAGCAATCACCTGCGCCGCGCGCTCTTTCGGTCGATGTGCAGTCCCTGTGTAGATTGACGCTGCGTCGGCGACGAAGGCGGAGCTGGGCGTGCCAAGGGCGGATCGGAGAGAGAGTCGAAGAGATGGCCAGTCGCTTGCACCGTCCAGCGGCGACCCCTGCAGTGCCGGCACCTTGTACGACGACATGTTCCCTCGCACAGAATCCAGCAAGGCGCCAAGCAAGGCGGCGTAGTGCTCGATGATGGGTGAAGTCGAGTCGGTGTTTGGGTGAGTGTCGACGGTCGGCGAAGCAGCGCGAGAAGCTTGAGCGACCATCCCCGCATTCCCTAAGTCCACCTGTGCACCGTCCATCGTGCGCGAGCTTGCAGCGAGGCGAGCGAGAAGAGCGGCGGGGTCAAGGGTGGTGTCGGCGTCGGTGGGGGAGGAGGAGTCGCACGTCGACGAAAGCCTGAGGGCTTCTACAGAGTTGCAGAGCAGTGCAGAGGGAGCTCACAACAAGGACAAAGGCGAGCAGGAAGCGCCAGGCTCGAGCAGCGAACAGTGTATGAGGTGAGCGAGGTTGCGCTGAGCGAGCTACGAGTAGTCTACAACAAGCAAAGGTTCAGCCCCTCCTCCAGTTGCCTCCAGACGGCGCACTGCCTGCGCCGAAACCGCCGCCGCCGCCCCGCGAGTCGACCTGCATCGGTCCCGCTCCTGCGCCAGGCGGGCGGTAGACGTTGGTTCCGCCAGCGCTCGGTGGTCGTGACGAGTAGGGCGTGCCAGCGTGCGATGCAGACGTCGCGGGCGTCGCCGCGCCCGAGGTGTACATCCGCGCCTGCTGGAGAGGGCGGAGGCCCGAAGGCGAGGACGGCCGCGTGCTCGCGCGAGAGGAGCCGACACCCGATGCAGGGCCCATCGAGTTGTGGTAGTCCTGGATGAGGTCGACGACGTTTCGCGTGAGGTTGTCGAGGTCCTGCACCTCGACCGACGACAGGGTCGGGTCGTTCCGGTCGACCATCTCCTCGTCCGCCTCGTCCTCGTCTTCGTCGTCCTTCTCGAACTGCCGACCACGCGGGCCTCGTTGCTGCTGTTGAGGTCCACGGCCGCGGCCCCGCAAGAGCGAGGCATTGAGACCCTCGAAGACGCGGAGAAGCGAGAGGTCGAGGATGTTCTTCAGACGCTCGACGTCGTCGAGGATGACGGCGCTCGTCTTGTTCGACGCGACGATGGGCAACCAGCCGTCGCAGTCGAGACCCTCCTGCGTGACGCGGAGGTCGTACGCGCCGAAGAGCATGTAGCCGAGCGGGTCGATCCTCGTCGTCGAGCGCAGGAAGGTCTGTCCGCCAGACTTGCTGCCGATCGGACCCGTCCGCGACTTTTCGCCGAAGGCGTAGATCTGCCGAGACGCCGCGCTCTTCTCGTTCCGCTTCGAGTTGACCGACGACGGGTGGATCATGCAGGACTTGTCCTGGCTCGTCCGCAACGTCGACGATCCCGTTCGGATGGCAAAGTTGGGCGCGACGGCGGTGGCGATGAGGGCGGAGAGGAGAGGGAGGAGGTGGCCGTTCTCGTTGAGTTCGGGGGGGATCTGGACGGGTCCGCGAGCGAAGCGACCACGGCCGAAAGCGGGTTGCGCAGGAGCTGCCGCGCCGCCAGCCGAGATTTGCAGGACACCGGCACGGTCGAGAGAGGAGATGAGGTGTTCCTTGATCTTGAGAATGTTGAGAAGGGACGGCTTCGAGAGGAAGTTGTTGTAGGCGAAGGAGTTTGCGCGCTGCAGAATGGAGAAAAGTCAGAAAAGCGATGATGTAGTAGAACCCGCGGGCCACGCACCTGGTACTGGTTCGACTTCTGCATCTCCTCCCACGTCGTGTACGCGCGGAGGATGGTGAGGGGATCACTGCGGAACTCGGGAGGCGCCCACGAGTTCTTGACGCGGTCAGCCTCCTCCTTGGCGGCAGGCGGCGACATGAACGGATCGCGGTTGGTGAGGATGGCAGCGAGGGTGACGGCGGGTTCGAGGCAGCGGAAGAAGGAGCCGAGGAGGCAGAGCTTGCCGATCGCTGCCTCGACGGGAAGCTGAAGGAGGACGCGTCCGAGCGAGGTGAGCTTCTCGTCGCGGTCGATGGCGCCGACGTGGAGGAGAGTCTGCAGAGCGGCGACAACACGCTGCGGCTCGGGAGGCTGGATAGTCGATCCGAGCACGTCGGCGACGGTCAAGCCGGGCAGTTGCAACCCAGTGACGTGCATGGCGGTGGACGCGAGGTCGGTGCGGAGCATCTCGACCGTCTGGTGGATGTCCATCGCCTCGAAGCGAGCGCGCGAGACGATGCCGTAGTACTCGCCAGGGCGGTGGCGACCTGCACGACCTGCGCGCTGGAGGACGTTCGAAGTACCGGTCCATGCCGAGACGAGCTGCGAAAGGCGGCGCTGCGGGTCGTAGCGCTTCTCCTTGCACTTGGCTGCGTCGACGACGTAGACGACGTCGGGAATCGTGACGGACGTCTCGGCGATGTTGGTCGACAGGACAATGCGGCGGATGCCCTTGGGAGGAGGCTCGAAGACGGCTTGCTGGTCGGCGAGGGGGACAGTCGAGTGGAGGATGTGGATCTCGTAGTCCTTCGACATGAAGTCGATGCCAAAGAGAGGGAACTGGCGGGGAGCCTGGAGGATCTTGACGACGGCCTGAATCTCCTCCCATCCCGGCAGGAAGACGAGGACGTGTCCGTCGTCCGACTTGCGCAAGACATGCGCGACGAGAAGGGCGAGAAGCGGGTAAGGCATGTCGAGGTCGTCGATCTCGCCGACGACTTTGCCTGTCCGCTCGTCGATAGGCAAGCGCGAGACGAGCTCCCTGGCGAGGTACTTCTGCACAGACTCGTCCTCGAAGACCCATCCTCCCTCGTTCCTCGGGATCTTCATCGCCCGCAACTCCTGCATCGTCTCGTCGAGCCAGTGCTTCTCGACGGGGAAAGACCGTCCGGGCACATCAATGACGGGCGCGGGCAGGCGAGTGTCGGGGTCGGCGAAGTAGTTGGTGAAGAGGCGAGGGTCGATTGTGGCGGACCTGCGAAAAGCGAGGTCAGCGCGTGAGACGGAATCTGGCAGGAGAAATCGCGAAACGCACATGAGGATGACCTTGACCTCGGCCTTGCCCTGTTTCCGCCTCTCGTGCAGCAAGCGCCTGAGAACGAACAGCAACAAGTCGGTGTCGACGTCGCGCTCGTGGACCTCGTCAACGCAAATGTGCGTCACGCCATCGAGGAAGCTCTCCTGGTTCGCCGAAGGTCCGCGGTCGAGGTCGGCCTGCATGCGTCGGAGGAAGAGACCCGTCGTGCAGAAGAGGATGCTGCCGTCCTTGCGAGGCGGCTTCGACTCGAACCTGACCTGGTAACCGACCGAGTCGCCAATCGACTCGCCACGCTCCTTCGCGACACGCTCAGCAACCGAGATGGCGGCGATACGGCGAGGCTGTGTGCAGACGATATTGCACTTTGCGCCCTCCTTGGCCATGATCGCATCGTCGAGGATGAGCTGCGGGAGCTGGGTGGTCTTTCCGGAACCGGTCGCGGCGAGACAGACGACGACGGGCGAGGTGTTGATCTTGGCGATGACCGAGTCGGCGTGCGAAGTGACGGGAAGGGAGGCGCGCTGCTTCCGCATCTTCTCGACTGCGGGCTCAGTCGAAGCCTGGTAGTTCTGGAGGCGGGTGAAGAGCATCTGCGACTTGGCTTCGAGTCGCTTCTGGCGTAACTCGGCCTGGGCGGCCTGCGCAGCCGGGTCGACAGCCGGCGCGTTGGTCGAAGCCGCCGTCGCTGCGTCCGCACCTCCACCGCGCTTCGCCCGCTCCCACTGCTCCTGCGCCTTCTTGTGCTCGCGCTCAACCATCTCCTTCGCGCGCCGATACAACTCGCTCTCCTGACCCTCCCACACCGCCTGGTTCAGCTCCTCCTCGACCTCGGCCGACCCAACATCGAACGAGACGTGGGGCGGCAACTCGCCTTTCGAGACGAGCTTGTCGAGTTTGCGCTGCTTCCACGCGTCCCACAAGCCCGGGTCGCACGACTCGAGATAGAGCGCCGTGTCGAGGTAGGCGCGTCGCTCGGCGTCCTTCTTGGACGCCGCCTCGCCCACACCGATTTGTGCGCCGGCGACGCGCAGCGTCGCGCGCCACTGGCCCTTCTGGTTGCCCTTGACTCGTCTGCGACCCCGCGTGAAAGGCGCAGGCTGGTCGATCTTGACCGGCCGCGCTTCGAGCGACGGCTTGTCAAAGTTGAAGCGCTGGCCTGTAAGCTCGTCCGCGCCGTCAGCTTGAGCTTCACTGATAAAAATCGCGTCGACGCACAATAGAAATCCATGAACGCCCTCGCCTCCTCAAGCGAGACCCGGTCTCCATTCGAAAGCGTGACCGTCGAGCCGTTGTTAGTCGGAGGGGGCGGCGCGGCCGCGTCGACGGCCATAGGGGCAGGACCAGTCGAATTGTAGGTCGTCGAGTTGGCAGGACCGTCGAAGAAGGAGGACGGGGCGTACGAGGTGGGGGTTTGGGCGGCGGGTTTTGCTGCTGTGGGAGGGAAACCGCCTTTCGCGCGGAGAGGGAGGTTGCTCTGCGGAAATCAAGATCAGTCGTGAGCGGAATTGACGAAGCCAAGGAGAAAGCTGGACGCACGCTTGTGAACAGCCCCTTCGCACTCAACTGCATGCACGCATGCAACGCCGCAAGCTTCTCCGCTTCCTTCGCCGTCTTCGCATCTCCCGTTCCGACGATAGGCTGGATCATGGGAGGAAGCGAAGGGCCGGAAGCAGAGTTGTAGCTCCAGGACTGCTGGTTCGCTGGAGGATCGGGATCGGCGACAATGGTTACTCTGTGAAAGCCACCCTTCGTCAGCGCGGATCCTCCTGACGACTGTAGACCGTACGAAGGGGAGAAAGCTGGCAGGATGAACGCACCGCGTAACCTCCTCGCCCAGGACATTCACCTTCTTCGCCTCGTACTTTGGCTCTCCACCGAGCGCCTTGACGTAGTTTGAAATGACGCCCTTGGCGTTCTCGATCAGCCTGTCATTCACAAAGAATGCGGTACGATCAGCTCAACTTCTCGCAAGATCAAAGGCTGTTCGGGAGTGGACGCACTTGGGTGGTGGCTTGCCCCTCCCGCCCATCGCTGCGTACACCGACTCGACGTAGGTCTTGTCGTGCAGCGGACCGGGGGCGGTTGGTAGCGGCACCTTTGCGGATCTCGACGGCCCTGCGCCGCCTGCTCCTCCGCGCTTCCTGCCGCCTGCGCCAGCTCCGCCGCGCCTCCGAGGGTGTCCCAGCGATCCAGTCGAGTTCATCTCGAGCGCAGCCGATGTCCTGAGCGTGCGGTTGTGGTGTGTCGGCGGCGAGAGGAAAGTGGACGAGAGCGAGTCGAGCGGTCGGGGGCGGGCGTTGCGGCTCGCGGGCATGCACTGGCGGAGCAGCGACGGTCTGGCAGCGTGTGTGGCGGCTCGCAGCAACAACAGCGACCTCACCAGCATGAGCTGGGGTTGTGTTCAGGGTCAACCCGCCGACGAAGCTCATCGGGTAATCCTTTGCTATTCACGAATACAAATTGGGGTAATCAGCTCATTACAACCTCGATCACCCGCTCGCTCTTCACACATCCTCCTGAGACTGTGCTGGATCGGGTCTGGCAGACTCTACGCTCGACGCTGAGCCATGAACAACCCGAACGGGGGCATCCCGCTCCCTTCGCCGACACCGCCAGCATCCTCCCCGCTCGACGACATCGAACTCGACCCCGAAGTACAAGAGCTGTGGAGCTCGCGCGCACTCTTGCTGGTCAGTCGCACCCTCGGAGCGTACGATCCGCCACTGCGCGAGTCTATCAGAGGTGTGGGGGGCGCAGGGTGGCTTTCGAGATTGTCGTGGAGCTGCGGGAACACGGGAGACTTGGCATGGAATGATGGCGGGATAGGCTGGCGGGTCACTGCAGGGTGCACCGCTCGGCAAGGTATTCGGTGGTGCTATCGGCGAGGTTCCGCGGGCAGTTGCACCCGGTCCTCACGCTTCGTTTCTCGGTGGGGAGATTGGGTGGAGAGGCGAAATGCGCGTTCGCGCATCGTTTGATGGCCAGAACGCACGTCAGGAGGGATGGATTTGGAATGGAGATCCTGCGCCGCAACCGCAGCCATCTCAGAGCGCGACGAGCCAAATGCTGACCTCCGTCCCTCCTTGTGCAGGTCCTCCTCCTCCTGATTCTTTCTTTCTGGGTTTCGTACTACCTGAAAGTCCGACGGATCAGGAGCATCCATGAGACGATCGTCGCCATGTTCAGCGGTGCGTTTCCGAGATGTTTCGAGCGTGCGAGGCTGGAAATCGCTGACGTCCAACGCCGCCCCTGCCTCGTTTCTCTTTCGCGACGCCCTCAACAGGCATGTGCGTCGGCGCACTCGTCCGCCTCGCGCCCGGCCACGTCGTGCAAGACATGATCGCCTTCAAGTCGACCATCCTCCTCAACGTCCTCCTCCCGCCCATCATCCTCAACTCTGGCTACCAGCTCAAACAGGAGAACTTCTTCCGCAACTTTGCGGTCATCCTCAGCTTTGCGTTTGCGGGGACTTTCATCAGTGCGGTTGTACTCGGGTGCGTCTCCTCGGGCAGCTTGCGCTTCCCTCGCTTGCACCGCGTGTCGAGCGCCAGTAGCTCACAATGTGCAACCCACAGCGTCATCGTCTACCTCTACTCCCTCCTCGGCCTCGAAGGCCTCTCCCTCACCATCATCGAATGCCTCCTCTTCGGCTCGACCCTCTCCGCGACCGACCCCGTTACGATCCTCGCCATCTTCAACGCGCACCACGTCGACCCGAAGCTCTACTCGGTCATCTTCGGCGAGAGTATCCTCAACGACGCGGTTGCGATCGTCATGTTCGAGTGCGTTCGCACTCTAGCCCATCTGCCTCCCGCTCGCTGACTCCGCCCCCTGCTCGTCACACAGAACACTCTCGCAATTTCACGGCGAAAAAATCCACCTCCTCTCCTTCTTCCACGGCACAGGGATCTTCCTCCTCACCTTCTTTATCTCGATGGCACTCGGCGTCATCTTCGGCCTCAGCTGCTCGCTCATGCTCAAGCACTCCGAGTTGGGTGAGTCGGCGCTGGCTCAGCTTTGGAACACCATTGTCGGCCGTGACGGCGTAGTCTCCTATGAGAAGTTGGTCAGTTGGCTGATATTGCTTCGCTGCGTCGTGCAGGCCGATACACCGAGATCGAAGCGTGCCTCGTCCTCCTGATCGCCTACACGAGCTACTTCTTCTCGAACGCCATGTCCATGAGCGGTGCGTTTCGCCATTCCTCTAGAGCACCGCGTGCTGATCTTCGACTCCCACATCTTCTACCTTCCCGGCCAACTTTCGCTTGCATCTCTCCTCTGTATAGGCATCGTCTCCCTCTTGTTTTGCGGCATCACCCTGAAGCACTATGCCTACCACAATATGTCACGAAGTTCTCAGCGGGCGACGCGAGCGATCTTCGGGATCCTCGCGTCGCTCGCCGAGAACTTCATCTTCATCTACCTCGGCCTCTCCCTCTTCACGCAGACTCAGCTCGTCTACAAGCCGATCTTCATCCTCGTCACTGCGGTTTGCATCCGTTCCTCTCACCTTCTCTCGAGCAGTTCGCTGACGTGCTCCCTCGCAGTTCGCCGTCTGTGTCGCCCGGTACTGCGCCGTCTTCCCGATCTCCAAGGTCATCAACGTCGTCTTCCGCGCCCGCGGCGCCCGGACCGACGAGCTCCCGCACAGCTACCAAATGATGCTCTTCTGGGCGGGTCTGCGCGGAGCAGTCGGCGTCGCTCTCGCTGAAGGCATGAAGGGCGAGCATGCGGTGGCGCTCAGGACAACGGTGCTCGTCACAGTGGTCTTGACGGTCGTCGTTTTTGGCGGCACCATTCAGCGGATGATCGAAATCCTCGGGATTCGTACAGGTGTCGAAGAGGAGCTGAGCGACAGCGAGGACGAGGAGGGCGTCTACAATCTCGTCAATTCGGACGGTGCGGACGTCGAGGCGCGAAGGATGAAGAGGCGGTCGTTGCCACTGGGAGTTGGCGGAGGAGGGGTCTCCGCGACGAGCCACCATTTCGCCAGTCAAGGCAACGGCAGGCTCAGCACGGGTGACTTCGACCAGTCGACATCGCCTTACCGCGACCAGCAGCCTCGCCGCGGATCAGCAGGTCGTCTAGGCGCCGCCAGAGTTCCTTCGCCGCGACGACCGCAAGTCTACGTCGCGTCCGACAACTCTGCCTCGTCCGAAGACTCCGACCCGGACGTGCTTCCGTCGCCCTCTGACCCGCTCGCAGCAGATCCATCGGCCTCGTCGGCGCAACTCCTGCCAGGCGGCGGACTCGGCCAGGTCTGGTCGGCACTCGACGAGCAGTACCTCCTGCCCGTCTTCAGCAACACGACTGCGAACCGACACGAGCGGAGCAAGAAGATGGCGGCGCGAGCGAAGAAGTCGTCGTTCGCGGTGGACCGCGTGGGGCTCGAGGGCGACGAAGAGGGCGGCGAGGGCATGTACGCCGGCGGAGCGGGGAGGAACAAGAGCTTTTCAGTGAGTGCTGGCTCCTTGTGCTGCTTCTCTCGCTAACCTCCTCCCTCGCAGGACATCGTCACCGCACTCGTCGCGCCTGCCTTGTCCTCGTCGCAAGGTCCGTCGACGCCCGCCCCTCCAACTCCCGCCTTCGCCTCGCCCAACTCTCCGTACCCTTCAATCGACCTGACTGCCGCCGCATCCTCGCGCTCACTCGACACGCGACCAGCTCCTCGCGCCCGCTCGTCCGGCTCACAACCTCATACGCCAACCGGCTCCGCCGGGTCGTTAGGCGGTCCTGCAATTCCCGTACAGCCATTCGGCGGTCGGAGAGGCTCGGCGATGCAACCGGGAGAGGGGTACGAGCTGTCTGGCGGATCAAGCGGCGGAACGGATGGGCGACGATGATGTTTGCGAGCTCGCTTGCCTTCAGAATACCGTCACGCTGCACTGCATTACTTCACGAGACCTCTTCGCATGCCTTGAGAGTAACGCGAACCGCGAAAGCGCAAGTACAGCTGAGGAAAGTGCGTTTCAACGAACGAGGAAGGTCAAGCGGTTCGACCACACTAGTCCCTCGCAACTTGCTTCGCTGTGAAGCGCATCGCCAGCGAGTGAAGATCTGTTCGCAAAACCTTGTGTTACAACAGAGCTGCGAGTCCCGTCTATCCAGAGAGCCGGGGACTTAACGACCAGCGCGAAAATGTAAGGGGGAGGGAGGGAGATGCGCCATGCTAAGCGCCGAGGAATTCGAAGGCTGTGCGAGGGGTAGGAAGAGTTAGCGAGCGAAGACGACATAGCAGAGAAAAGCGAATCGGACGCACTGGCTGCGCCACATTCAACGCCGTCCTCGGTCATCAAGACGCCGCGCACTTCGGCACTGTCGAGCTGCAGGCCGAGGTCAAACTCGATGTATCCGCCGCCGTTCTCCTCGGCGATCTGGTGGAACTTGGGCAACGCGGCGAGGTCGACGGTCCAGCGGCAGAGTTCGGTCAAGTCGCCTGTGGGAATAGCCTGCGTCAATACAGGCATAAGAGGAAGTCGAACGCTTGCACTCACCCTCGTCGGTATAGCGGTACAGCTCCTCCGAATTCGAGACGAAGAGGTGGGCGGTAAAGACCGAGTCGCGAGGGTCTGCGTTCGACCGGGGCGCACAGCACAACTGTATCAGCTCAAGTCGCATCCACACTGCTGCGACTTCGTCGACGCACCCTTGACAAACTTGCAGAAGCGAGATCGCAACCGCTCGCCCTTGCGCAAGACGGCGCCCTTGGCGATGAGGTCTGCAAAGCGAAGTGGTCAATTGAGCGCCCGGCCTCAATCGAATAAACCTGAACGCACAGCTCAGCCGGTTCTCGCACACGACCGTCCCGCCATCGTTCGTCGTGACGAACTCGGGCCTTCGCCAATGGTCCTCCTGCTCGGCCGGCAACCTGCTCTTCATGCAGTAGCTGCGCGGACTGATGACGCTGCTGACGCCCGCTTTGCCCTGCCGCAAGCCGAGACCGTAGCGAGCCGCTCCCCGGAGAGTTGCGGTGTCACAGTCTTGCGGGCGGACGATGACAGGGACGACAGCGCCGAAGGCTTGTCGGACGCGGGTGTAGAGGTACTCGGACGCCGCGAAACCGCCGACGAGGATGATAGCGTCAAGCGGGGTGGAACCAATCTTGGCGATCTGGGTCGAGAGGAGCTCAAGGACTTGCTCTGCGGGCGCGGTCGTCAGCGGTCAGCGTGAGCAGGTGCGGACAAGCTCAACGCGTACCGATGATCGGGTCAAAGACCTCCGTCTTGAGCACCTTGCCCGGGATGGCGAGTTCGCCGAACTCCAAGCCGACGGCGGGGTCGTGCGAGTCCTCAACGTTGAAGCAGTTGAACCGGAAGATGGCCTCTGCAAGACGAGAACTGTCAGCAGGAGCGAATGGCAGAGGGAAGTATCCCTACGCACCATCGTCTTCGGCGGTACCGTGGTAGGCGAGCTTGTCTCCCTCGGCGAAAGCGTGGATGAAGGTCGCCATCGATGCCGGCTCGAGGTGCACTGGGTGGTCCTTCAGGCTGCAGGCGCAAATGGCCAGTACATCAGCGACGAGCGAAGGACAAATCGCCACGCCGAAGCGAAAACCGTCGCGACTTACATCCGCCTGAGCAACTCTTCAAACTTGAGGTCGACAAACAAGCTTCCCGTATTCGCCCCGCTCCGCACACACATCTCGGCGATCTCGAGCTCGGAGAGTTGACCCATCAGTTTGTAGACGCCCGTATCGACGGTTCCGCCTCCTGCATCGCAGAGGAGGAAGCATTGCGAGGGCCGGAGGTGGTGGAGGGTCGCGAGGGTCGAGGCGTGGATGGCGCCGGCTTCGGGTTCGCTGCGAGCAGGACTCCGCGTCAGCTCCAGGAAAACAATCAGAAAGGCAGAACGACGACGTGGTGTGGCGCCGTCGTCCGAGACCCAGGCAGCAATCCTCGAACCGACTGACGTGATAATCTGCAGCCTGTCCCTCCACGCTGTGTCACCACCGCGCGAGCTCTGGACGAGACCGGCACGAAGCGCGCTCTCACGCATGAGCGAGCAAGCGGCGGCGTCCCATGCGGCGGGAACGGTGAGGAGGACATCGGCGGCATCTGCAAGTCGATGGGTAGTCATGCAACCGTCAGTAACCGCTTTATTAAAACGCAGGCACGCAGCATGGACGACTTCTCGAACGCACTCAGGTCGACGACACTTCCGATCTCCTCCGTGATCATCCGCCTTGCGTACCGCCAGATGCAGCGCAAGAAGTCGGCGATGACATCGACGACGTTCTTGCCGACAGGAAGTGGCGGGAGCCACGGATCGGGAACGCCGGAGCGAAGCGATTCGGGCGAGAGGAGGAGCTTGAACCACTCGCACCTGCAAGAGGCACAGAAACATCAGCCCAGTCTGACGGCGAAGGAACACATTGCTTGCACACGGTCGTGTGAGAAGCGGTGACAGCCGCAGGAGCGCGACTCACTTGATCAGCCCCTTCGTGACAGTCGCATTCTTCGCCTCGAGCCCCCAGCTGACAATCTTGGCCTCCTCGTCCGGACTGTTCTGCTCGTACAAGATGCACGTCGGGACCTTGCGGTAAGTCTCGTACGAGCCTGGCCAGGAGAGGATCTGCCGAATCTGGCCGGAGAAGAGACGCGAGGAGCCGTAGGCGATGCCGGTGAAGGTCGTTCTGCGCGTAATCTCGGTCCGTCAACTTGCGGTCGAGAGGCGGAGAGAAAGCAAGCGAGAGCGCACCCGAAGTCAATACCGACACTCATCTTCCCCTCCTCTTCCTTTGCCTTTCCCTTACTCGCCGATCCGCCCATCTCTCTCGGCTGACTCGTAGGACCCACGCTCTTCGCCATATTCCGCGCGACGGCATTCGCACTTGCCGAAGAAGACGGGTGCACAGGCGCGGAGAATGGATGCGGGCCGAACGGGACTGGCGGAGGGAGCGCGTTCGAGGGCGGAGGCGGAGGTCGTTGAGAGGTCGAAGCGGTGCCGAAGGACGCTTGAGATGCGGATGGACGGAAGGGTGGCCGAGCGCCGTAGGAATCGGACGGGCCGGGTGTTCGAGCGGGAGGAGGAAGGGCGGGATATCCGTACGGCGGGTAGGGGGGATAAGGCGGGTAAGGGTATGGCGGGTAGGGAGGGTAGGGGTATCCTGCTGAGCCGGGAGGAGGTGGATAGGGCGGGTAGGGAGGGTAGGGGAAGGGCGGGACCGGAGGTGGCCGAGAAGCAGAAGGCGCCGACATCACTGAAGGAGAGCGACCTCGTCCTCTTCGACCTGGAGACGATCGTATAGAGGGCGCTTGGCTGTACGCCGCAGATGGGGCTGGGGGACCTGCGCCGGGTGGCAGCGATCCTCGTCCTCCCATCGATGAGCCAGACACGTCCCGTCTCTGCATCGGCAGCACATCCAGCATCTCCTCTTTCTCCTCCGCGTCCACGCCGTTCTCGCCGTTCCCGTCTGCACCGCTCCCTCGAGACCGAAAGCTCTGCGGACTCGCCATCTGGTTCGAGTGCTGTCGCTTCGGCGCTAGTCGGCTCGTAGTCGCAACGTAAGGATAATAATGCGCGGCGGAGGTAGGGGTATTGGGTGATGTAGGCGAGGTGGAGGCGCCGGTGGTTGTTGCGGGTGTAGTGACGGGTGCGGACGAAGAGACGGAAGTTGAGGGCGGTGCGGGATAGGCGTGCGGGTAAGGGTAAGGGGGTCGGCCTGGCGGCGGATAAGCGTAAGGGTAGGCGTGATGAGGCGGAGGCGGGAGCATCATGGCGCCGTTCGGACCAATAGGCGGCGGAACAAGGTAGCGCCCACCTTCGGATCCATCATAGGTCCCCTCTTCTTCCTCGTTCCCCGCGAGCGTCCCGTTCTGCGCACTCGCCTTACCCTTTCCCTTGTCCTTCCGTCCCAGGCTTCCAATCTGCAGCCTCGCGAGACCATGGAACCGTCCCTTGCGCTTCTCGGACGCGCCTGAGACGCTCTCAGTCTCCGCCGAAGCCGCCCCGCGGTCCGCGGTTCCGTTCCCGTTTGGTATAGGCGAGAAAGCGCTGTTTGTCGAGGCGTGCGAGGGAGGCGAAACGAACGGTGAAGATGGGACGGCGGTGGGGGGATTGGCGCGCCCGTTTCTTGGATCGCGCTTGGACGAAGTCCGCACGATCTCCTGGTACGACTTCATCCCTCCCGCACGCGCGTCCACGCCGGATCCGTGGCGGTACGAAGCTGGGGAGGCGAGGACGGAGTGTTCGTGGGTCGGGTCGAGTCGAGCGACTCCGTGAAGGTGATCGCCTTGTCTCGTCACTTCGCTCGTGCAACGTACTGCTCAACAGCCCCTCTAGACGTCCGGACAAGTTCCGCGCGAGATGAGTGAGTCGGAGCGAGGTGGTTCGTTCGGGAGGAGAGCGAGGAGGTCAAGTCGCGTCGATGGGCCTGGCGCGGCGTACTGGCGGTCGTCGGGGACGCTGTAGCACTCGAACGAGCTCCTGAACAGCCTCGGGCAGCGAAAGAGCGTGAAGTCGTGATGGAAGAAGCGGAGGTACGGCGGTCGACTCGATGTAGTCCTTCACCGCGTCTGATAGCTATACTTGTTGAGCAGGCGTACTCGTACCAAAGCGTCGAGCGCGTTCCGCATCCTCCGACCGTTATTCGAGCCAACTTCGCAGACCCTCTCCTCGTCGTTCGAGGTGCCGCCATGTTGTACACACTCAGACTCGCTATAATGACATGACAGTACACCCTCCGTGTACGGCCAACAGTCCTGGCGTCTGTCCGCCCCGCTCAGTCTTGCCCGAAGAACTCGAACGTCGCCCTTCCAACCTCCTCTCCCTCGTCCGTCACCAGGACGCCGATGATCTCCGCGCTGTCGATCAGGAGACCAAGCGTGAACTCGGTGTAGAAGCCGCCAGAGGTAGTAGTCGAGGCGTTGTACTGGAAGGAAGGGAGGGGAGACAGGTCGACCGTCCAGCGGCACTGCAAGGCGCACGAAATATCGACTGTCAGCGAGGTTTCGGCAATACGAAAAGTGTGCGTGACCGAGGAGAGGGTGCAAGGGAGCTGGACTCACCAACTCCTCGAGCGGTCCTGCGCACGGCACGCTCGTCAGCTCGTCGTCCACATCCCGCCGCGAATCGCACGGTCAAGCAGTGCGTACCTTCGTCCGTGTACCGATACACCTTGTCCTCGTCTGAGACGTAGAGGACGGCGGTGAACATGCAATCCGTCGGCGCGCGACTGAACTGAGCTCACGTAAATGCAAAGGATCAGCTATGCTCCGCTTGCAGGCGATAAAGTTGGACGCAAAATAGCGACGCACCTTGCAGTATCGCGACCGAAGCTGCTGACCTTTCCTTACGACGGCTGCGCAAAGCGCGGGCAAGATGGACGGCTATCAGCTACGCTTCGAAACGCGAGAGGCGGTCTTGGGCAACGACGCACCGCCTTTCGCTACGAGGTAGCTCAGCCTGTTCTCGCACACTTCGACGCCGGCGTCATTGCGGACGATGAAGCCTGCAAAGAGACCTTCGTCAGTGACCGAAGCGATTGGCGGTGAGTGGTGGACGCACCTGGACGCTGGTAGCGGTCCTCGTCGCTCGCTGGGAGCTTGCACTTCATGATGTAGGACCTGTCCGGCGGGATGAATCCGTGAGCTCGCCAGCGCTTGCGCGAAGCCTCAGCTCCGTCTACTCGCTCGCGCAGTCGAACGAAACAAAAAAGCGCGACGACTCACCTCGGACTGATCACGCTACTAACCGTCCCGCCATCCTTGCTCAAACTCAGGCCATACCTCGCCGCGCCCTGCAACGTCGCAACATCCGTGTCCCTCGGGCGCGCAATGATCGGGACTTTGTCACCGAACGCGCGTTGGATGCGTTGGCAGAGGTAGGGGGAGGAAGCGAAGCCGCCGACGAGGATGAGGGCGTCGCAGCGCTGGGTCGGGAGCTTGGAGAGTTGGTGCGTGAGGAGGGAGAGGACCTGGTCTGCGAAAGGCTGGGTGTCAGCCGACTGCTCTCGGGTCACCTCACCGCATATCAGTGGTGAACGAGCGCTTGCTTGCTCCCGCTGAGATCAACAGAAGCGATGATCAACGAGAAAAAGCGCACCGACAACCGGATCAAACACGTCCCTCCTCAATACGTTTCCGGGCACGACCAGCTCGCCGTACTCCAGCCTCACCGTCGGGTCATGCGAGTCCTCAATGTTGAAGCAGTTGAAGCGGAATAGCGTGTCGTCGTCCGCTTCTCCGGCGAAGACGAGCTTGTCACATTCGCTGAAGGAGTGGCGGAAAGCGAGGAGCGATGGAGCGTCGAGGTGTACGGGGTGAGTGCGGAGGCTGCATATCGTCACCCGCAAAGAGGGGAATGAGAATGAAGAGGTCAGCCAAGCGAGTTGGGAAGGTCGCGCGCGGATCAAGCGTCTCCAACGCCTCTTCTTCGCTTCGCTCGGAGTAAGAGGGGGACGCACAGGCTCTTGACGAGCTGCTCGAAGCGCAAGTCGAGGAAAAGACTTCCGCAATTCGCGCCGCTCCTCGTGCTCATCTCGGCAATCTCGAGCTGGGCAAGCTGGCCGATAAGCTTGTACGTCGCGCAGTCGACGGTACCGCCACCAGCGTCGCAGATGATGAATGTCTGCGACGGCTTGAGCTTGAAGAGCGTCGAGAGGGTCGAGGCGTGGATGGCAGCGGCTTCCGGTTCGCTGTGCGGTCAACGTAGTGAGCGCCAGAAGGAGCAGTTCGCGAGGGGTCCTCACGTGATGATGCGCAGCCTCTCTCGCCACTTCGTATCGCCTCCTCGAGCGCTCTGAACGAGACCTGCGCTGAGAGCAGCCTGCCGCATGATCTGGCATCCTGCGGCGTCCCAGGCGGCAGGGACGGTGAGGATGACATCCGCCGCCTCTGCGAAACGGTGAAGAGTTAGCGCTGCCGCGACGCAGAACCGAGACGGATCGGCTTGTCGCGAAAGCTGGCCAACTCACCCAAATCCGCGACACTTCCAATCTCCTCCGTGATCCGCTCTTTCGCATATTTCCACAGACAGCTCAGGAAGTCGGTGACGACGTCGATGGGTTGTTTGCCGTGAGGAAGCTCGGGCAAACGAGCGGAAGTGGCGAGGCGGCCTTCGCGGAGGACTTGCGGGTCGAGGAAGAGCTTGAACCATTCGATCCTGCCGAGATGGGTAAGCACGATGCGTTGACCCTACAGAGTGAACGCACTTGTAGAAGCCTTCACGCAAGGTCATCGCCTTCGCTTCGATGCCCCAAGCCACCACGACCGCCTTGTCGTTCGGCGAAGCCTGGTAGTAAGCGATGCAGGTTGGCACCTTGCGAAACGTCTCGTAGCTTCCTGGCCAGTTGAGGATTTGGCGAACGGTGCCACCCATGTGGCGCGAAGAGCCGTAAGCGACGCCGGAAAAGGTCGTACTGCGGGCGGGTACTGGTCAGTTTCAGGCCGAGTCGAGCTGCACGAGCGGACGAACCCGAAGTCGATACTGCGCAGCAAACATCGTCAGTCAACCGTCAAGATGGGCCTGTCAACGAGACGAACCCGACACTCAGCTTTCCCTCTAACTCGCCCAAGGAAGAACCGACGTCCGCATCCGCAACGGCTTCCTGGGCGACTCCGACCGCTCCCGCTTGTCCTGCCATCGCAGTCACAATCGTCGGTCCAATACTCGCGGTCGCCAAGCCAGGCGAGACGACAGCAGGCGTGAAGAGCGAAGGATTAGGGAGGCGGTCAGAACCTGCAGCGGGAGGCGAGACAGTCGTCGGCGGGGTTGGGTAGGCCTGCGAGCCTGACATTGCGCTCTGTGTGAGTTGAGGGGAAGAAGAACCGTAGATAGGGCGGGGCTTCATGAGGCCAGACGAAGGGGAGGCAGTCCCGGCGAGAGAAGGAGGTGCGGCGGCTGTAGAGCTCAAGCGGTTAGTGACGCGTCCGTGAGGCATGTCAGCCGGTGCAAAGGAAGCTACGCACCGCTGAAGTAGGGAACGGTCCCGACGGGAACTCCTGTGTCGGGAAGAGCAGGCGAGCCGCCGCCAACAATGGCCGGCGTCTTCGACCGCTTCGTGCTGAAAATCTTCTTCATCGTGGGCAGCTGGACTTGTATATCAGCGCGGTTGGTGAACAAGGAAGAGCGAGAGGTCGCAAGGTCCGGAAAGTCCTCGGAGCGAGAGAGGGGTCGTGCGCCGGGGTTCGAGGCGCGCTCATGCCCAAGTCCTCCTCCCCGCTGCACAGTGATGGTGAGGAGCGGCGCACGTCTCGAAGACGAGCACAATTGAGCGAAAAGGCGAGCAGCGAAGCGAAAGCGAGTTGGCCAGGAGCGTCAGAGGCCGTCTCGATGATCCGCGTCTTGTCTTCAAGCGTTGTACAAGCGTGTCTGTAGGTACAAGTTCGTGCGTAGGGGGCGAGTACAATGCCCGTCAAGCTCACCTGCCCCTCTTCAGTCCCTCAACCCATCCCGTCCCGGCTTTCTGGTTCCAGAGCTGCTCGCGACTGATCCTGCCTTTCTTTCCTCCGCCACGCGCGTACTCGGTCGTCGTCTGCGCGCGGTTCTCCTTGAAGATGCCGTTGAGGGGGAAGAAGGTGAAGAGGTAGAAGAGGAGCGATTCGGAGCGGGCGAGGCGGCGGCGTTCGCACTCGCGGGCGGCGATGGTATAGAAGATCGAGCCCTGCGCAGGAGACTATCAGTCATGATGCGTTAAGGCCGTATAGAGCGGCGCAACGCACATCGTAGACGGTCCTCAAGTCTTCCTTTCGCATGATTCCGTCCGCTGGCCAGATGAGGAGGTATGTTGCGAGCATCTCGAAGAAGGCGCCGACCCATCCAGCAAAGTCCAAGATGTTGCGTTGCGCACGGATGAGCTGGAGGCCCTCGTAGAATGTGACGCCGCCCTTGAGGCCCTTGTCGAACTTGGAAAAGATCGCCTCGAAGTGCGCCGGGATGAAGCGGCCTTCGTTGTGGTAGGTGCCGGTGTCGGAGCTGCGGATAATGCGTCAGCCTAGAAGCGGACTGACGGAAATGGCTCGGCTCACCCGTGTTTGGCGCGGTGGATGTGCTTAAGGTTGATGGGGAAGAGCGGGTTCGGGATCCAGCTTTCGCTCGTGAACCAGGAGAACGAGGTCGAGATGATCCTGCGGGCGCAGAGGCTCAGCTTGCAAGTCAAGCACGTGGATCGGACAAAGGTCAACGAACATGACGGAGAGGATGCACCAGGGCAGCGCGTATCCGAGCTGGTGAAAGCCCCAGAACACGTCCCAGGGCCAGACGATGCCGTCGTTGTCCGGGTCGAAAAAGGCGCAGTGCTGCTGCAGGACCGAGTCGTTCTCGTGCTGCTTCGCCCAGTTGCCTTCCTGCGTTCCGAACGGCCTCTCCGGCGTCGCAGCAATGTTGGCGCGAGGGACGTCTGCGAGGCTGGCGTCAGTTGTCGGCAGCAAGATAGGTCTAACTCCTCGACTAAAGAGAACCCGCACGAGGAGAATCCTGAACAGGACTCACAAGGCTCTGCCAAACCTTTGCTCGCTTCTTCCGACACCGGCCTCGCCTCCATGGCGATGTGACCCCTCAGCGTCGTCTTGAACGGAGCTCCGGGCAGATCGCTACCCCTTCCGGCCCACTCGTCTCCCTCCCTCGCCGTGTCCTCGCCATTCTCCGCGCCCTGCGTCTCCTCACCGTCCTGATTCTGCTGCCACGGCATGCGATGAACGAATTCGCAGTCAATCTCTTCCATCGGTGTGTCCTGCTGCGCCGCGTGCGTTGGCCTGTCTTCGGGAAGATTGTAGGATGTCGACCCGCTGGACAGCTCCGAGAAGGGGAGAGCCAGATGTAGCACCACGCAGGGGAGATGCCATGCTAGCTGTCAATCAGTGAAGCGTAGCAGACAGACAGCAGCGTCGAGCGTGAAAGTGCGATGAGGAGTCCATGACGAAGGCGGGGCGACGAGAAGCGAATGAAGCTGACTGGCCACGAATGACACGGCAGACAGTACCTGTGCGTGTCCATCCTTGAGCGACGAGCTCGAGCACGAGGCAGCGGAAGAGGCAGAGCCCGAAGAAGTTCTCCTCGACCAGCAGAGGGAGAGCAAGCGAGGCGATTGCAAAGCGAGTGAAGATCTACAACGACGACAAATGGACAGCACGAAACAGAATGCAAACCGGATCAAGCGCTTCCCGAAGGACCAGCCTCGACATCCATCCTGTGCTCCTCCTCCTCCTCGACGGCCGCCCTCGCTGCCGCCGCAATGCCAGCCATTGCCGCAGGCTGCGCTCCTGATCCCTCGGCATGGACCATCGGCTCGGCGGGAAGAGGCGGGAGGTTCTGGCGCAGACGGGCAGGGAAAAGGGCGCGCTGAAGCGAGAGGTAGTGGTCGGGCGAGAGAATGCAACGGGCGAGGTCCTCCTCGTCGTCGATCAGCTCGTCCGTCTTAGCGGCTTTCCTCGCCTCGGCGCTCGGCCTGTCCTTCTGCTGGACGAGGCGGCTCTCCTTCTCCTGGTCCTGGCCTTGCTCGGCGAGGAAGAGCGACGTGCCTTGCCTGGCACGCAAGTCGGCGACGCGGCGGTCGACAGAGTCGATGATGGCGTACTGGAAGACGAAGGTGTCGCGCGTCTGGGTGATGCGATGGACGCGAGCGACGGCTTGAAGCTCGAGCGAAGGGTGGAGGAGCGGCTCGATGAGGAAGACGTAGCGGGCGGCTGTCAAGTTGAGGCCTGCCGACTGCGACCTCGTGTGAAGGAAGAAGGCGGCGACGTCCGGGTCGTTCTGGAAGGTCGCGACAACGCCCTCCTTCTTGCCCTTGCCGACCGCGCCTTCGAGGCGGACGAACTTGATGCCGTTGCGCGTGAACGCCTCCATCAGCAACGAGAGCGCTTCCTGCCACGCGGAGAAGATGACGACCTTGGCGTCCGGGTCGCGACGGCGGAGGTACTTGACGTGCTTGACGACGAAGTCGCTCTTGCTCGACAGCGGCGAAGCCGTTTGGATCTCCAGGATCTTCTCGCGGCTGAACTCGTCGATCTCGTTCAACTTCGGCGCGACCGTGTCGAAGCTCTGGGTGATGCCGTGTGAGTCGATGTACTGATCCTTGCCGAGCGGCGCGTCCGCTTCGTTTTGGGCGGCGGCAGGCTTGGCGCGGTACTGCGGGCGGCACTCTCGTCAGCCTTTTCAAAAGGGCTGCGGACGTGGAAAGTACGCACTGAGACGGTCTGATAGCTTCCAGCCGGGAGAGGCTGCTTGCACATCGCGCAGTTCCGCGAAACGCTATGCCAGCGACGGAAGCATGCCGCGCAGGTGAGGTGGCCGCAGTCGGTGAGTACTCCTTGCGCTGAGGAAGGCAGGAAGCGTCAGCGCAGCGCGGATGCTGGAGGAAACGGGAAGAACGCACAGAAGGACTCTGCGCAGATCGGGCAAGTCGTCTCCTCTTCCTCTCGCGCATCCGGATTATTGAGGTTCTCTAGATAGCGGCGGCGAGCAAGCTTGCTCTCGATAGAGGCCTTGAGCTCGACTGCGAATCGGGAGGCGAATCAGCACGCTGTCGATACGAGGTGGAGACAGCACGCACGCTCATCCTGCCTCAGCAACTCAATCTCGACGAGCAAGCCGCGCCACTTCTTGCTGCCCATGTCCGGGTCGCGGACGTCGTCGGAGATCTGCTGCAAGTTGGCGAAGTAGGTGAGGCGGGCTGCGCGAACAGGCAAGGGTCAGCTGGTGTCGACCACTGCAAGCAGTGGACACGACGCACCGTTGTATGCGGTGGTGAAGTCGCTGAGCTCGGCACGAAGGCGGTCCGCAACCTTCTCGAGTGGCGAGAGCTGTGAACGAACAGTGAGCGATAGCTGCGGCTCAATCCAATCCGTGGGGCTAACTCACGCTCTTCTGCAGCCTCGCACGCTCGCGGTCGAGGATAGTAATCTCGCGGTCCGACTCGCTCCTTTCCGACGCCTCCTTGAGCGCCTTGATGAGCTGGCGGATCGGCGTGACCTCGGCGAACTCGTTGTCCTCGCCCTTGGACTCGAGTCGCTCGACGAGGAGCTGGTAGCGCAAGACTGTGCAAGGCGTAACTCAGCCCCGTTGCGAAGGTTTGAGGAGAGAAACGCACCCTGCTCGGCAGAGTGACCAGACTCGATCGTCGGCGCGAGGAACTCCTTGTAAGACCTCTTCTTCTTGTTCGCCGAGCGCTTCTGCTGGAAGCGAGACTGCACACCGACTGCACAGTCAGCAGCCGTTTCGGCTCAGGCCGCAAGCGTACGCACCTTCGGTCCAGGCTTCTTCTTCTTGCGCGGCGCCTTCCCCTTGCCCTTGCCCGCGTACGCTTCTTCTTCTTCTTCCGCCTCCTGCTGCTCCTCCGCGTCCTCAGCCGCATCCTGTTCGGCGTTCCCCTCGTCCTCGTCCTCCTCTTCGTCGGCGGCGTTGCGACCGCGCTTGCGTGAAGGCCCCGCGATGGCACCGACAGCCTCGCCAAGCGCATCGCCGTAATCCTCGATCACGTCGTCCTCGACGCCCTTCGGCGGCGGAGCCTTCTGCTCGCCGATGATCTCCTGGTCGTAGAGATACGACGCAGCCTCTGCCTTGTACTGGTCGCCGAGGGCTGAGCGGGTGCCGGTGATGCCGTAGCTCCACTCGCCGAGAAGGACGGTGTACTCCCTGGGAATCGATAGTCAGCCGGCGAACGGACTGCAAGAGAGGTACGGACGCACTCGAGATAGACGGTCAGGCGCTCCTGCAAGACGGCGCGCTCCTCGTATTCCTCGCCCGTCGCATCTTCGCCCGCGATCGAGACTTGCGCGAGGAGCATCTGGACGATCATCTCGCGATACTGGAAGATGAGCTCGGCGTAGCCGTTGAGCAGGTCTGTCGTCGTCGCAACCGCTTCAAAGGTCTCGCGGGCCATGAGACCGTGCTTCGTCTTGCTGAACTGGAGCTCAAAGTCGGAGATGTCGAGTTCGCCTTCGGCGTCACGGGCGTCGAGTTGCTCCTTGAGAACCGCCTGAGCGCGCTCGACGGCAGCTTCGAACGGTCCCGTCATGAGCTGACGAAGCTGCTCGGCCGCAGCGTAGGCCGCCTTCTCCTCCTCCTCGCGCTTGCTGTTGAAGTAGGCGTGACCGGTAAAGAAGAGGGCGGCGTGCTTGACGAAGAGTAGGTCGCGGAGACGGTTGCGGAGAGCGCCGATCCTCGTCGACGCGGCGCGCTCGCGGTCCGACATGAGTTCAGTCTCGTCGGCACCCTCGACCGAGCGGAAGCCAAGCTCGAGCGCTCCCGCGACGCCTTTGTCGCGAACATCGACCGGCGAGTCGCGGTTGGCGTCGGTCTTGCGGGCAGCCCAGGCGTCGTGGATCTCCTTCGTCACCTCGTCGATGATCGGGTCGATCTCGGCGATGGCAGACTTGTAAAGCTCGAGCGCGGTGTCGAAGCGCGTCTCGACCTCCTCGTCCCACATGAGCAGCTGCCCACGCCGGACGCGAGCATCGAGGAGCGCGCGCTGGGCGGACTGGATCTCGTGGACGGCGGCTTGCTTCATCGCGGCGTAGACCTCCTCGACCGTCTTGAGGACGCGGCCTCCGAGCGCCTGCTTGTTTGCTTGGCCGAGAGCTGGGTGCGTGCAAAGCTGGCGAAGGAGGGTGAGCGCGCGGAGCAGCTCGCCCTTGTCCGGCTCCCACGACACGTCTTCCTCGCCTGGCGTCCTGTAAGGTTGGCCGTCCTCGGTGAGGCCGACGGCGCGCAGCGCGGCGCGGTAGCGTTCCTCGTAGTGGAAGCGCTCGATTGCGTTGAAGTCGACGGGGACGACGTAGCGGTGCTGAGCGGGGAGGACAAACTCGTGCTGAACCTGCGACTTGAGCGTCCTCTCGCCGATCTCGTTCCAGACTGCGCCGTAGAGAGTCAGCTCGGATGCCATGCAGAGAGGGAGACCTCGAGACGCACGGCGGCGGAAGCTTTCCGTCTCATCGAGCAACCTCTGCAGACTTGCTGTCCCCGAAGCGATCGGCTCGACGCGGAGGAAGGTGAGGAGCGGCCTGAGGTCGGCGATCTTGTCGCGCAGCGGCGTACTCGTGACGGCCCAGGAGTAGCGACGCGAGACGAGAGAAGCGGTCTCGCTTGTCGGTCCGACGGCGTCGCCGAGCCTGGAGAGGGCGAAGGTCAGCGACATCGCATCAAGAGCAAAGAACGACGGCTTACATTTGCGCCTCGTCCATCATGACACGGAGAAAGTCGATCTCGACGAGGATTGAGCGGCGGTAGCGGATCTCGCGCTTGTTGCGCAGTCCACGCTGGACAGGCTTGCGAGCGAAGGCAACCTCCTTGCGAAGAACGTCAAACGTCGTCAAGACGAGGTCGAACTTGCGAACGACGTAGGCAGCGTCCCAGGCCTTGTTGAGCGACATGATGCCCTGATAACGCAGAACGCGAAGGCCAGGCGTGAGGCAAGCGATCTCGGACTCCCACTGGCCGACGATGGCCGTCGGGGCGATGATGAGGGTGAGGCCGGACGGGCGCACGTCCGAGTCGCTGATCGGGTTGTAGTACGATGGTAGCTTGCGGCGCTTCGGGTCGCTGTGGAGGAGGATCAGGCTGAGCGCCTCGACCGTCTTGCCGAGTCCGACTTCTTCAGCGAGAAGGCCGTGACCTTCTGCTCCACCGACGACCTTCTTCGACGAGACAGTGCGTTCCGGCTTCTCCTCGTCGCCATCGACCTCCATCTCTGGCAGAGCGAGACCGTCATCCTCAGTCTCCTCCTTGACGACAGGCGTGGCGGTACCGCTGAAGCCGGGCTGGTCGACCGGATCGAACTCGGTGAAGCGCATCGAGACGCGGTTGAGCCAGACCTCCTTTTCCCGAGCGTCGCCCGATTCGTCCGGCAGCGTACGAAGCGTCACCTTCCTCCACAGCGGTCCACGCTTCATGCTCCTGACGGTCGCCTCGTCGAGGTCCTCGAGTATCGGGATGGGATGCTCGGACGAATCGGAAGCGGGCGAGACCGCCTTCTTCCCCTTCCCCTTGCCCTTCTTCGCGGTCGGCTTCTCCACCTCCTTCGCCTTTCCCTTCCCCTTCGACGTCGCAGCGAGCTCAAAGTCCTCATCTCCGTCAACCTCGTCCATCTCGACATCCTCGCCTTCGCCATCAAAGTCCTCGGCGATGAGCGGCGCAAGCGGCGCGATCTTCTTGCCCTCGCGCCGGAGCATCCACCTCACCGTCCTCGCCTGGAACGGCATAAGCTGAACCGTCAAGCCAGGCGGATGGAACATTTCGTCCTCGCGTCCGTTGCCTTTACCATCCTCAACAAGACCGTTCGCCTGCGCGTCTTCGGGCTCGACGGCACGCTGCTTGCCTTTCGCTTCGCGGCGGAGGCGGGCGGCGCGCTCTTCGTTCGTCTCGGCAGGAGCAGCGGGTGTCGCCGCGCCGGAAGCGATAGGGGAACCCTTCTCGGTGCGCGGTGCGCGACGGAGACAGGAGTAGAAGTAGTCGATGTTGGCTTCGCGAGGGGCGTCGTCGTTGGTCTGGAGAGGATCGCTCTCCGGGATGAGGCGGTCGACGAGGATGCGCTTCGAGCGGGAGTAGGCGGAGGTGTAGAAGAGGGCGGGGCGGATCGAGACATCAAGGTAGAGGTGGAAAAGGACGCGAGTGGAGTCGCCTTGGACGAGCTCGATGCCGAGTTTCGACGTCACGTCGACGCCTTCGTCGCCGAGATGAGGCTGCGAGAGGAGCGCGAGTGCGTCGAGGAGACCTCCGGCGCCCGTCGTGACGACGGGACGAGGCTGGTTCTGCGGCGCCTTCTTGGCATTGTACGCCCTCTTGAACGGTTTTCCGCTCTTCGTGAGAGGCGGCGGCGCGATCATTGCAATCCAGCCAGGTGCGGAAAGACTCGCCGGGTCGAGCGGGTCAAGTTCGACGAGAGCCGCGTTCGTCTCGGCGTGGCGAAGGTAGATGCGGTGAGGGGCTTTGGCGTTGTCGCGTGCTTGCTGGAAGACGATGTCGGTGAGGGTGATGGGCTCGCCGACGGGAGTCTTCGTCGAGACGAGTGCGGCTGCGATTCCTTCCTCCTCGCCGTCGAGAGGCGGGAAGGTCAGGTCGAGCTTGAGGACGGGAAAGGAGATGACGAGCGGCTTGTTGGCCTTCTTGCGAGCGGGACCGTCGGGACCTGGCGAGGCAGCACGCTTCTTGCCGGCGGAAACGATCTCGACTTCGTCGTCGTCATCGGCTGCGGGCTGGCCTTTGCGCTTGGCGTTGTCCTTGATGGCTGCGATGATCGGCTCGCGGAAGATGTGCTGTTTGCGCATGCGATGCGAAGTGGAGAGTGTCAGCGAGGGAAGACGACGACGCGGGAAGGTGGCACCCGGTCTTGAGCAAGTCCAGCGGTCATACGCTCCTCGTGGGAGTCCTGTCACCGAGACGTGACCTCGTACAGTGCGATTCCGCCGCATGCACTCTCGCACGTCCCGCCCCACCTCCTCCGAGCCAAGGTCGACAAAGACAGCGAGCGGGAAGCTGCGACGCACCGTAACCTCGTTCTTGACCCCTTCGTCGCCTCCCAGCCGCACCGCACCGCTCTCCATGCTGGCGCCTCGGGACGAAATGGCGGCTGAGTCGGGGCGATGAGGGAGCGAGTGGGTGGCGCGCGAGAGGGTTGCGAAAAGCCGTGCAAGCGTTCAGAGCAGTCCCAGCAGTCTTCAAGGCAGTAGCGCGTCCCCTTCGAAGCCGTTCGAGCGGACCAGCCCGTTCAGTCGGAGGACAACCCGCGAAAGTCAACGAGCGAGCGAAGTTGACATCGGCAAACACGCTCGGTACGGGCCATTGCGACGCTTACAGGGTGCGTTGCAGTATTCAGGTACATCGCACATTGCCCAAGCGCTTCCAGAGGTAGTGCGGACGAGAGAGCGGCCCTCAAACTGCTCGAATTGCACTACTGGCGCGCTACAACCTGTAAACGCGGCGTTCCTGTTGGCGAAGGAGTCCCAGCATCCTTCTCGGATCCTTTCCGAGGTCTTGATCCCGCCGCTCCACGGCTGCGCGGCTGGAGGGCGAGCTGAAGGCGGGATGACGGTGGAAGGGCGAGGCGAAGACGGAGTCGATTATGGCGATACGGTGAGGACTTCAGGCTGATGAGAGCATGTCTAGAAGAGCGTAGCACATCGAAGATCGCCCATAGCGCGTGTCGAAGCAAGTGGCCGGGTTCGGGAGAGGCGGAAGAACAACTCGACCCGCGACTCGCTCGACCTCTCGCCGCTAAGCCCGCTTTCTCAGTCGAAATGAGCTCTGAACTGCCCTCAGCACCCTTCCCCATCCTCGCCTCGGTCGCCCAGCTGCGGGAATGGCGAGCCGGATGCTTCGAACGGGGCGAGAAAGTCGGGTTCGTTCCGACGATGGGGGCGCTGCATGACGGGCACCTGAGCCTCGGTGCGTACCACTTCGACTCCGGAGGACTTTCTTCGCTGGTCAGGAGCGGGCTCGAGCTATGCGGGATGCGCTGGAGTAGCCGGACTTGATTTCGACGGGATGCGGGACATCCTTGAAATGAGCTGGCGACGCTGAGGACGTGCCTTCCGCAAGTGCAGCAGACTGCGAAGACAGTGGCGGAGTGCGACAGCCGACAAACGCGAACGCACGGAACATCTCCTCGTCTCGAACGGCTTAAACTGACGATACTCTTCTCCACCGTAGTCAAAGCCTCGCTTGCCGAGTGCGAACAGACTATTGTCTCCATCTTCGTCAACCCCGCCCAGTTCGCCCCGCACGAAGACCTGGCAACCTACCCTCGCACCCTCGAAGCCGACATCGCCGCCCTCTCATCCGCCTCCGTCTCTTCCCATCCTTCACGCAAGGTCTCGGCCCTCTTCCTTCCTCCCGTCGAGGCGTTGTACCCGTCCGGTATCACCACCGATGTCAGCAAGCAGCGGGGAACGTTCCTCGAGGTCAAGGGTTTGCAAGAGGTTATGGAGGGCGCGAGCAGGCCTGGGTTCTTCCGTGGAGTCGCGACGGTCGTCATCAAGCTTTTCAACCTCGTGCAGGTACGCCGGTCTCGAGGGAGACATTGCAGAGCCCTGGGTAACGGACTCCCGAGCCATTCTTTGCCGCCCGCAGCCCACCCGCGCCTACTTCGGCCAGAAAGACATCCAGCAAGCCCTCCTCCTCCGTCGCATGCTCATCGACCTACACGTCCCCAACCCAACCTACAACAACCTCGTCATCCTCCCGACCTACCGCGATCCAGCCTCTCACCTCGCGCTCTCCTCGCGCAATGCGTACCTCTTGCCGGAAGAGCGACCATGGGCGACAGTGCTCGTTGATGCGCTGGATAAGAGTCAGGAAGAGTGGGACCGGCAGCGAGGTGAGGGGAGCGGCGAGGTCGACGTGCAAAAAGTCATCGCGGTAGCGGAGGATCACGTCCGGTCCGTCGAGCGACAAGCAGAAGCGGAAGGCAAGGGCGTCCAGATCAAGCTTCTCTACATCGCGATGAATGACCCGGACGAGTTGCACGACTTGCGGGACAAGGTCGAGAAGGGCAAGGGCGCGATTGTTTCGGGCGCCGTGATGCTGGGCAAGACAAGGCTGATAGACAACATTGTGTTTGAGTACGATTCGAACCCGCAATAGAACCTCAAGAGGCTCGTGAAGAGTCGATTTGCCGTCTCTGCATCGAGTCGAGCAGCTTCGATGGCGGAAGGGCGTCAACTGTCGACTCTGCGCACTCAATGTCTCGTCAGATCCGCGAGTGCAAACCAGAGGCGCGTCTGAGCGTACCGCTGGAGCCGGCATCGTCCTGTCTCTCTGCGCGCGCGTTCGGCGCAAATCTCCAAACATTCTTTCCCGCTCACTCGACCGCCATGGCCTCTCCCGCGCTCCCCTCAATTCCCACACGCTCCTTCAGCCCCTTCACCCAGCCATCATAGCCTTTCTTGCCGCGTCCACTTGATCCAGCGAGTCGAGAAAGATTCGAAGATTCGGCGAGGGCCTCGAGGCGGTAGCTCGGGGAGATCGTGAGGGGGAGCGCAGTGAGAAGGGCGTGCGTCGCTCTGCGTACAGAACTCCGTCAGCTCGATTGAAGGATGGGCGGCCGGAGAGGAAGTGAACCCACCCTGCTGGGAAACGGATCACGACCTCCCGCGCGTTCGCTTGGCTCCGCTGCTTCAAGCCCTCCGATACTTCCTCGATGCACACCACATCCACATCGCTCAAGCCGATCGGACCGCCCATCGTGCCGTAGCAGTCCTGGAGAGAACGCGAAACGAGCTGGAGGAGGGTTGGGACGTCAATGGGTGCTCCTGATGACTCGGCGGCGGTGTCGACGATTGGTGAGCTGTAGTACAAGTACTTTGACGGTCAGCCATCTGGCGCGTGAGCAACTGTTCGCGGAGAGGAGCCGGACACACACGAGGAAGCGAGCGTAGTGCCACCTCGCCGGCGTGTAGGAGGGTGTTCGAGCGATAGTCATGGTGTCCAAAAGGGCGTGCACAGCTGAACGGGTCTGAAGAACGAAGCGAGACGAACGAACGAGGTCAACCCTCGCTTGCTCGCGAGGGTTGTTGCGCTACCGTACGCTCACATCGCTCTGCTGGACTGCCAAATCCCGTGTATCTTCTGAAGACTGATGCACGACTGCTCGAACCAGCTAGACCGCACAGCTTGCCTCTCCCTGTCTCCCCACCTCCTCCCTGATGAACATGTCGTCCAAGAACATGCCACGTGCCGCTGCTTCCGTACCCACGCCAGTCGCGCATTCGCTGGCTCCAGGAGACCCCTCCGACACGTGCGCACATCCCATCGAAGCGCTCACGGTCGACGAATGGGCCTGATGTGGACGAAGTTGTGCGTACCTCCTCCCTCTCGAGTATCGCTGCAGGTGCAGACGGAGGAGACGGGGAAGAGGGAGGAGACGGAGGAACCGGAGGAGATGGAGGAGACGAGGGAGACGAGGGAGACGGGAGAAACGAGGAAGGCGGACGAAAGGGGCGAGGCGAGGGAAACGCCGGAGGCGAGGGCAGCAAGGGGGATGCTGATGCGTTGAACCTCGTACATGTGCGCCCAAGCCCTCCCTCGCATCGTGTCCTAGCTGACACATCTCGCAGTGCCCCTCAATCACCTTCGAGACCGCCTTGTTCAATATCATTTCTTGCTGCTGACTTTTGGTTCTTGTGCACAGGATGCAGCTCTACGCTGCCGTGGTCGACATGCACAAGAAGGGCATCGCGCACGGCGACTTGGCGCCGCGGAACGTCGTCGTGCAAGACGGGCGCGTCAAGCTCATCGACTTCGGCGAGGCGTATCCGCACGAGTGCAAGCGCGAGGGAGAGTATGGGGAGCTCGAGGCGTTAAGGGAGATGCTGGGGATGGGAGTATGAGGGTGGCAAAGTGTTTCGCAGAATGTATCGAGGGATCCTGTCTGACCGCGGCTTTGCTCCGTGTTCAAAGAGACGGCTAACAGAGGACCATTGAGTTTGGAGAAGGAAGCCTAGAGAATCTCAGGCGCAAGTTGTCCCACGCTGAGGAGGAGCGAGGATCCCCTCGCACAGGTTGGCCCGCTTCCTCACGACGCTCCACCTTCCTCCGCTCTCTCGACCAGTTCGATCACCCCGATACACGCACAAGAGCCGTATAACGCTGCCGGACGGCTCCCCAGAGTAGCCGACGGCTCTCCCTCTCCCCCTTCTCCTCCGTCGACTGATGAAGGACAAGCTGAAAGAGGAGCTGGCGGGAGTGCTTGCGGAGCTGCGGGTAGGGTCAACAGGTGCGTTGACTACCCTCGCTGTGCTTGCAAGGCTTCCTGACCACTCTACACCTCTGCAGACCTCGCTCCTTGCGGACCCGGCGTCTCCCACCTCCTCCCACGGTCCTTTGCCGCCCTCTCCGACCCGTTTCCCGCCTCTACGACCACCGCAGCATCCCTCGCAGCTACCCTTCTTCGCCTAGCCGATGAGAAGTTGAACTCGTACCCTTACAAGGACGTCCCGCTCTGCTGGCGACGGCTCTACACGGATGCTGTCCTCTTGGGAGCACTCGCACGGTTACAGCAAGTCGAGAAGGAAATCGAAGAGCGGAAGAAGGAGCTGAGCAAGACGGTCAGGGAATTGGACTTAGCGATTGTGATCGCGGGCGCGCCGGGCGAAGGGAGGGAGGACATGGTGCTCCGGCTGATCTCAGTCGTTCAGGCGGAGCTGGCCTCGCTCGTTCATTCGGTCGAGTCAGACAACGATGACCGACCATCGAAGCGACGGCGACTATCGTTCTCAGCCCGTCCTGCCTCTTCTCTCCCTCCACCCTACATCCACCGCCCTCTCGCCGAACTTCCCTCCCTGCCCTCCTTCCTCCTGCTGGACCCCATTCCTTCTCACCGTGTCCCCTTCATCGTCCGCAAAGCCGCCCTCGACTGGCCCGCCGTCGAGACATGGTCGTCGCTCGATTACCTCCGCCGAGTCGCTGGCGAAGGGAGGGTGGTACCAGTTGAGGTGGGAGGAGACTACACGAAGGAGGGTTGGGGACAGCGGATGCTGGAGTTTGAGGAGTTCTTGCGGTCGCTGGAGGAGGTTGAGTGGAACTCGCAAGAAGATGGCGAAGAACGGCCGTACCCAACTCCCGCCTCGACTGACGACGGCTCGCCGGAGGTCTCATCGACGTCGGAGGACCGCGGTACGCCCTCGTCCCGACAGATCCTCTACCTCGCACAACACTCGCTCTTCCGCCAATTCCCCTCTCTCCTGCGCGACGTCCCCATCCCCGATCTCGTCTACTCCTCGCCCTCGACAGACGGTACAGGCGAGTCGTACGAGCCGCCCGCGACGGAAGATGGCTACATTTTGAATGCGTGGTTTGGGCCGGGCGGGACGAAGAGTGCGGCGCATACCGATCCTTGGTGGAATTGCTACGGTGCGTCGACCTGACCTGTTATGGTCGGGCTGGAACACTATCCTGTGTCTGTAGCTGACTTCAACTACCCTCGTTCGGCTCAGTCCAGGTCGTCGGGTCCAAGTGGCTCTGGGTCGCTCCGCCATCCTGCTCGCCCTACATGTCCGCTTTTGGCACCGCTCCTCCCTCTACCGCATGCTCCGATACCACCAACTCCCTGCCCAGCGAAGTAGGCGGCTCCGCCCCAGCCGAGCAGTACATGACCAACACCTCTTCGCTCGACGTGACCGTTCCTCCGCCTCGGTCGTCCAACTCCCCTTGCGCCGACGAATATGACGCGAAGAAACCTTCGCCGTACCCTCTCGCTTTTGCTGAACACGTCGAACCGCACGCTCGACAGGCTGTCCTCGAAGCGGGAGACGTTCTTGTCATGCCACCCAGGTGCGTCGCTCGCTTGGCCTTTGGTCACTTTGCAGCAGTGTGCGAGACAGTACTGATTGACGTTCCTGAGTGTGGTACAGGTGGTGGCACGCCATGTACGGGCTCGAGAGGAGTTTCTCTGTCTCGATGTGGTTCTGAGCGGACTAGACGACGATGGCGGACGGCGCGGCCGTGGCGTACCTCTATACGTCGCTCCCAGAGGGTTTCCCGCTGCAACACACGCGTTGTATGCGTGTAGGCGCTGTTCTGGCTTGCTTGTCGACTTCGCGAGCGAGAAAGGACGATGTCAACGAGCTGCCTCACCGCTAGCCTTTTCCGCGCCTGTCTCTCCTTCATCGTGAGCAACAGAGAGCCCTGTCTAGCACACCAAAACGCGCTTTCCGCGACACTTCATCGTCGACCCTCTCATCCCGCCCGGAGAGCGATCGCTGCTTGTCCTCACACGCTCACACGCTCTCTCTCGCCCAGTCACGCTTAGCAGTCCACTCAACCCAAACACATCTCGCAAGCACCCCCTCTAAGTCGCTCGCCGCCCCATCCGCTCCCTCTCGCGCGCCACCGCCCCTCTCCTCGCGACCCTCTCATCCCTCACTCGCGCACTCGGGCTAGGATGGCGTCTTCTTCTGCTGCTCTCCAGCTTACGAGGCAATTGAATCGTGAGTCTTGCCTCTCCGCTTAAGGAGGGGAGGGTGATGAGCCGGTCGGTTCTTGGTCGAGGAGGAGGTCCGGGCGACGCGGGACTCGCGCTGCGCAACGCAAACGAGGACTGCTAGTCCTTCCACATCTCTTCTATGACTGAGCGCTAACGCCCCGCTCGCAACGCTCGCGCAGAACTCCGCAAGCATCCCGTCGAGGGTTTCTCGGCTGGATTGGTGGACGACGACAACGTCTTTGAATGGGAGATTACGATCTTTGGGTGCGTTGCCGTCTGCTGTTCTGGCTCGGCGAGTGTGCGGGTGTGAGATGGGAGAGACGGGCGAGAGCAGGAGGGAGGGCGGTATGAGGGTTCGACGGGCGGACGCTGGAGCTGCGTTGGGGCTGTCGAGCAAGAGTTGGAGCTCAGCTCGATGTCCTCGTACGAGCGACAGAAGACTCGCTCTTCCGATCGTGACCCAGACCTTTTCTGCTCCGAAACGCCCGCTGACCCTCCCCGTTTCGCACGCACGCCCGCACAGCCCTCCCGACACGCTCTACGAAGGCGGCTTCCTCCGAGCCGTCATGTCCTTCCCACCCGACTTCCCCCTCCGTCCGCCCAAGATGCGTTTCCTGACGGAGATGTGGCACCCGAACAGTACGTCCTCCTCCTCCTCCTCACTATCCTCTTGCTTTTGCATGAGTTGCTGATGAGGACTCTGGGGCGGGCGCAGTTTACAAGAATGGAGAGGTGTGCATCTCGATTTTGCATGAGCCGGGGGTCGACCAGTATGGCTACGAAGACGCGGGGGAGCGGTGGTTGCCTGTGCACACGGTCGAGTCGATCGTGAGTCCGCTACCACCCTTCGGCTTGCTGTCGCGCTTGAGGCGGTTGCTGATGGAGAGATGGGTTGCACTCGCAGCTCATCTCGGTCATCTCGCTCTTGTCGCAAGACACGCCTGATATCAACTCGCCTGCGAACGTCGATGCAGCGGTACGTCGAGTTCTTCGTCCTTCGTCTGGGCCTGCGACTCGAGCAGAACTCGAGCGCGGCTTGCCCTTGAAGAAAGAAAGAGGCTATGGAACTGAAGCCTCTCCGCCTTGTCCACCCGCAGAAAGAGGTCCGCGAAGACATCGCAGGGTACCGCAAGAAGGTCAGGCGGTTGGTGCGTCGTTCGGCAGAAGAGGGCTTCTGAGCCCGACGCCTCCTTCCCTCCTCCCGTCGCATCGTTCTCTTTCCTCCTTCTCACGCTTCTCTCTCGCACGGTTCTGCGTCGTCGACTCGTAGTGTCTCGTCACATCACTCGCATATGTACCCTGCTAAGCTTTTGCCTCGTTCCCCCCATCTCTTCATCCTCGCCTGTTCTGTTTTCCCCCCTTCTCCCCTCTCTCGCCTCCTCGCTTTCTGCCCAATCGCATGCGCCTTTGTCATTCGCTCGCACGATTGACGTCGCTGCATGCTTACTCATCCCGCGTGCTCGGCCAAGGCAAGTTGGTCGCGGGTGTTGCCTTCGTCGTCGCGCGAGACGGATGCGGACGGCGTTGGCGAAGGCAACTCCGCGCGAACAAAGGCGAGTCGACCAGCGTCGTGCTCTCTCTCTCTCTCTCTCTCGTCCTTACACACTGCATTGCACCCTGGCAACTCACTCGACCGCCTCTAGAGAAATGCCCGCTTCCTCGCTTGTCGCGCCGTCGCTTGCCGACAGCGTTCTTTCGACCCGCGCAACAACCTTGTCCCGCTTGAGCGACACGCGAGTCGTGGGCGTGTTAGCTGCTCTGCTTGCTACTCCTGCTGCCGCGACTGCCCGTGCGCTCGCTCGCCTCTGCCCCGCTCGTTCCATCTCGTCGCAAAATCGGGCATCCTCGACGACGACGCGGTGACCCCGGCTGGAGAAGCGCTCGACTGGACTGAACAGGTGCGCAAGCTCGACACCTATCGCAGCCAGGCGCAGCTAATCCAACGGTTGTCCTCATCTCGCAGAACCCACCTCTTCGTCTCCTCCCCACAACCCGCATTCACTCAGCACCATGCCTCCCCGCGCCTCAACAAGCGCCCCCAGCCTCGCATTCAACGTCGCACCCGAACAATCTCAGCTGCGCGCACAACCTTCGAACCCCGCTGCATCGCGAGGGAGGGTCGTCGCGAAGCCACGGTTTCAGAAGATGAGCGGGCAGAGTAAGCGCGATGGGAGCTTCGATGAGGACGAAGATGAGGGCGAGGAGGATGTCGAAGTTGATGCGGAGCAGGAGGAAGACGAGGATGACGGAGAGGGAGAAGACGATACGCTTCCTGCGCAGGGGAAGCGCAAGGGCAAAGCACCCGCTGCTCAGGCTCGCAAACCGCGCTTTCCGAATAAGCGCAACACGCAGAGTGTCGGGAGGAGGAAGATCAAGATTGATTACATCCAGGACAAGGCGAGGAGGCATGTCACGTTCACGAAGCGCAAGTCGGGGTTGATGAAGAAGGTGCGTGGGAGCTGTCCACTGTGTCCGACGCATTGCTTATTGCACAGGGTTGACTCCAGCAAACGCGTCCTGGCACAGGCCTACGAACTGTCGACGCTGACCGGCACCGACTGCTTCGTGCTCGTCGTCTCGGAATCCGGCGCCGTCTACACCTTCTCCACTACCGCTCTCAGCGGCATCACCGACCACCCACGCGGCAAAGAAGTGCTCGAAGCCGTCTTGCGCGGCGAGCTGCGCGGAGACGCCGCGGACGACGCGCCTGTCGCGTCTGGGTCTGGATCGAATGTCCAGCAGGCGTCGTACGAACCGCCTTCGACATCCGCTGCCCCAGCCGAGCAGAACGAGCATCCGCATGACCCTCTGCACGACATCATGCTGCCGCACTTTGAACTCGACCCGGCCCTGAGCGGACTCGACCTCCCCGTCCCGCCTATGATGGGCGACTCGTCCTCGCACTTCCCCTCCTCCTCTTCCGCTCTTCACCCTGGACTCTTCTCGGGCTTTGATCTCGGCGGGCACTCGTCCTCAATTTTCTTGCACCTCCCGCCTACCACGACCGCCTCGACTAGCTCCGCCCCTCTCCCCCTTCCACCACTCGACTTCGCCGCCCCGCTCACCTCGACATCCTCCTCCGCCTCCCTCTTCTCCGCCACGACCGCAACCGCCGCCCCTCCAACTGCCGCCGCCTCGCCCCCAACCAGCACCTCCTCCTCCCTGACGCCCTACGAACTCGCCCGCCTCTCGCACGCCGCCGCTTTCGCATCGTACCAAGCGACCGTCCCTTTTGACCGTGCTCCGTCGTACGTTCTTGGGAATGCGGGGTTGGGACAGTCCGTGAAGGAGGCGTTGAAGCCGCTTGAGAAGGGCGAGGAGCCGCCTGCTGCTGAAGAAGCTTTGAGGGCGCTTCGAGACGAAGGTTCGCCACACGAGGGGGCGGAGGGGAAGAAGGGCAGTGGATCGTTGAAGAGGAAACATGGCGCATCGGATTTCGGAGAAGAAGCTTGGGCGTTGGTGAAGAAAGTCAAGGAGCGGGCGTCGACGAGTGGAGGAGTTGGCTCGCTTGGCATCCAGAGTGGGTTCTTCGCGGCGCCTTCGCCCGCTGGTCAGGCTGGAGTGGGGTCGGGTAGCTCACCCGGGGAGTCGGTGAGCGGGTTGGAGGCGATCAGGTGGGCGGCGAGGTCGACGACTAACAGTCCTGCCGGGGCGTTCGGGGCGTCGAACTCGCCTGCAGCGGGTGGTGGAGCTGCAGGGACGCCGAGAGTGGGTTTGGCAGAGGACGAAGCGGCGGGTGAGGAGGTCAGTAGTGGAGAGGGCGTGCAGGAGAGGAAGGCGAGGTGGAAGTTGGCCGCTGCGGAGGTGTTGCAGGAAGCGAAGCGGGTGCGTCCGCTATTTCTCTCGCCATTCGTGCTTCTCGCTAACCGTTTCCCGCGGCAGACTCGCACCGTCTCAACCATCCTCCGCGCGTACTGCTACTCCCTCTACGCGACCTCCCCACTCCCTCCCCCATTTGACCCCTCCGCACCGCTCTACTCCCTCTCAGAAGCGATCGAAGGACTGCACTGGGCGTCTTTCGCGCGGATGTGCGAGAAGGCGCGTGTGGAGGACGTGGGTGAACTGGCTTTGGCGGCGGAGGAATGGTTGGGGAGGTGGTTGCGTGCGTGGCGCTTCTCTTCTCTCTTCCATCGGTTCACCCCGTATGAGCCATGACTGATTGCTAGACGGCCCGTCGTCCGCACAGCTCGGGAATTCTCCAACCGCGTCCCCGCCGCATTCCTCCGCTCCGCCCTCGCCGCCGCCCGAGCCATCTTCCTCCCCTTCACCGACTTCCTCGAAGCGCACGCCCTTGCACCCGACAGCGTCTGCATGCGGCTTGTCAGTCCCGTGCCTGCCACGGACGAGACGGGCGGATTCACGGAGGAGAGGCAAAGGGAGTTGTATGCTAGTGAAGGGGATGAGGGAGGGGGAGAGACGGAGGAGGGCAGGGAAGGAGCGGGAGGAGGAGCGGTGGAAGAGGCTGGAGCGTGAGGAAGTCGCTGATTCGCATACGCATGGAACGCTTGGTCTGCTTGACGGCAGCATTCCTCTCACTTTCAATGAGACCATGCTGGAGCGATCAAGAGGAGAGAGTGTGTATCGACGAGCGTAGAATTGCGAGATGCGAAGCTTCGCTCAATGCGAGATGCGCGCCAGACCAACCTACCTCTTCCCGCCGCCGAGCAAGCCAACCGCCAATCCCTTCCTGACCTTCCCCTTGACCTTCCTACACGTCAAGCTGATCCTCTTCTCCCTCTTCCAGCCCTTCTCCTCAACGTTCCCCCGCTCCTTCCTCACCTCCTCCTTCGCTTCCTCGCCCTCACACGCCGCCAGCCGACTATCCCAGTACTGTTCCCAATTCGCACAGCCCCTGAGCGACTCGGGTTCCGACACCTCAAGCGGCTGAATCCCATGCAACCACTCCTCATACAGCTTCCCACTGAGGAGTACCAGACTTCGCGCAGGAAGGAACACATCGACTTTCTCGACCTCTTTCGCGTCGGAGGCTTTTTGCGATGCGGAGGTGGTGGAGGGAGAGGGGGAGGAGAGCCAGGAGGGAGGAGAGCGGAGGGAGAGGATTGTGTGGGAGGAGAGGGAGAGGGTGGCTGTGAGGGGGTGGTAGGCGGGTCCGTCGGTATGAGGGAGGATGCCTTGCGAGGGGAGGTATCTGTGCAGAGATCGAGTAGGTCAGCGAAGGACGAGGAATGTAGCGAGAGACGAAGGAGAAGAGGAAGGCGAGCGAAACGTACTCGTTGACCAGGCACTGCAAGCGTATAGCAAAGTCTGGTGCGATCAGCCTCGAAGAATGCAGCAGCATCGAAAGGATTAGAACCCAGTCTGCCCGTACTTACATGGTTCGCCCCTCGCTCCTTGCCCTTCCCCTTCAAATCCGCCCCTTCCGCCTTCAGCTCGTCGAACACGCCCGTCTCCGCGATCCTGCCGAGCACGTCTGGCCACTGTCCGTCCATGAAGGCGGGGAAAGGTGCCGGGACGAGCGAGTGCGAGTTGGGGAGGACGGTTCCGCCTGTGAGGAAACGATAATCGGGTCAGGAAGGCGAGCGGATGGTCGAGGCGGAAAGGACCCGCCCCAGTACATCGACCTGCGTCGTATGAGGGTAAGAACGTCAGCGAAGCACACCAGGCGAGCGAGTCTTGCCTCGAAAGCAGGGAAAGCAGACGCACCTCCTCCCGTTCAGCTCCTTCCAGCCCCAGCTCTTCGCGCTCCGGTCCACCGTGGAGTGTCCAGCGTCGACAGCCTGGTCCTCGTCGTTGCCGCTCGCCGACGAGGTCCCACCATCTCCTCCTCGACTCGCTCCTTCTCCCTCCTCGCCTGCCGCTTGGTCCGCCGCTGCTAGTGCTGGTCCGCCGCCGACTGCATCGATCTTCTGCTTGACCCAACAGTCAGCCCGCGCGATGCTGTCAGCTCGCCGTGCTGTCCCTCAACTTTCGCCTCGAACTGATGAGGATGGGGTGGACGCACTTGGACGAGGTAGAGCTCCTCCTGCGGCGTGACAAAGTCGTAGACGATGCGGATGGCCGGATGGGGCGTCTCGACAGTCAGGACTTCGCGCGACATCCTTTCCCGGGCGAGTTGAGCGAGACTGCGGCTCTGGTCGTCGTCATGCGAAGAACGGGCGGAGGACGGCTAACTTTGGACGGGACCGAGCGGGTTGCTGCTGGCTTGTTCTCTTGCTTCTCACTCTGTGCGCACTTGCTCAACCACCCGTCGAACCAGGATGCCACCCGCTGCCTCTCCTCCTCCTGCCTCAGCGGAACCCCCTCTCGTTCCCGCACACTGGCGCCATATCGCTTCGTCCTCACCCTTCTCCCGACGAACCTCGTACACCGCACCAGCAGCCAATTTCCGCACCTATCACGACCCACGACACCCCGGCATCGTCTGGGAATGGAGTACTCGCGGTCACAGGAAGGGCATCCCGCCTCGACCGCTTCGTCTGCGCGAACAACCGAGCCGCGACGAGGAGAAGCATGCCGGGCTGGCAGGCGAGCCTGAGAAGGAGTGGAAGATCGAGGAGCGCAAGGCGAAGAATGTCTGGGCGTTCGTCAGGAGGACGAGGTGGTGGGGTTGGGACGTGCACGACATCTCGTGGTGGGTCGCCTGTGAGTCGCTCGACTTTCTTCGCCGCAGTGTCTGCTTCACTTGATGCGCTGAGCGACGCGTTGCTCGTTTGCAAAGTCGCATACTGACCCTAGTTTCCGTTGAGCAGTCCTCTTCACGCTCGGCTCCGTCTGGTGGTGCATCCAGGGCATCATGGTTTTCTGCTACGTGCGTACACCACATGTTATGTGCCAGTCTGCGAAAGGAGCTGACGACTCCGCCGCTCGACACAGTCCTCAAACACCTCGACCACCTTCACCAACACCGAATCTGCCATGTCCTTCCTCGGCGGGACGACCTTCCTCTTCGGCTCGTACCTTGGATGGGTCGAAAGCTTCAACCCGGCTTGCTCTGGGTCGGAAGACGACAGCGACTCGACTTCGATGGACAACGACGCGAAGCAGGCGGCGAGCGGGTCGGACGGGAAGGCTGAGCGGAACGCGGAGAATGCACCTGATGCTACTGCGAAGCCAAGGAGGAAGAGTTGGTCGACGATGGGGTGGGAGGCGAAAGGGGACCTCCAGTGCGTCGCGCCGACAAGCGCTGCCTCGCACATCTCGCCTTCGAACCTTCGAGTGGTTCGTACGAGTCCTACTAGCACTTACAACTCCCCTCCTTCGCAGATCGCTTACCGAACCTGATCAAGCTCGCCCAAACTCGACTCTCGGTCGCCGCCGTCGCCATTTCGGTTCGCATCTCGCTCCTTCAAAGGCCTCTTCGTTCCCTCCGCCCCCATCGCCCGGCTCAACAGCCTCCGACACAACTTTCACGCCCTCCTCTCCGTCCTCAACCTCGAACCGCCCGCCTTGGCGATGGTTCCTCTTCCGCCCTCCTCCTGCCTCTTCTCCCATCTTCCTCGGCTACGTCGCCAACACCGTCCAGCTCTTTGGGGCCACCGCCTTTGAAGTCAGCGTCATCTCCGGTCTGCCGGGTGTTTTGCCTGCGAGTGGCGCGAAGGGCGGGCCGGAACAGCAAGGTATGCCGGAGCGGGATTGGGTCGCAGCGTATTGGGCTAGTGAGTTTGCGTTCCTCTCCTGCGCTACAAGATGTAGCGTTGATTGACCAATCCCGAACGTTCGCAGTGCAAGTTCGTCGCCTTTCACTGTCTGCCTTTGCCTCGGTCGTTTCCCGTCCTACGCTTCTCCACTCACACCGCTTTTTTACTCCCGGACTCGTACAGGTCGTAGGCGCACCATGCTTCGTATTCGCAGGTCTAGTCTTCGCCCTAGAGACGCAGAAGCGGTGGTGGAAGATCAAACCCTTCAGTGTCGGATGGCATGTGTGAGTCGCGCACCGTTCCGTTCTTCCGTTCACTTGACTCGAGCTTACCGCTTTTCCGGGCGCAGAGGATTCTGGAATATCGTCGGAGGCTTCGGCTTCCTCTTCTGCGGTATCTTCGGGTGCGTCTCTCTCCCATCCTCTTCTCCTCCTTGCTCGCTTTCCTTTCTGGTCTACTCCTGTCATTCCTCCTGCTGACCTGCTCACATTGCCTCTCCTTGCCGTCCGATTCATCCCTCGCTCGCCTTTTACCACCCGCAGCATCTGGCGCCAAACCGACATCTCGAATCCCGAACACTTCCAGTACTGGGGGACGGCGTTCTCGACGTTCTGGGGCAGTTGGGCGTTCTTGCTAGGCTCGTGAGTGTGGCCTCTTCGTCCGAGACTCGGATTCGCGCGCGCCGAAGCTGCGAGGTGAGCTGACGCTCTCCGCTGCTTTGGCGTCGCGCGCAGGTACGTCCAGCTACTCGAAGGACTCAACAAGTGGTCGTAGAGCTATGCGTGTCAAGAATAGAAGCGTATGTATCGCTTAAGGGCGGGACTCGGGCTTGCTTGGGCTGGACAGGTCTCTCGAAGTGCGTATGCGTCGAGGCTTTCCTTCCATCCTCTGGGCCGCGTTAAGCGGTGGTGGACGCGATTCCGTGTCTCTTGGCGCTGTGAATGCGCTGTGCAGCTCGAGGCCGCTCGCTGAGGCCGTCTGCCGACTTGCGAAGGCCTCCTCCTCCTCCTTCTCTTCTCAACGGAGGATCGCAACTCGCCGATGGCGCTTCATCGCTCACCGCACACGCGAACGATAGTCTCACCGCATGCCGCGCAACCGGCTAGTCATCCGCTCACACGTCGACGCTTGAGCCTCGTTCGTCGGCTACATCCCCGTCTCCAGCAACGGTCGTCGTCGCTTGCGGCCTCGTGGAGCCAACAGGAGGTCTCTCCGAGCGTTGCGCAACTTCGGATTGCGAAGTTGGCGGGCCCCGTGCCGCTTGAAGAAGCGAGTTGCCTTCGCTTCCTGCGTTTCTCTTCCTTCTTTCTTTCTCGTCACTCATTCGCTGCTCTCCCACGCCTGCTGGTCCAGATACGTTCCTCTTTGTCTCAACCCAGGCCCCAGACTGACACCATTATCCGGCAAGTCCACCCTCGCTTCGCAACTCTCCTTTCAACCCCAAGATGAAGACGGTCACCTTCTCCCTCGCCCTAGCCGCTCTCTCGGTCCTCGTTGCCGCTGACAACGGCCATAGCGACACTCGTCGCTCCCGCCTTCCCGCCACAAAGCGCTGCACCGGCACCATTGCTTCGCTCGACGATGTTGCCGCGGCACAGCGATGCGCAACGATTAATATCGAGCCCTTCACCGTGCCGGCTGGCAAGACGTTCGAGCTTGATCTCGTCGATAACGCCGTCGTCAACGTTCGTGAGTCGCGGCAGTCGTTACTCTCGCTCCCCAATGCTGACTCTCGCTTCCTTCGCAGTCGGTGACATCAAGTTCGGCACGAAGCAGTGGGAGGGCCCGCTCGTCCAGGTCTCGGGCAAAAACGTTCAGTTCAACGGAAACGGACACAAGTGGGATGGGCAGGGCTCGTACTATTGGGACGGGAAGGGCGCGAACGGAGGCAAGACGAAGCCGAAGTGCGTCGACTCGATTCTTCTCCTCGCCGATCGCCGCAAGGTCTGACTTGTCGCTTGGCAAGGTTCTTCAAGGTCAAGTTCAGCGGCACGATGGATTCGGTCTACCTCCTCGTTTGTCCGGCGCTTCTTCCGTCGAAAGGCTTCTTCTCAAGCTCGTCTCCTCGCAGAACCAGCCAGTCCAAGGCTTCAGCGTCTCCAACCCCTCCAAGCTTGTCATGTCGAACATCGTCGTCGACGTGAAGGCGGGTGCAAGTCTCGGCCACAACACCGATGCCTTCGACATCTCGTCTGCAAAAGACCTCACGATTGATGGCGCAACGGTGACCAACCAAGACGTGCTTCTTCTGAGCTCGCTAGACAGCTGAGGATGTCGAGCTTACAGCTATCCTCGCAGGACTGCGTCGCCATCAACGACGGCACGGGCATCACGATCCAGAACTCGGTCTGCACCGGCGGGCACGGCATCTCTGTTGGCTCGATCAAGACGGGCAAGCATGTCAGCAACGTCGTCATCAAGTGCGTCTTTGCAGCTGCCCAACTCTGGGAATGCGAGCTGACCGTCTGTCCCGCAGGAACAACAAGATCATCGACAACGACAACGGTCTTCGCATCAAGACTTACGTCGGTGCGACCGCCGCCAGCGTCTCAAATGTACAGTACATCGGGAACACCGTTACGAACGCCAAGAAGTACGGCGTGGTCATCGAGGTGCTTCCGCTTTCCTCTTCGCCCTTGACCTGCTTCCGGCTGACCTATCTTCTTCCGAGCAGCAAGACTACACGAATGATGGCGCTACTGGCAAGGCAACTAACGGCGTCCCCATCAACGGCGTCTACTTCACCGGCTCGACAAACAACGTCTCGGTCGGATCGAAGGCGCAGCGAGTCTACGTCGTGCGTCCGGCCTCTCAGCTTTCATCCACCGCTTTGCTGACGAGCTCTAGACTCTGCGCAGCTCTGCGCATCCGGTTCGTGCTCGAACTTTGACTTTACGGCGCTCAAAACGTCGGGCGGATCTGCCGGCTCCATCAAGGGCGCAGCCGTCAAGGGCTACTCGCTCTAAGCAACCTCGACGCTCCATTCGCCACCTCTATCGTCCCCTCGTATGCTCTCCCTCGCCTGGCTGGTGTAGTCTTGTTAACGGATCGAGCAATCCTTATTCCGTATACCTCTCACTGGCGCTTCGTTTGCATCTTGCGACGCTCCGCTGAGGCAATATACTTCTAGGAGAGTAGCGAGCCGCTTCCTTAACGACAAGCGGCGGTACTTGGGGCAGGTCTGTTCGCAGACTTCGACGCTTCTTGACCTGCGTCGCTCCCCTTCCACTCGCCAAACTCGACTGCGTTGCTGCATGACGTCGCGCAGCATCAGTAGAACGCGCACGCTCCTGCTGGGCTCGTCAGAACGGCGGCCTGAGCCCTCCTGCCTCCTCCCATCGCTCCGCAACTCCCGGCTGCTCTCCTCTCTCCCTCGCCCGCTAGAGACCCTTGCTTGAGCTGCTTGGCACTCCTGTCGAGCTCTTTGCTCGGTGCTGCGCTCTGTCAGCGTCACCCGGCTTTGCTCGCGACCCCATTCCTCCTCTCCTGATGAGGGGGTAAGCGACTCGCAACGACTTGTCACGACCTTTGACGACCACTAACGACTCCTTCCACGATCTCTCACGACTCCCACGATACGCACATAGTGCTCGCCAGCCATGCCCGCCTTCCCTCCCTTCTCCTCCACCTCTTCGCCCTCTCCCGACCAAGAATCCCTCACCTCGCTCCCTCCTCGACTCGCCATTCGACACCGTTCTCTACCAGACTTTCAAAGCCACGAGCCCCCTCTTCCGCCTCTTCCAGCCGACCGACGATGGAGCGCCATGTCGGACGCCTCGTCCGACCTCGGCGGTCACTCCTTCGCCGAGCTGCTCAGCCGCGACACCCTCCAGAGCTTCATCGTGCCCTCCGTACACCAACCACAAGATGCTGAGTCGGCGAGACAAGACGATCGATTCGAGGAGGAGCAAATCCAGCTGGGCGAGAGGTTGTTGGCGATTCCGGGTGCAGACTTTGCTGTTGCAGGTGTGTCGACTCGAGCTTGTACGCGCATTGGTGACTAACAGCCGGCTCTTGCCCAGGTCCCGATGCGTACCTCCTCCTGCAAGAACTGCACCGCGCCCGCATCAGCCGCGCGCAGAAGGTCCGCCGCCGTACTGCCTACTTCGCCGGCTTCTTTTCCTCCTTGTTCTCGTCACCACGCTATGGTACCTTGGAGAGACGAGTCGCGCTCTGGCGATGGACGGCGCAAATGGCAGGGGCGTGTTGAGGTGGATTGAGTTGAGCGCTTGGCTAACGGTGCTCTGCGGCTGGCCGATGACGGTGTTCTTCCTCCGAGTGCGTACCACACCACTGGTCTCGCAGGCGCGGTGCTAATGCCCCACCTCACAGACGCGCCGTCCAACCCTCCTCACGCCCGTCACGCTCACGTCCGCCTTCCTATCCTCAATACTTCACCTGCTCCTCGCCTTCGCCAACCTGATTCTTTCCTTCGTCTGGCGAGGCGACCTCGGCCTGCGATGCTCGTGGGGTACGGACGTCGCGTGGACCGCCGGGCGGAAAGGGGTTTTCTGCGCTGACGGAAGCTGGAAAGGCTGGACTTTCGCGGCGACGATCCGCCTGCTCCTCACAATCTTGGTCGTCGTGAGTCTGCGTCTGCACCTCTGTGCACCCTGGCGCAATGACGCTGATACTTTACTGTGCAGGTCGCCTGGTTCCTCCTCCTTCGTTCGTACGCCCGCGCCCTGCACACTCCGTCGATCATCTCTCCCTCCCAGATACCCTCAGCCGAACTACAAGCTCTCCTCGATACCCACACCGCGACGATCGTTCCGCTCTCCTCCCCGTTCGACCCTTCTCACGGCGGACCTCTCGCTCGACTTGACAGCAACCACCTCCCCGAGATGCCCGACCGCGCGACACACTACATCTACGCCTCCGACTCGGCATGGAGCTACGATCCCGAGCATCATCGACAGGCGTCGGCGGGAGCGTCGTCAGGTAGTCGGGCGAGTCGAGCGGTCGGAGGAACGCTCGAGACTGCTGCAGTGTGGCTGAGAGCGCAGGTCTGGCGCGGGGTCGGTTGGCTCATGGGTGCGGGGAGGAGCGGAGCGGACTTGCAGCGAGACGAGGAGGAAGAAGGAAGGGAGGAGGAGGAGAAGGACGATGGAGATAGTCAGGGTCGCCCTGGCGTCAGTCATGCGCACGAACGGCTTCCTCACGGCGCTCTTCACGCTCCTACCCATCCGACCTCTCCGCCTACAGTCCTCGACAATCAGCCTCGGCGCCCTCTGCCCGCCGCACCAGCAGATCATGACTACGCTTCCCTCTTCCGCGATGTCTCTCGCCCACCATCCGCTCGCAACGATCATACCTCGAATCGCGACTCGACTTCGTCTGCCTCGCCCCTATTGGGCCGCTCTATCCCAGCCGACGAAGACTACGAAGTTCTCGACGATTCACCTCCTCCTCCTCCACCGAAGGACGGCTTCATACTCGAACGCTCGCAGGGACCGATCGTCTACGTGCGCATGTCCGACGGCAGGCTCGTGCGGCGACTCTCGACTATCGCCAGCGAGAGCGAGGGAACGGCGAGGCGCAGCAGGAGCAATTTGACAAGTAGCTAGACCAACTAATTACAGATCGTTTGAGCTTCAACACGAAACCCGAGAGATACGAAAGTCACGACGAGATATAGAGCCCTTTCCGCCTCGCTCCGCAGACTCAGACCATCGCCACCTCGTCCCGACTCTCCGTCCCCTTGACCTTCTCGCTGTCGGCGTCCTTCTCGCTTTCGCCTCCGACGGCGATGGTGTGGTCAATGACGTAGTGCTTGAACTTGAGGGCCGGAACGCGATTGGCGAACATGATGTCGAGGTCTTCGAGCGAGCGACCTTCCGTCTCCGGGAGGAAGAAGATGAGCCAAAGGAGGGTGATGAAGCAGCTGGGCATCCAGATCCAGGCGACGCGGACGCCGAGCTCGGTGAGGTCTGCGATGAGAGGGAAGGTGAGCGTGCGAAGAAGGAGAACAAGCGAGCGCAACGCACACTTGGGCGTTGTGAAGGTCGTGAGCCAGGCAAAGACGAAGCCTACGCCCATGGCGAAGCCGAAGGTGAGGGAGCGCAATCGCTGACTGGGGATCTCGGCCTGCAAAGTCGAAAGTCAGCCCAAGTCCGCCTTCACGAGAGGAGATCACGCACGCCGACAGCCCAGGCGAGTGGACCGCAAGACATGTTGTATGCAAACTGATAGAGGCAGACGAAAGCCACGAGTGCGGCACCCGCGGGCGCGTCCTTCGGGCTGTGGATGAGCTTGCCCTCGTTCGTCGCGCCGACGATCGTAAAGCACATGCACATGAGCGAAAAGCCGGCGATGAGGATTGTCTTGCGGCCGAAGTAGCGTGCGAGGACGGGGGCGGAGAGGGCGCCGATGAAGCCGCAGACTTGGAGGATGACTGTTACCCAGCACAAGAGGGGACAGTCAGCGACTCGACCTGGCATTCTCAAATTTTCTCGACAGGAGACGTCATGTGGTGAGGGAGGCGGAGGCGAAGCGAAAGGGTGCGAAACATGCACGATGAGAGCGAAGGGAGAGGCGGAAGGTTGGGAAGGTCAGGCGCGAGGTCGACTTACTGGTATTGCGGAAAGCGCTGCGCGGACATGGGTGAGATTCAGTGGCGCATTGATGCTACAAGCTCATGTGGGACGTACTCGGATCCGGGTGCGGCGATCTGGAAGAAGACGGTTCCGTAACCCTGTTGTTGAAGTCCAAGTCAGCGTACCGCTTCCAGCGCCGCGGGAGACGGAAAGAAACGAACAACGAGGAAGTTGATACCGCTAGCTGCATGCAATGTCGCTGCGCCGCATGCGCTACGATGATGGGCGTCAGCGAGGACCGTAGCGGAGCCGAGGACGAAGGAACCAGTCGGGAAACGGCTTGAGCACTCACAGGAGGGTGCGTCGAAGATCGGTGCCCCTATGCAGCGAAAGGAGTCAGTAACGGTGCAGAAGGAGCCAAAGAAGAGCGCAGGAAGAGGGCTGAGAAGGAAAGCGAAGGTAGAGCGGGACATACCTGAAGATGTCGAGGAACGTCGCACCGGCTTGCACCTCGCGCTCAACTCGGATTGCTTCGACGATGATGTCGAGCTCAGCCTGCAGCTCGGCTTCGCTGAAATTTGAACCGCGAATCTTGCGGAGGCTCTTGAGCGCCTCATCGTGTCGGTCGTGAGTTGCGAGCCAGCGCGGCGACTCCGGCATATAAATGACGCTGTAGAGCAGGAACCAGACTGGGACGGCGAACAGGACGACAAGCTGGAGCTGGTACGAGTGCTTCGAGAGGTTCTTGGCGAAGGCTGTGAAGCGCGACATCGTCAGCGAAGCGGACGGCTTGACGTTGTCACCTCAAGCTCACCCTTCGAGATGCCGGCACCTGTGATGCCACCGAGGCCCTGGAAGATCTGGAACGAGGAGACGTAGGAGCCGCGAAGATGGCCTGGCGCGGTCTCGGAGATCCAGAGGACGACGAGATTGACTGCGAGCGAGAAGGACGACATCGTCAGCAAGCAAGTCTCGAAAGAGCGACGAGGATGAGGGAAACCTCGAACGTACCGAGTGCTCCGTTTGAGACACCGAGGAGAAGACGGGCGACATAGACGGGCCCCTTGCTAGTCACGAAGGTCTGGATGAGTAGGGCGACGCAGCCGATGACCGATGCGACGAAGAAGCCGGCGCGGCGTCCAAAGTAGCGGGAGAAGGGACCGATGAGGAGGGAAGCGACAATGAGGCCGACTTGGAGGAGCGACGTGATGAGCTGCTGGAAAGTCGTCTCGATAACGTATTTGCCGCCCTTGCCGGGCACACCGAAGACGCGTAGGAAGCCCTGCATGGCCTGGAATCCGTTGACTATCGTCGTATCGAGGTTGTACCTGCGAAGCAGGATGAGCGGGACCGGTAAACGGTGTCAGCAATCGTCACGGGACGAGCAGCGACTGTACACGAAGCGAGAGCACGAGACGAGGCGACGAGGAGGTCCAACCGGCCGAGAGAAAAAGTGGCAAACGAGAGAGGACGCACTGGAAGGTGCCGAAAGCGACGGCGAGCGCAAAGACGAAGGAGCGGATGTTGTGTCTGAAGCTGGTCTGAGGTAGACCTGCGGCGACGACGTTGCCGCCTGCGTACCCGACCATGTTGGACGAGGAGAGGGAGGTGCGTGCGTCGAAGCGAGGGAGAGGGCGAGGGCGAGTTCAGACGACGCTGCTGGGGTGCGGGAGGGCTTGGCGCGATGCAGACAGAGTCGCTGGGAGTGAATGAAGTGAAGAAGGGAACAAGGGCGACGTTGTGGGGGCGATAGAAGCTTCGGTGCGGGGTGGACGAGGAGGCCCGCTTTGATCGCTCGTGAGTCTCGTTCGGAAGCTGTTCTGCCGTACAAGAGCGCTCACATGCCCAGCATTCGAGCGGGAGATGCTCAAGCGGCAAGGAGGCGACGCCCCACCTCGTGAATTGCCTGCCTAAAGAGCGCCCGCAAGGTCCGCGAGCGTGCTAAGTCCCTCCGAACCACCGAGAGGAGGTCAGGCGCTCAGCCAAGCAGTGCGCGAGGGTCAACAGATTCGCCACCGTGCCTCAGCGGGCTCAGGAGGCCCGGAGACATCGGCCGGAGCAAGTCGAGCGAGGGGAAGGAGGGAGAGGAAGCGACGCCGACCTCTCTCTCCAACCTCCACCTCGCTCCCCGTACTTACCGATCACTATGTCCACCGAATTTACTGAGCGCTACAAGGGCTTCACCGTCAAGCCCATCCTCCCTGGATTCGGCGCAGAAGTTGCGGGCGTCCCGTTCGACCAAGTCCCGCTTCCTCAGGAGACTATCGACGCGGTTCGTGCGCTTTCCTCCTCCTTCCTGCGCCTCGCTGACCTCGCCACGACGCAGCTCGTCGAGCTCTCGAACAAGTACGCGGTCCTCATCTTCCGCGACACCGGTCTCGACGACGCTCGCCATGTGAAGTTCTCACAGCAACTCGGCGAGCTCGAAGTCTGCCCCAAGGTGGGCCTCTTCCTCCCCTGGGGCTTCTCTCGCGCTGACAACGTCGTTGCAGTTCGGCGGACCCGACCAGCCAGACCGCTTCTCCTCTCGGTGCGTCCTCGTCGCTTCTTCCGTCCGACCTTCTCAAGCTGATGCCCTGCTTCATTCGCGTCCACAGCTACCTCTTCGACGCCGGCAACATGAATCTCGACGGGACAATCGTCAAGGAGGGCACGCGCCGCTGGCAGTACAACAAGGGTGGGTCCGCCGTCCTCGCCGACCTTCCTCCTCCCGCCTCTTTCGCTCGCTCCTCTCCCACAACTTCCCCTATTCACCCGCTTGTATCCTCGACACTAACCCTAGACCCTCCACAGGCAACGCCCTCCCTCACACCGACTCCTCGTTCAACCAACACCGCTCGAAATACTCCCTCCTCCTCGCACACCTCGTTCCCTCCGTCGGCGGCAACACCGACTTCTTCAACGTCCGCCAGGCGTACGCCGATTTGCCCGAAGAGAAGAAGGAGATGTTGAGGGAGTTGGTGATTGAACATGAGTGCGTTCGCCCGTTTCCTGCGTGAAAGGAGGAGAAGGTGCTGATGAGTTGGGCACGCAGCTTGTGGCACTCGAGGAAGATTGCGGCGCCGGAAGAGTTCCAGACTGTCACCGCACACGAGATGGCCGCCAAGCAACCCGCGTACCACAAGTTTGTTCTCCCCCCTTCCTCCTCCTCTCCCGACTTTCTCTGACCGCTTGCGAGGGCAGGTTCGTCCAAACCGCCCCGAACGGCAACGAGACCCTCTTCATCGCCGCGCACGCCAAGCGCGTAGTCGGACCTCAAGTGTGGGACCTCGACAAGTCGCAAAAGCTCATTTGGGAGCTCATTGACCATTGCACGAAGCCTGAGGTGCGCTCTCCCCCTTTCCTTCTCTTGAGTGAAAGTGCTGATGACTGTGCGAGGTGCAGTACATGTTCTCTGCAAAGTGGAACGGACCAGGCGATATGGTCTGGTGGGACAACCGTACCGTTCGTCCTCCTCCTCCTTCCCCTCTCCGACTCGCTCGCTGAGGCTCGGAAACAACAGTCGATGCACCGCGCCACTCCCTTCTCAGACCAAATGGAGAAGCGCGATATGCGCCGCACGACGGTGTTCGACGATGGGCCTTATGCGCAGGGAGCGATGCCGCCGATGCTGGACATGCCGGCTGCTTGAACAGTCTCTGAGTCGTCGTCGTGTATATCTATCGTGTCTTGTGTGGCCTTTCGTTGTCGCTCGTTCGTTTGGTTCGTAGTTCGTTTGGTCGAAGCAATGCGCAGTTTTCCTTCGTCTCCATCCTCGTCTCTCTGTCCTCGTCCTGCCATCCATCAGATCGTCACAACGAACCCAGCGAGGCAAGCGAGGCAAGCGACAAAGCAGCGCAAGCAAAGCGCAATCTCCTCAACTCCGCCAACCCGTGCCTAGTCTCGGAGAACGAGTTGCACAAGGGGGTGGATTAACGACTCTAAAGCGCAGAGTCGGGAGGACGGGAGAGGGAGAGCACAGCGAGAGAGGGTATCGAATGAGGATGGGATGGAGTGCAAAGCGAGATAGGCAGGACGACGAGGAGGAGGGAGTCCGAGAGAAAAGGTGGGAGAGCACCAGGGGAATACCGGAAAGACAACAATGAGAGAGAGAGAGAAGACGCAGGTACAACCCACAACACACGCACGAAGACCGAAACCCGAGATCCAACCAAACCCGCTGCGCGCCGCCTCACCCCTCGAAGCGCATAGTCTGCCGCGGTGCCCGCGCGCGGAGAGTCGCCGTCAGCGCCGAGATGGTGATTGACCCGCTGATAGTCGTCGCGCTCGCAGCTGGGATGGGGAGGTTTCCGCTGGTGGCGAGAGTCGTGCCGCTAGCGGGTGAAGGGACGCTCGTCAAGGCCGAGGGAAGGGTAGTCGTTTCAGTGGCGGTTGCGCCGACTGTTGAAGTCCACCCGAGCGAGGCAGTTGTCGAGTCGTCGGTTTGAGGGTGGAGAGACGTGTAGGACGAGTAGAGGGACGAAGGGACGACGGTGCCGGTTGTCATCGTCCGCGTGCGCGTCGACGTGCGACTTCCCGACCGCGAGCCGGACCCAGAGACGGTACTGTTGCCGGACGACCTCGAGGTGGACGCCGTCGTGTTCGAGTGCTTGAGGGACAGGCCGACTCCGAGGCCGATCGCGAGCGCGCACGCGACGATGAACCCGACGAGCGCGACGAGGGGCAGTGGTCGTAGGAACCAGGGTTTCCGTTCGCGCGCGCCGCTCTGCGCCGTCGTGCCCGAGTACCCACCGTTCGAGTCCAACCCAAACTCCTTGCCGGGGGAACCGTACCCTCCTCCTCCTCCGGGTACAAGCGCGCCGTGCGATCCACTCCCAA